CAGTCTGTGTATATGTGTTTTGTGTGTATATATTTGTGTATATGTGTATATATGTGGTTTTGTGCATGTGTTGTAATGTATTTTTGTTGTTTTTTGGCGTTTTTCAATGTTTTTATGAGTGATGGACACTCGTTGGCCTGAGAGGTGTCTTGTATCCAAATTTGGTGTCAATTCATCCAGTAGTTTTTGAGTTAAATTAATCCCACAAACGAACATTACATGTTTATTTATATAGATATTTTCATGGAGGATTTAGGGTCCGGTTTGTGGCTGTTCATTTCGGTTTCGTGCTCATTCTTTTGAGTTTCGAGAAGTATTTCGATTTGTGTATAAAGAGGTGCTCTAAATGGATCCGTGGCTCCATTCTGGATTTAAGAGGGAGATAGGGAGTGCTTGCAATGCGAATACTATCAGATATTTACATTTTTAGGTCCTTTATTTTAACCTCCCAAGGAAAACAACATTCCCCAACTTTGGAAAACAGCCTGCCAGCCATATTGTGTCTCAGGACAGCACTCCATGCCGTGATTATTATATTATTTGGGCCAAAGATCCTTTACAGATTTGTAATCATTCATTAAACTGGGTTGTTATGCATTTTCCAAGTTGTCTGACAAGGTTCCAGAAGCATTCTCTCCTGACGTTTTGCATGCATCTGTGGCAGGCATCCTCAAAGGTTGTGAGGTCTGTTGGAAACTAGGAAAATGGGGTTTATATATCTGTGGAGGGTGGCAAAAGAACTCTTGTCTCTTTGAGATAAGTGTGACTGTTGCAAATGACTACCTTGATTAGCGTTTAATGGCCTAGGGGTTTCAAAGTGTGGCTTCTTACTTCCTGGGGAAATTCTATGTTGGAAGGTGATTAGTTGGCCTTGATTGTTTCTTGTCTGGAATTCCCCTTGTTCTTTATTTATTGTTATGATTTTAGCGTTTTTTTTAATACTGCTAGCCAGATTTGGTTCATTTTCCACAAGCATGTGAACGATTTCAACAGAAAGGAAGAAAGCACGAAAATAAACCAAATCTGGCTAGGGTGGGAGAAAGAGCTCTTGTCTGTTGGAGGCAAGTGTGAATGATGCCATTGACCAGCTTGATTAGCATAGAATGGCCTTGCAGCTTCAAAGTCGATCTGGGAAGGTCTCTGCATAGAGGTAGCCTGGCCTTTGTTGCCTGGAGGCACCCTCTGTGGAATAATTTGTGTGTATTTGGTCTTGGTGGTCCCATGGATTGAGTGCATTGTGTCTCTTCGACGGCACCTTTCTCTTTCCCCGTGGAAAGTTTATTTATTTCCTTATTGCTCCAGAGTTCAAGGTGTGCAACGACATCCTCTCCCCCTAACTTCCTGCCAAGTTACTGGTCATAAAGCCCAAAACCTTTTAGAACAGTGTTTCTCAACTTGGGGGTGGGTTGCGAGGGGGTGTCAGAGGGGTCGCCAAAGACCATCAGCAAACACAGTATTTTCTGTTGGTCATGAGGCATCTGTGTGGGAAGTTTGGCCCAATGCTGTGGTGGAGTTCAGAATGCTCTTTGATTGCAGGTGAACTATAAATCCCAGCAACTCCAACTCCCAAATGTCAAGGTCTATTTTCCCCAAACTCCACCAGTGTTCTCATTTGGTCATATTGAGTATTTGTGCCAAGTTTGGTCCAGATCCGTTATTGCTTGAGTCCACAATATTCTCTGGATGTAGGTGAACTACAAATCCCAGACTTAAGAGCAATCCCCATGAAACCCTTCCAGTATTTTCTGTTGGTCATGGGAGTTCTGTGTGCCAAGTTTGGTTCAATTCCATCGTTGGTGGAGATCAGAATGCTCTTTGATTGTAGGTGAACTATAAATCCCAGCAACTACAACTCCCAAATGTCAAGGTCTATTTCCCCCAAACTCCACCAGTGTTCATATTTACCATATTGAGCATTTGTGCCCAAGTTTGGTCCAGATTTATTATTGTTTGAGTCCACAGTGTTCTCCGGATGTAGATGAACTACAACTCCAAAAACCCAAAGTCAATCCCAACCAAACCCTTCAAGTATTTTTTTATTAGTCGTGGGAGTTTTGTGTACCAAGTTTGGTTAAATTCCATCATTGGTGGAGTTCAGAATGCTCTTTCATTGTAGGTGAACTATAAATCCCAGGAACTACATCTCCCAAATATCAAGGTCTATTTTTCCCAGACTCCACCAGTGTTCATATTTGGCCATACTGAGCATTTGTGCCAAGTTTGGTCCACAGTGCTCTCTGGATATAGATGAACTACAACTCCCAAACGCAAGGTCAGTGCCTACCAAACCAAGTTTGGTCCAGATTTATCATTGCTTGAGTCCACAGTGCTCTCAGGATGTAGGTGAACTACAACTCCAAAAACCCAAAGTCAATCCCCATGAAACCCTTCCAGTATTTTCTGTTGGTCATGGGAGTTCTGTGTAGGTTTGGTTCAATTCCATCGTTGGTGGAATTCTGAATCCTCTTTGATTGCAGGTAAACTATAAATCCCAGCAACTACAACTCCCAAATGTCAAGGTCTATTTTCCGCAGACTCCAGCAGTGTTCATATTTGGCTATATTGAGTATCTGTGCCAAGTTTGGTTCAATTCCATCATTGGTGGAATTCAGAATCCTCTTTGATTGCAGGTGAACTATAGATCCCAGCAACTACAACTCCCAAATATCAAGGTCTATTTCCCCTAGACTCCACCAGTGTTCATATTGAGTATCTGTGCCAAGTTTGGTTCAATTCCATCATTGGTGGAATTCAGACTGCACATTGATGAACTATAAATCCCAGGAACTACAACTCCCAAATGGCAAAATGAATCCCTAACCCTAACCCCAAACCCCACCAGTATTCAGATTTGGGTATGTCGGGTATTTGTGCGAAATGAATGAAAATACACCCTGCGTATCAGATATTTACATGACGATTCAGAACAGTTACGAAGTAGGAACGAAAATAATATTGGGTTGTTGTAGGGTTTTTTTCAGGCTATATGGCCATGTTCTAGAGGCATTTTCTCCTGACGTTTCGCCTGCATCTTTGGCATCAGAGGTAGTGAGGGCTGTTGGAACTAGGAAAATTGGGTTTATATATCTGTGGGGCAAAAAACTCTTTGTCTGTTGGAGCTAGGTGTGAATGTTTCAACTGACCATGTTGATTAGCATGGCAGTGCCTGGGGCAATCTTTTGTTGAGAGGTGATTAGATGTGTGTGATTGCTTAATATTTATGGTTGGGGGTCACCACAACATCAGGAACTGCATTAAGGGGTCTCGGCATTCAGAATCAGTGTTTGAGAAGCATCCTTGTGCTTTTCCCCCCCTTCTTTCCTTCCTTGCTCCTTTCCCCAATGGCTTTGCTTGGGCTGGGAGGTGCCTTCCTGGAGCTGGGCAAGGTGGGGATGGAGGGAAGGGGGAAAGGAAGGAAGGAAGGAAGGATGACGCGGGAAATGCCCTAATAAGGACTTGCTTGGGGATGGAGGGCCGGCCCCTTTTCCGGAATCGCATTGGGGGAAGTCACAGGAGGGGCCGGGCCGGGGCGGGGAGATGGTGTTTAAAAACTGGGCCGAATGACACCAGCTTAAGTCATTTCCTCAATGCTGGGTTCCAACCAGTCCTTCCAGGAACCCTGGGGTGAGAAATGGCTGGGACTTCTCAGAAGTCTTGAGCTCACTCACTTAAGCCTTCAAGCTGGCAGGAAAAACAGCAGCACAGCCAGTATATATCGCCTCTCCATCCTCTTGCGATTGATCAAGCAAAAGCATTTCATCTTTTCCTTGTTCGGCTTTTCCTTTTTACTATTTTTTCCATTTTTGTATTTTTTTTCCATTTTTGCATTTTTCCCCGTTTTTGCATTTTTTCCGTTTTCGCATTTTTTCCCCGTTTTCGCATTTTTTCCCGTTTTCGCATTTTTTCCCGTTTTTCATTATTTCCCCTGTTTTCCCATTTTTCGCCTCCCTTTTTTTGCATCACATTTCTGAGCACAGAGTTGGAATTTTGGTGGTAAGGTGTTGTCTTTTTCTTCCTTCTCTCTCTCTCTCTSTCTGTCTCTTTCCTCGAACTATGTTGTTTCCTCCTCCCTTCCCCACACCCCGTCCCACGCTTTTGGGTCGCTCCCAGCGCCATCCCGACGGTCGGACCCTCCCTCCAGAAGCCCTTCCAAGAGTACCTGGAAGCCCAGCGGATGAAACTCCACCATCGGACGGAAGGRGCGCCCCAGGTAAGACGTTTCRGCATTTTCCCYCATGTCCTTAYTGTCACRRTTGTATTCATCTTCAGAATAGAAATCATGTCTTCCAAACCTGTCAGGGATATTTTCGAACTCTTTCATGTCCGGAATCACTGGGTTGTTGATCCCTGCTGTAGATGTGGGAGAAATGTCAGGAGAGAATGCTTCTGGGACATGCCAGACAGCCTGGAACACTCGCAACAACCCTTGTATTTGTCTTCAGAACAAAAATCAGGTCTTCCAAAACMGTCATTGTRGAWTTTTTTCATGTCCGGGATCACTGGGTTGTTGATGCCTGCCGTAGATGTGGGAGAAATGTCAGGAGAGAATGCTWCTGGGYCATGCCAGACAGCCTGGAACACTCACAACAACCCTGTCAAGGACTCAGAACCTCTGAGAATGCCTGCCATAGATTTCCCCCAGGCAGCAAGCAGCCAGGTTTTGAAGCTGCAAGGCTATTCAATGCTAATCAAGGTGGCCAATTGCAAAATTCACATTTGCCTCCAAGAGACAAAGAGTTATTTCTCCCACTCTAGGCGTTCCACAGATAGGTAAACCCCACTTGCCAAGTTTCCAACAGACCTCACAACCTCTGAGGGTGTCTGCCATAGATTCCCCCTCAGGCAGCAAGCAGCCAGGCTTTGAAGTTGCAAGGCTATTCAATGCTAATCAAAGTGGCCAATTGCAAAATTCAGATTTGCCTCCAACAGACAAGAGTTGTTTCTCCCACCCTGGCTATTCCACTTGCCTAGTTTCCAACAGACCTCACAACCTCTGAGGATGCCTGCCATAGATTCCCCCCAGGCAGCAAGCAACCAGACTTTGAAGCTGCAAGGTTAGTCAATGCTAATCAAAGTGGCCGATTGCAAAATTCACATTTGCCTCCAAGTGGCAAGAGTTCTTTCTCCCACCCTAGCTATTCCATAGATATGTAAACCCCACTTGCCTACTTTCCAACAGACCTCACAACCTCTGAGGATGCCTGCCATAGATTTCCCCTCAGGCAGCAAGCAGCCAGGCTTTGGAGCTGCAAGGCTATTCAATGCTAATCAAGGTGGCCAATTGCAAAATTCACATTTGCCTCCAAGAGACAAAGGGTTCTTTCTCCCACTCTGGGCATTTCACAGATATGCGAACCCCACTTGCCTAGTTTCCAACAGACCTCACAACCTCTGAGGATGCTTGCCATAGATGGAGGTGAAACGTCAGGAGAGAATGCTTCTAGAACATGGCCATATAGCCCAAAAAACCTACAACAACCCAGTGATTCCAGCCATGGAAGCCTTCGACAATACCTGTCGAGATATCTTGTGCTACCTTTGAGGTTAAACAGGTTTATTGTGTGCTGGGCGAGGAATGTGGAGAGCGGCGCATGGCTGGAATGCCGGCCACCCGCTTCCCTTTGGCTCAATGCTCACGGAGCATTTCCTGTTTCCTCCTGCCTACGAGCCGCCCAAACGAATTAAGGCGGGAGAGATAAGGTTGGGAAGGATTCGAATTGGAACTGATTTAGGGTTGTTTTTTTCCCCCCTGACAATTTGCATCCGGCATGGGCAAACTTTGTCCCTCCAGGCGTTTTGGACTCCAACTCCCACAATTCCTAACAACAGAGAACAGTTTGGGAATTTGAAAAGAGATAAGCGCTCAAAGGGACATTTGTCTTGTTTCAGGAAAACAAATTTAAGTATGTGTTGTTGAAGGCTTTCGTGGCCGGAATCATTGAGTAGCTGTGTTTTCTGGGCTGTCTGGCCATGTTCCAGAAGCATTCTCTCCTGACGTTATGCCTGCATCTACGGCAGGCATTCTCAGAGGTTGTGAGGTCTGTTGGAAACTAGGCAAGTGGGGTCTACCTACCTACCTACCTACCTACCTACCTACCTACCTACCTTCCTATATATCTATCTTCCTATCTACCTACCTACCTATCTGGCTTCCTATATACCTATCTTCCTATATATCTATCTTCCTACCTACCTACCTACCTTCCTATCTATCTGTCTACCTACCTACCTACCTTCATTCCTATATATCTATCTTCCTACCTACCTACCCACCTACCTACCTTTCTATATATCTATCTTCCTATCTGTCTACCTACCTACCTAGCTTCCTATATATCTATCTTCCTATCTATCTATCTATCTTTTTGCCTAATCATTAACCTTAACTATCTCATCTATCTGTCATCTATCTATCATCTATCTATCTATCTTCCATCTATCTATCTATCTATCTATCTATCTATCTATCTATCTATCTATCTATCTATCTATACTAGCTGTACCCACCACCTATCTTCCTATCTATCTACCTACCTATCTATCTACCTAGCTTCCTATATATCTATCTTCCTATACATCTATCTTCCTATCTATCTATCTATCTATCTATCTATCTATCTATCTATCTATCTATCTATCTATCTATCTCTGTTGAGTGATGTCCAGGTTGGGAGGAAGGACTCTGGTCAGTAGGAGGCAAGTGTGAATGTTGCCAGCTTCATTAGCACTAAATAGTCTTGCAGCTGCAAAGTCCATCAGGGAGGGAGCCTGGCCTTTGTGGCCTGGGGGCAACCTCTGTGGAATGATGTCCAGGGTGGGAGGCAAGTGTGAATATTGCAAATGGCCACCTTGATTAGCATTTAATTGCCTTGTAGCTTCAAACCTGGCTACTTCCTGCCTGGAAGGAATCCTTTGTTGGGAGGTGTAAGCGGGCCCTGATTGATTCCTGTCTGGAATTCCCATTTTATTTTATTTTTTTAGTGTTGCAAGCTCTGTGGACAATTTCAACAGAAAGGAGGAAGCCATGGAAATAACAATATTTGGCTACCATTATTTAAAAAAAACAAAACAACTTTAAAATCAGGACAGTAAATAAAGACTAACACTCAGCAAAAAGGGGAATTCCAGACAGGAAACAAGAGCCGTTCAGCAGTGGAACTCTCTGCCCTGGAGTGTGGTGGAGGCTCCTTCTTTGGAAGCTTTTAAACAGAGGATGGATGGCCATCTGTCAGGGGTGATTTGAATGCAATATTCCTGCTTCTTGGCAGAATGGGGTTGGACTCGATGGCCCTTGAGGTCTCTTCCAACTCTTTGATTCTATGATTCTATGATCAGTGCCAGCTAATCAACTCCCTACAAAAGATTCCCCCAGGCAGGAAGAAGCTAGGCTTTGAAGCTGCAAGGCGATTCAATGGATATCAAGGTGACCAATTTTAACATTCAGACTTGCCTCCAACAGACAAGAGTTCTTTCTCCCACCCTAGACATCCACAGATATGTAAATCTCACTTGCCTAGTTTCCAACAGACCTCACAATCTCTGAGGATGCCTGCCAAGGATGTGGGCGAAACGTCAGGAGAGAATGCTTCTGGAACATGGCCAAACAGCATGGAAAACTCACAGCTACTCAGTGATTACGGCCATGTAATGTCTTTGACAACACATACCTAAATTTTGGACACCTGAAAGAGAATTGCCAAACTGTTCCCTGTTGTTAGGAATTGTGGGAGTTGGAGTCCAAAACGCCTGGAGGCATGAAGTTTGCCCGTGCTGGATGCAAATTGTCAGGGGGGAAAAAAACAACCCTAAATCAGTTCCAATTCGAATCCTTCCCAACCTTATCTCTCCCGCCTTAATTCGTTTGGGCGGCTCGTAGGCAGGAGGAAAGGGGAAATGCTCCGTGAGCATTGAGCCAAAGGGAAGCGGGTGGCCGGCATTCCAGCCATGTGCCGCTCTCCACATTCCTTTCCCAGCCAACGTTGCTCCTTGCCATTTCCCACTGCGTCATTTGCGGGTTGCACAACCCCATGCCAGCCGGAAGAGTCCCAAAGAGAGATCCCCTTTCGCAACCGCTCCTCCGCCCGCCAACAACCGCCTTCGTTGGGCTGTTGATTGGCTCTCGTTTGGCTATTGTGAGGCCTCACAACCTCTGAGGATGCCTGCCAAAGATGCAGGCGAAACGTCAGGAGAGAATGCTTCTGGAACAGGGCCAGACAGCCCGGAACACTCTCAACAACCCAGTGATTCCGGCCGCGAAAGCCTTCAACAATATATTACCACGAGACTCTCCGATCATAGGATAAATCATCCAATATTTTCTATTGGTCACAGGAATCCTGTGTGCCAAGATTGGTTCAATTCCATTGTTGGTGGGTTCAGAATGCTCTTTGATTGTAGGTGAACTATAAATCCCTGCAACTCCAACTCCCAAATGTCAAGGTCTATTTTCCTCAAACTCCACCAGTGTTCACATTTGGGCATATTGAGTATTCATGCCAAGTTTGGTCCAGATCCATCCTTGTTTGAGTCCACAGTGTTCTCTGTATATAGGTGAACTACAACTCCCATACTCAAGGTCAATGCCCACCAAACACTTTCAGTATTTTCTATTAGTCATGGGAGTTCTGCATGCCAAGATTGGTTCAATTCCTTCATTGGAGTTCAGAATGCTCTTTGATTGTAGTTGAACTATAAATCCCAGCAACTACAACTCCCAAATGTCAAGGTCTATTTTCCCCAAACTACACCAGTGTTCACATTTGGGCATACTGAGTATCTGTGTCAATACTCAATATGCCCAAATGGACTCAAACGATGATGGATCCGGACCAAACCTGGCACGAATACTCAATATGGCCAGATGTGAACACTGGCAGAGTTTGGGGAAAATAGACCTTGACATTTGGGAGTTGTAGTTGCTGGGATTTCTAGTTCACCTCCAATCAAAGAGCATTCTGAATCCCACCAATGATGGCATTGAACCAAACTTGATACACAGAACTCCTATGACCAATAGAAAATACTGGAAGGGTTTGGTAGGCATTGACTTTGAGTTTTGGGAGTTGCAGTTCACCTACATCCAGAGAGCAGTATGGACTCAAACGGTGATGGATCTGGACCAAACCTGGCACGAATACTCAATATAGCCAAATGTGAACACTGGCGAAGTTTGGGGAAAATAGATCTTGACATTTGGGAGATGTTGCTGGGATTTCTAGTTTACCCCAATCAAAGAGCATTCTGAACCCCACCAACAATAGAATTGGGCCAAACTTCTCACACAGAATCCCCATGACCAACAGAAAATACTGTGTTTTCTGGTGGTCTTTGGTGACCTCTCTGACACCCCCTCGCGACCCCCAAAAATGCAGAATTGTTTATCTCCAAATCCCATTGAGAAGTCCTGGGAATGGAAGAGTTGAGGAAGGAGTGCTAACCGTTCCCTTTCGGTTTCTCTCTCTTTCGTATTCTAGGGTGAAAACTGGCTGTCCTGGACTTTTGAAAAGTTGGTGATTGTCATGGTGTGTTATTTCATCCTGTCCATCATCAACTCCATGGCTCAGAGTTACGCCAAGCGCCTCCAACAGACCTCGTCTTGGGAGGAGAAAACCAAATGAGACCCCCGCGGAGGGGAGCGGAAGGGGGAGCGGAGTCGGGACGTCCCACTTGGCATTCAAAACAAAACACAACACGGCATTATTTGGGGAAAAAAATAGTGGGGAGGGGGAGGAAGGGAGGGAGGGCGGTGTGGTCTTTCCCGTTGGATTACTACGGTTAATTTTTTGAAATAGCCATTATTCGTAAACGATTCTCATTGACTGCCGTTTGTACGTTCCAAGGTAATGTCCATGCTCTTGGTCTAAACTCCATCCAGGGTGAACACAACAGGGGTGTCAAGCTTCTGGTTTAACATCGGTGCTTTCCATTCAAGGTCCTTCCATGTATATATAATACACACACACACATATACGAGGATTGAATGCCTTCGTAACTCCTCAAGAGATGGCAGTACTGGTAGGAAGCAGGTACTGGCTTGTTCAGTAGACTCTCCTCTACCATTCCATTTTGGTGGGAAGCCTTAGCATTGAATGGTTATGTTGTTAAAGTGAAAAGTAATCCCTCCACCTTTATAACTCCTTAACAGATGGCAGTACTGGTATGCAGCAGGTACTGGCTTGCTCAGTTGACTCTCCTCTACAGTTCCATCTTGACGGGAAGTCTTAGCATTGAATGGTTATGTTGTTAAAGAGAAAAGTAATCCCTCCACCTTCGTAACGCCTCAACAGAGGGCAGTACTGGTATGTGGCAGGTACTGGCTTGTTCAGTACACTCTCCTCTACAGTTCCATTTTGGTGGGAAGCCTTAGCATTGAATGGTTATGTTGTTAAAGTGAAAAGTAATCCCTCCACCTTCGTAACTCCTCAAGAGATGGCAGTACTGGTAGGAAGCAGGTACTGGCTTGTTCAGTAGACTCTCCTCTACCGTTCCATTTTGGTGGGAAGCCTTAGCATTGAATGGTTATGTTGTTAAAGTGAAAAGTAATCCCTCCACTTTCGTAACTCCTCAACAGATGGCAGTACTGGTAGGAAGCAGGTACTGGCTTGTTCAGTAGACTCTCCCTACAGTTCCATTTTGGCGGGAAGCCTTAGCATTGAATGGTTATGTTGTTAAAGAGAAAAGTAATCCCTCCACCTTCGTAACGCCTCAACAGAGGGCAGTACTGGTATGTGGCAGGTACTGGCTTGTTCAGTAGACTCTCCTCTACAGTTCCGATTTGGTGGGAAGCCTTAGCATCGAACGGTTGTGTTGTTAAAGGGCAAAGTATGGAACCCTGCATAGATGGTCGGTCAATGCGACTTAAGCAACGTGCAGTCATTGAATTCTATGCTGCAGGTACTGGCTTGTTCAGTAGCCTTTCCTCTGTAGTTCCATTTTGGCAAAAAGCCTTAGCATCAAACGGTTGTGTTGTTAAAGGGTGAAGTATGGAACCCCGCGCAGATGGTCGTTCAATGCGACTTAAGCAACGTGCAGTCATTTAATTCTATGCGGCAGGTACTGGCTTGCTCAGTAGACTCTCCTCTACAGTTCCATTTTGGCAAAAAGCCTTAGCATTGAATGGTTGTGTTGTTAAAGTGCAAATTATGGAACCCTGCACAGATAGTCGGTCAACGTGCAGTCACTGAATTCTTGACAGCAGAAAGTGATTCATCAGAGAATGCAAGCTGTTTGTGGTGACTGTGTTGATGTGAGTACTGTACGTCGTTGGGTGAGTAAGTTTAAAGATGTTGAGGTGACACCTTCTGCTGTCAAGAATTCAATAACTGCACGTTGCTTAAGTCGCATTGACCGACCGTCTGCGCAGGGTTCCATACTTCGCACTTTAACAACACAACCGTTCAATGCTAAGGCTTCCTGCCAAAATGGAACTGTAGAGGAGAGTCTACTGAACAAGCCAGTACCTGCTGCATACCAGTACTGCCATCTGTTGAGGAGTTACGAAGGTGGAGGCATTACTTTTCACTTTAACAACACAACCGTTCAATGTTAAGGCTTCCTCAAAATGGAACTGTAGAGGAGAGTCTACTGAACAAGCCAGTACCTGCCGCATACCAGTACTGCCATCTGTTGAGGAATTACGAAGGTGGAGACATTACTTTTCATTCAACCCGTGTGTGTGTGTGTGTGTGTGTGTGTGTGTGTGTGTGTGTGTGTGTATCCAGTTAGAACAGCTTCCAAGTTTACTTCGTAAACATACGAGCCTGGTTGCCACTGGTTTAATATTAAAGAATGGCGTGGGCCGCTTTCTCTCCATCTTAAGTCCAGCCAGGAGAGAGACGCATGGCTCCCATGTTGACATCTGAATACTTGAAAATCCTCAATTTCACCCAAAGGTGGATAGGTACATAGATATAGATATTTTCATAATGGTTGAAAGCAGAGAGACAAGGTGCGGTCTCAACTGCTCATCCATCTCGTTTTCGATGTGTATATTTAGGACAATGGTAAGGTGATAAACACATCTATATAGAGTAGAGTCTCGCTTATCCGACCTTTGCTTATCCGACATTTTGTCTTATCCGACGCTTCCCTTTTCCTCCAGCATTTCCCCTTCAATTGAAGGAACGCTCCCCAACTTTCTCTCCAATCCCAATAAGTGAAAAAGAGCAATACAAGAATCCCAATAAGTGAAAAGGGAAAGACAAGGAGGGGGGAAGAAAGGGGGAAAAGAGGCAGGACCGGAAGCGGAAGCATCCTCCTTCCTTCCCTCTGTGATTTCCACGCTCGTCTTCCGCATCCGGGCACTTCCTGCTGGGCCCATCAGGTCCCGGGGCATTGCCTTGCCTTAACTCTTTAACTCTTTGATTCTAGGTGTCGGACAGGTAACAGTAGGAGTAGGACATTTTTTTTGATCCGATTTTCTGTCGACCCATTTATGTCGGATAAGTGAGACTCTACTGTATATATCCATTCATATATATATATATATATATATATATATATATATATATTACCTTGGATCATTCCACATCTTCTCGCTCGGGTTTTTTCCAGCAGTTCCCACTCCTCTCCTCATCTCCACCCTTCCGTCTTCTCCTTATTTCCATTTCTTCTTACTGTTTTCCCTCCTTTGCCATGTTTTCCCCCCTCTGTTGTGATTGAATGCTTCGCTGTCATCCTTCGGGAGGGTTTTCTCCTTGGATTTTTGCCGGAAACGACATGTGTCCCCCCCCCTCCCGAAGGAGACGGAAAGCTGGGGCCTGGAAATCGTTTGGGTTAGTGTTATTTATTTAACTGACAAGTCACTCTGATCTGTGGGACGCCGTTTTTTTGCGGGAGGGAGGGAGGGGTCGAGGGAGGGAGGGGCTCTCGTGTTTTTTAACCCTTAACTCTTGCGATGTCGGAGCGCATCGTTGGGAAATGCACAAGGAGATGTTTTGTAAGCCGCAGGAAAGGTAACTGGAATAAACGACGTTCAAATAGATCGTTAAGATGCCTTTTTGTGAAACGTCTCTCTCGGGTTCTGCTTTCACTCCTAGAGCGCAGCCAGCGTTCATTGGTAGAGCGCACACTTGGCATGAAAACAGCCATAGCGGTCATTGCCAGGTAAGGACACCTCCCTGTCCAAAACCTTGGAGAGGTTTCGAAGCAGGGTAAATATGACTTGCTAATCTTTAGGTAAAGGGAAAGGTTTTCCCCTGACGTTAAGTCCAGTCGTGTCCGACTCTGGGGGGTGGTGCTCATCTCCATTTCTAAGCCGACGAGCCGGCATTGTCCATAGACACCTCCAAGGTGATGTGGCCAGCATGACTGCATGGAGCGCCCTTACCTAATGTTTAGACTCACCGTTACCTAATGTTTCTCTGAGTATACAGATGTGTCTTCCATTATAATATTGGTTAACCCTTTCAAAAGAACTGAATTAGATTGACATTAGCAGGTGGATTCTGTCTGGTAGAGGCTCATTCTTTGGAATCTGGATGGCCATCTGTCGGGGGTGTTTTGAATGCAATTTTCCTGCTTCTTGGCAGAATGGGGTTGGACTCGATGGCCCATGAGGCCCCTTCCAACTCTTTCATTTTATGATTTAAGACAGCTTTCAGTAGAAGGACGGAGGCAATGCTGCTTTTTCACCAGATACAATAGGGTTCCATTTCACAGGTACTACGAGAGTGAGTCAAAAAGTATTGCCTCCTGGGTCATAAAAACGTGACAGATGAACCTAGAACAGCAGAAGTTGCTCCAGATCCTAGCCTGAACTGTCCTGTACGCAAAACCATCATTCAACATAGTCGCCATCAACTTGGACACATCTGCATCAGTCAGAACGTTTTTATGACCCAGGAGGCAAAACTTTTTGATCCACCCGCGTGTTTTGGAGAGCCGACACCCTTGCTGTCTTTTCTCTCCTACAGTTCTCCTTTTGGAGTTAGCTAACCAGGCACTTTCCAGATACCTTGGACTACAAAGCCCATGCTCTGCTACTTAGTGGGGAAGATGGGAGGTGTTGGAAGAGCAGTCGTGTTGTAATTTGCATTTTGGGCATCCTGTGTTGTCTTGAATGCATTCAACGGTTCTGTCCTACTGTGCGTGCGTTGCGTGTATTGTGTTCTCACCCGCTTGTGTTGCCCGCCCGCCTACCTACCTACCGTTGTGACACCTCCATGGCTTGTACCTTTCTGTCGGATAGCTTATCAGACTGATGTTGACTGTTGGATGTCATGGCAACAACAGTCGGTAGGCTGTCTGACATTTTGGTGTCTTTCATCTTGGCTGTTCTTGTCTCTCCACCATCCAAACTCCGGCCACTGTCTTGTGAGGATGGGTTTTGCGTCTTGCCAGGAGCGTGTCTTTTGGGGCAAGGTCCTTTCTCCAGGTAGGTTTCCAAACAAAACCCTGGTGGATCCAAAAATGGTGGTGGTGATCGCTTTCGGAGAGTTTTGGTGTTAGAGTAACGAGAGAAGGGAAAATAATCCTACGACTCAGAGTCATGGGAGAGGTTCCCGTTTGAGTCAATCGACCACAAATCTTCCACTGGTTGAGATCATCTCCGTTTTCCATCCCGCGAATGGAAGGGGACTTTCCTCCTTCCATCTCTTTGCAGCCTCAAAGCAGAAGCCAAAACACTCTACTTTCTCAGGATGCATCTGCTGACCCTCGAGGATACTTTGGGAAAGTCAGAAGTACAGTACGACGTTCCAGGACCGCCCGCGAAAAGTAAAAATCCGCAAAGTAGGGACGCAATATTTATTTTCATATTTATAGATGATTTTAGTAGTTATACACTATTTTGCACACTTATGCACCACATAACCCTCCTTGAACATGTTTCCAAATGTGGTTGGTCAAATAATAAAGAATTATCCATTGCACACTGGTTGCAAATTCTTCTCCATCGGTCTCTTGCTGGTTTGGATTCTCACAAAATGTTTTATTTACTGGAATTTTGGCTCTTTTCCCCCCTTTTTGAGGCAAACAGTGATACACAAATCCTGTACAAAACGAAACAACAAATGTCAGGAAATTAAAACATTCTGCTTTGCTTTTTGGAGATGGCTACATTCAGACTTTGGCCAATTTCTAAATTTAGATAGTGGTCAGTGTAAAAAATGCTTTCTATGAATTATTCAGGATTTTGAACATCGTTGGGAAAATCCCTGAGCAGCCTGGATCATTGAGGTCGAAGGTATCATTTAGTCATTTAAAATTTGTCATCAGTAATATGGATTTTCTTGGACGGATATACGAGGGTGGGTCAAAAAGTTTTGCCTCCTGGGTCATAAAAAGGTTCTGAATGAGCCTAGACCAGCAGAAGTTGTTCCAGATCCTAGCCTGAAATGTCCTCTACTCAAAACTACTGTTCCACATCATCACCATCAACACATTTGCGCTGTCGTTGAACCCAAGCATCCAAACCATTTTGGAAAAATCCAGGGTTTTGCTTCGTGACCCATGATTTTAAAGCTGTTTGAAAGTCTCAAATCATAACATTATGTAAAGAACAACACTCAAACACAGGGGAATTCCAGACAAAAAACAATCAGGGCCAACTCATCCCCTCCCAACAAAGGATTCCCTAGGTAGTAAGAAACCACACCTTGGAGCTGCAAGGCCATTAAATGCTAATCAAGGTGGCCAATTGAAACATTCACAGCTACCTCCAACAGACAAAGAGTTCTTTCTCCCACCACCCTGGACATTATTCCAAAGATCATGGCAGTAAGCAGCCAGACCTTGAAGCTGCAAAGCTATTAAATGCTAATCAAGGTGTCCAGCTGAAACATTCACACTTGCCTCCAACAGACAAGAGTTTTTTCTCCCACCCTGGACATTATTCCAAAAATAATAGCAGTAAGCAGCCAGACCTTGAAGCTGCAAAGCCACTCCAAGTACCTGTTAAAGAGATGGTGGTGGGGTATAAATAAAGTTTATTATCATTATTAAGCAGCCAGACCTTGAAGCTGCAAAGCTATTATATGCTAATCAAGGTGGCCAATTGAAACATTCACAGCTACCTCCAACAGACAAGAGTTCTTTCTCCCACCACCCTGGACATTATTCCAAAGATCATGGCAGTAAGCAGCCAGACCTTGAAGCTGCAAAGCTATTAAATGCTATTCAGGGTGTCCAGCTGAAACATTCACAACTACCTCCAACAGACAAGAGTTCTTTCTCCCACCCTGGACATTATTCCAAAGATAATGGCAGTAAGCAGCCAGACCTTGAAGCTGCAAAGCCGCTCCGAGTTGGGGGAGATCGTGGTGGGGTATAAATAAAGTTTATTATTATTATTATTATTATTATTATTATTATTATTATTATTATTATTAAGCAGCCAGACCTTGAAGCTGCAAAGCTATTAAATGCTAATCAAGGTAGCCAATTGAAATATTCACACCAACCTCCAACAGACAAGAGTTCTTTCTCCCACCCTGGACATTATTACAAAGATAATGGCAGTAAGCAGCCAGACTTTGAAGCTGCAAAGCTATTCAGTGCTAATCAAGGTGGCCAATTGCAACATTCACATCTACCTCCAACAGACAAGAGTTCTTGTGGCCAAATTGACACCCCAAAATTCAACACAGAGACCCAAAGGAGAGGCATTATTCACCCCATCTTCTTTCCTACCCTAAAAGACAAAAAGGTGACACAGAGTGTAAATAAAAAGGGATTTTTTTTTCTTTCTCTGAAACGAGAGTGACTAATCTGTCCATCAACATCTAAAGACAGATAACATTCCAGGAACTTTCGATGGGTGAGGGACACCAGGGTTGAAAGACGTCATAAACCCGGGGAAGAAAAGGATGGTGCGGGTTTGTGTTACGTGCCTTTCCCCACATTCGTCCACCCCCACATTTCCCCCCCACTCTCCTCTTTTAGAGTAAGGCTTAGCCGTTGCAGTGAGTCCAACTGTGTGCCGGACAAACCACATTCTTTATCACAATCGTGGGGCAAATGCATCTCAAATGAACACCCCTCATTTATGTCTCTCCTTTCGCAAACAGTCGGCCCTCTTTATGGGACTCCCTTGGTCTCACATATATATATTTAATTCATTAATTAAATTAATTAACTTAAGTAATCAACCGGGGAGCTTTGAAACGCAGATGTGCTTTAAGAACAGACAAGCATAGAAACGATATATGCTGATGATCATGCCATCACTGCTCAAGAGCTTTGAAATGGTTGGACAGAAGCTCTCCAAAGCTTTAGGTGCTCTTGGTGCCGATTACAGGCTAAAGCAGCTGATTCCTAGTCCATCTTAAACCCAGACATGTGCTTTCCACCTTAAGAACAGACAGGCATAGAAACTATCTATGCTGACGACAATGTCATCACCTCTCAAGCAAGGAGCTTTGAAATGGTTGAACAGAAGCTCTCCGAAGCTTTAGCTCTTACTGTTTATTACAGGGAAAACCAGCTGATTCCAAATCCATCTAAAACACAGGCATGTGCTTTCCACCTTAAGAACAGACAAGCATAGAAACGATCTATGCTGACGATCATGCCATCACTGCTCAAGAGTTTTGAAATGGTTGGACAGAAGCTCTCCAAAGCTTTAGGTGCTCTTGGTGCCAATTACAGGGAAAACCAGCTGATTCCTAATCCATCTAAAATGCAGACATGTGCTTTGCATCTCAAGAACAGACAAGCATCCTGAGCTCTGGGGAAATGATCTATGCTGACGATCGTGCCATCACCGCTCAAGCAAAGAGCTTTGAAATGGTTGGACATAAGCTTTCCAAAGCTTTAGGTGCTCTTGGTGCCTATTTCAGGGAAAATCAGCTGATTCCTAATCCATCTAAAATGCAGAAATGTGTTTCCACCTTAAGAACAAACAAGCATAGAAATTATCTATGCTGATGATCATGCCATCACCGCTCAAGCAAGGAACTTTGAAATGGTGGAACAGAAGCTCTCTGAAGCTTTAGGTGCTCTTACTGCCTATTACAGGGGAAACCAGCTGATTTCTAATCCATCTAAGTTTCATCTATGCTGACGATCATGCCATCACCACCCAAGCAGGGAGCTTTGAAATTGCTGAACCGAAGCTCTCCAAAGCTTTCGGTACTCTTGGTGCTGATTACAGGGGAAAGCAGCTGATTCCTAATCCATCTAAAACCCAGACATGTGCTTTCTACCTTAAGAACAGGCAAGCATAGAAATGATCTATGCTGACAATCGTGCCATTACCACTCAAGCAAAGAGCTTTCAAATGGTTGAACAGAAGCTCTCTGAAGATTTAGGAGCTCTTATTGTTTATTACATGGAAATCCAGCTGAGTCCTAATCCATCTAAAATGCAGATGTGTGCTTTCCATCTCAAGAACGGACAAGCATTTCAAGCTCTGAGGAAACAATCTATGCTGATGATCATGCCATCACCGCTCAAACAGGGAGCTTTGAAATGGTGGAACAGAAGCTCTCCATAGCTTTAGGTGCTCTTACTTTCTATTACAGGGAAAACCATCTGATTCATAATCCATCTAAAATGGAGGTGTGTACTTTTCACCTTAAGAAGAGACAAGCATCTCAATCTCCGAGGAAATGATCTATGCTGACGATTGTGCCATCACCGCTCAAGCAAAGAGCTTTGAAATGGTTGAACAGAAGCTCTTCGAAGCTTTAGAGCTCTTACTGTTTATTACAGGGAAAACCAGTGGATTCTTAATCCATCTAGAACAGACAAGCATCTCGAGCTCCGAGGAAATGATCTATGCTGATGATTGTGCCATCACCACTCAAGCAGGGAGCTTTGTGACACCCCGTCCTTTGATGGAGTACTTCCTCATTCTTTTGCACGCTTCTGGAAGATTTTATGGCATTGTAAGTTTATTAAATTAGCCTCGCCGCACAAAGCGGTACCTAAATTTCCTACTTGACAGATGCAACTGTCTTTCAAGCTGCAAAGGTCGACAGCAAGCAAGATTAATCATCTATCTTGGGCTAGCTTCCAAAGTATGATCTCTTGGTCAGTAGTGATTTAATGCAGTTGGCTACTAACTAGCTGTGCCACAGCTAGTTAGTATACAGAGATTCCCGCAGGAACACCTCAGCAAGCGAGAGTCCAAAAGTGGCAGGCTCAAACCAGGAACCTTAATCAATGGCTGATACCGAATGAGGAACTCCATCCTAGGCTCACCAAAAGACTATTGGCAAGGCACTGAGAAGGAATCGCACTCCCCCAACATAAACAAGGATCTTCTAATGTAGCAACCAAGAGATTCCAGTTGAGTCGATGTGTATTTTATTTCCCCTTCCATTGTCCTCTTTGCAGAACCAAGCTGACCGGGGTGAAGCCGCACCCAAAGAGCTGCACCTTCCTTTTCTGGGAAAGGCCTTACCTGCCTTCTGCTGAGTCACGGATCCTCGTGAATCACATTTATGATGCTGTCAGAGAAGTCACCGGAGTCGGTGACGGACAGGTTGGGAAGCCAGGTTGCAGCCAGTGGGTGGATGAGAGGTCTCAGGTAGGAATGCAGGCCGAGAGCCATCTTTGGTGGGCCTTTGAGACAACAAAGACACACAAATGAAGAGGGGAGAGACACACAGGTGTGTTGCTACACATTTGGATCACATCTATTGCTCCAGATCCTAACCTGAACTCTCCTCGACACAAAACTCCCGTTCCACATCGTCGCCATCCATTTGGACACATCGGCGCCATCGTTGAACCCGGGCATCCAAACCATTTGGGAAAAAATCAGAGTTTTGCTTCATGACCCATGATTTTAAAGTCTAAAATCATAACCGTAGATAAAGAACAAACCTCAAAAAACAGGGGAATTCCAGACAAAAAAAAATCAGAGCCAACTCATCCCCACCTAATAAAGGATTCCCTTAGTCAGTAAGAAGCCACACTTTGAAACTGCTAAATGCTAATCAAGGTGGCCAATTGAAATATTCACATCTACCTCCAACAGTCAAGAGTTCTTTCTCCCACCCTGGACATTATTCCAAAGATAATGGCAGTAAGCAGCCAGGGCTTGAAGCTGCAAAGCTACTAAATTCTAATCAAGGTGGCCAATTGAAACATTCACAGCAAAGCTACTAAATTCTAATCAAGGTGGCCAACTGAAACATTCACAGCTACCTCCAACAGGCAAAAGTTCTTTCCCCCACCTGGACATTATTCCAAAGATAATGGGAGTAGGCAGCCAGACCTTGAAACTGCAAAGCTATTGAATGCTAATCAAGGTGGCCAGTTGCAACATTCACACTTGCCTCCAACAGACAAGTGTTCTTTCTCCCACCCTGGACATTCCAAAGGTAATGGCAGTAAGCAGCCAGACCTTGAAGCTGCAAAGCTATTAAATGCTAATCAAGGTGGCCAATTGAAATATTCACACTTACCTCCAACAGAGAAGAGTTCTTTCTCCCACCCTGGACATTATTCCAAAGATGATGGCAGTAAGCAGCCAGAGCTTGAAGCTGCAAAGCTATTAAATGCTAATCAAGGTGGCCAATTGCAATATTCATAGCTACCTACAACAGACAAGAGTTCTTTCTCCCACCCTGGACATTATTCCAAAGATGATGACAGTGAGCAGCCAGGTTTTGAAGCTGCAAAGCTATTAAATGGTAATCAAGGTGGCCAATTGAAACATTCACAGCTACCTCCAATAGACAAGAGTTCTTTCTCCCACCTGGACATTATTTCAAAGATGATGGCAGTAAGCAGCCAGACCTTGAAGCTGCAAAGCTATTAAATGCTAATCAAGGTGGCCAATTGAAATATTCACACTTACCTCCAACAGACACGAGTTCTTTCTCCCACCCTGGACATTATTCCAAAGATGATGAAAGTGAGCAGCCAGATTTTGAAGCTGCAATGCTATTAAATACTAATCAAGGTGGGCAATTGAAACATTCATATCTACCTCCAACAGACAAGAGTTCTTTCTCCCACCTGGACATTATTCCAAAGGTAATGGCAGTAAGCAGCCAGACCTTGAAGCTGCAAAGCTATTAAATGCGGTACCAAAATTTCCTTCTTGACAGATGCAACTGCCTTTCGGACCGCTGCTTCACCATCCACTTGTGGCACCAAGTCCTTGATGGAGTAATTCCTCATTCTTACGCATGGTGTCGTAAATAAGTTAAGTTAGCCTCTCCGCATAAAGCGGTACCTACATTTCCTACTTGACAGGTGCAAATGTCTTTCAGGCTGCATAGGTCAACAGCAAGCTAGACTATTAATGGTCGGGAGCTCACTCCATAATGTTTTTATGACCCAGGAGGAAAAACCTATTGACCCACCCTCGTCTATCCTATCTTTTAATTACGTAATCAATAGTTTTAACTTGGTGAGTTGTTGAAATGCTTTCCAACACTATAAACACAACCACAACAATATGAAAGTATCAGCTTGTGGATATTGGATCCTTTGCTGAAGGAGGAAGAGGCATTGAGCAATCGAATGCCCCGCTCCCAAAAGAATTGCCGAGGTTCTTTCGTAAGGGAACAGCTTTGGGAATCTAAACAGGGCCCGAAGCAGTGACGTCCTCAGGACGTTGTGAACTTTGGGTCAGTTGGCCCACGTCACTGGAGGGATTTGTAGAGCAACAACTGTGCAAAGTTCCCTCCCGTTGCAGGAAAAGCAAGTGAATACGCAGCCGGCCCAACTACATTTGTCAACTTGACTGATGCCCGCCCTCCTTTCTTTCCTGCAAAGTGCTTGAGACTTGCAAGCACTTGGAAGTTGTAGTTGCAGGGATTTATAGTTCACCCACAATCCAAGAGTATTCTGAACTCCACCAAGGATGGAATTGAACCAAACTTGGCACACTGAACTCCAATGGCAAATAGAAAATACTGGAAGGGTTTGATGGCTGGTCAAGACATTGACCTTGAGTTTTGGGAGTTGTAGTTCACCTACATCCAGAGAACACTATGGACTCAAAAATGATAGATCTGGACCAAACTTGGCACAGATACTCAATATGCCCAAATGTGAACACTGGTGGAGTTTGGGGGAAATAGACATTGACATTTGGGAGTTGTAGTTGCTGGGATTTATAGTTCACCTTCAATCAAAGAGCATTCTGAACCCCACCAATGATGGAATTGAACCAAACTTGGCACACCGAACTCCCATGACGAATAGAAATTACTGGAAGGGTTTGATGGCTGGTCAAGACTTTGACCTTGAGTTTTGGGAGTTGTAGTTCACCTACATCCAGAGAACACTATGGACTCAAACAATGAGTTTGGTAGGCATTGACCTTGAGTTTTGGGAGTTGTAGTTCACCTACATCCAGACAGCACTGTGGACCCAAACAATGACGGATTTGGACCAAACTTGGCACCGATAATCAATATGCCCAGATGTAAACACTGGTGGAGTTTGGGGAAAATAGACCTTGACATTTGGGAGTTGTAGTTGTTGGGATTTATAGTTCACCTACAATCGAAGAGCATTCTGAACCCTACCACTGACTTAGGATGTCCTTTATTCTGTGGAGGTCAAGCAAACAGGCAGGAGAAGCAGGAACACAGACCCAACCATCAGAAAAATAGATTTATTTTATATCCAAAAATACATACAATACTTCTGTTGAGGGTAGCATTAATCAAGGCTCGCACACACTCACAAACACACAAACATATACACGCTTTATAGAAAAACCTTGGGCCGGAGTCTGGTCATATACGGTTTGGGAATCAGAGGCTGCCGTAGCTGGCAATAACTTGCTCCAGAGTTGTGAAACAGTCCAGGAAATCGTCTTCATCCAACCCAAACTTGGTATACTGGTGAATGTACGCCCTGCGTGGACAGAAGAACGGGAACGCTTACATCAGAACAGTGGTTCTCAACCGTCCCAATGCCGAGACCCCTTAAGACGGGTCCTCATGTGGTGGTGACCCCCAACCAGAACGTTATTTTCGTTGCAACTTCATAACTATCATTTTGCTACTGTTATGAATCGTCATGTAAATATCTGATATGCAGGATGTATTTCCATTCACTGGACCAAATTTAGCACAAATACCCAATACACCAAAATTTGAATACTGGTGGGGTTGAGGGTAAAAAGATCTCAACATTTGGGAGTTGTAGTTGGTGGGATTTGTAGTTCACCTACAATCAATGAGCAGTCTGAACCCCACCAACGATGGAACTGAACCAAACTTGGCACACACAACTCCCATGACCAACAGAAAACACTAGAAGAGTTTGGTGGGCATTGACCTTGAGTTTTGGGAGTTGTAGTTCACCTACATCAAGAGAGCACTGTGGCCTCAAACAATGATGGATCTGGACCAAAATTGGCACGAATACTCAATAGGCCCAAATGTAAACACTGGTGGAGTGTGGGGGAAATAGACCTTGACATTTGGGAGTGGTGGTTGCTGGGATTTATAGTTCACCTACAATCAAAGAGCAGTCTTTGATTGACCTTGAGTTTAGGAGTTGTAGTTCACCTACTCCCAGAGAGCACTGCGGACTCAAACAATAATGGATCTGGACCAAACTTGGCACGAATACTCAATAGGCCCAAATGTGAACACTAGTGGGCTTTGGAGAAAATAGAGCTTGGGATTTATAGTTCACCTACAGTCAAAGACATTTGAACTCCACCAATGATGAAATTGAACCAAACTTGGCACACAGAACTCCCATGACCAACAGAAAACACTGGAAGGGTTCGGTGGGCACTGACCTTGAGTTTTGGAGTTGTAGTTCACCTACATCAACAGAGCACTGTGTACTCAAAACAGTGACGGATCTGGACCAGAATTGGCATGAATACTCAATATGCCCAAATGTAAACACTGGTGGAGTTTGGGGGAAATAGACCTTGACATTTGGGAGTTGCGGTTGCTGGGATTTATAGTTCACCTACAACCAGAGAGCAATCTGAATCCCACCAACGATGGAATTGAACCAAACTTGGGGCACAGAACTCCTATGACCGATGGATAATACTAGAAGAGTTTGGTAGGCATTGACCTTGAGTTTTGGGAGTTGTAGTTCACCTACATCTAGAGAGCAGTATAGACTCAAACGATGATGGATCTGGACCAAACTTGGCATGGATACTCAATATGCCCAGATGTAAATACTGGTGGATTTTGGGGAAAATAGACCTTGCCTTTGGGAGTTGTAGCTCCTTCTCATTTCGTCCCGCCAAAGAACCTGAGACAGTGGCATTTCAAGTATTATTTTTCCCACTTACTTGGAGGCGAACATTTTCCACGCCTTCCCCACTACGCTGTCAAGGGGCTTGAGCAAGAACTGGCTGTTGCTCACCAGGGATGCCGATTTCTCGTATCTGTTAAAGGCTCTCGGAGTTTGCCAGACCGCCAGGGTGTCCTCTGGAGCGTTGAGCCAAGAGGTGTAGAGGGCAGGGTCTCGGAAGCCTCCTGCAGGAAGCAACATTTAACAACAACACTAGTAATAGTAATAGTAACACTTTATTTATATTCCGCCCTTTCTCCCCAAAGGGACTCAGGGTGGATCACAATACACATACACGGCAAACATTCAATGCTGTTTGGACAGACAGAAAGGAGGAATGTTGTGTTGACGTCTAGCTTTTGGACACCTTGGAGGTTTGTGCTTCAATTCATCTTCTGCGGCGAAGAGCCATTAAGACTTCCTCCTTCCTTTTGGTCACCACATTTTCTGGTCTTTTTCTTTTATGGCATCCTAAAATACTGCGCCTGCTTGTTTAGCGATACTTAATTTCTCTACTTTGATTCTATGATTCTAAGCTGTTGTCAAACTGCTTAGGTCAACAGTGAGCTGGGCTGACAGCCAGGTGCTCACCCCAACCTGGGCTTTGAACTGGCAGCCTTTCAGTTGGTAGATCTTATTACCGGTAGTGGTGATTTACCCGCTGTGCTATAATAAAATAATAATTATTTTATAATAAAATGAAACAAGAGATAATGTTAATTTCCGGTCAGCAGATTTTCTGCAGCTAGTGGTTTAACCCGCCGCAGTTGGTTGGTTGATTGTATGCATACATTGCAAACTCCCAACAGGTTTCTCACCTAGGTCTGCGCTCTGGATGTCTTTTCCTCGCAAGGTCACCAGGTTGGCGATGGAGGTGTTGAAACGGCCCGTCTGCTTTGGAGACTCTTTCCGAGAGGCAGGGAGCCCAGGGACAGGTGGACGTACCTGCCAGTCAATACCTGGAAAGGGAAACGGGAGATAAGCATTTCAATAGTAGGGTCCTCTTTGATTTTAATCAGCCTTGCTCCATCATAGCGATTCTTTGGATTGTTGTTGTTTATTCATTCGGTCACTTCAAATCTCCATTTCTAAGTCGAAGAGCCGGCGTTGCCCATAGACACCTCCAAGGTCATGTGGCCAGCATGAATGCATGGAGCGCTGTTACCTTCCCGCCAGAGCGGTACCTATTGATCTACGCACATTGGCATGTTTTCGAACTGCTAGGTTGGCACAAGCTGGGGCTGACTGTGGGAGCTCACCCCGCTCTCCGGATTCGAACCTGCGACCTTTCGGTCTGCAAGATCAGCAGCTCAGCGCTTTAACCCACTGCACCACTCACATCAAAATACTATTGTGAAAGTCACATAGGAATCTCCCCAACCCATTTGGAGATCTATAGACTGCTCAACTCGGAAAAATCCAAAGCGTGTAGAAATGGCTCCTCCTATTGGATGAAAGCATCAAGTACATGCTCTAGTTATTATTACAGCACTTCAATCCCACTTTCACTGGGATGGTTCTGGACTCTCTAAGACCATTATATCCACACATAATGTGAGCTCCCGACCATTAATAGTCTAGCTTGCTGTTGACCTATGCAGCCCGAAAGAGGAGCCCCTGGTGGCGCAACACACACACACAAGGGTGGGTCAAAAAGTAATGCCTCCATCGCTCTAACTTTTCTTTCTTCCCCAGTTACTAGACTATTTATACCTTCTTCCATCTTTGCGTTTGCGATCAGCATCTGCCGCAAGTGTTTCAGGAGCCCGGGCCACGCAAACGTGGTGTAAGGGAGGGAGTTTTCAGACATTTGAGGAATGTTCCGGATACCCAACATCTTGAACTCGGGGTGGGGAACAAGGGCTTCCATTAGATCCCCTGCGGAGGAGAGATGGGCATTACAATCTCATATAATAATAATAATAATAATAATAATAATAATAATAATTTATTTATATTCCGCCCTATCTCCCCAAGGAGGAGACTCAGAACAGATTACAACATACACAAATAGGCAAACATTCAATACCTTTAATACAGTGGAATAACAATGACATACAATACACAAAGGTAAAGGCTTCCCCTTTCATTTCCGGCTTCTGGAGGTGGTACTCAACTTTGACCATGGGGAGGTGCTCTTGTTCCATTTCCAAGTCAAAGAGCCTGTTGTCCATAGACACCTCCTGGTCGCATTGCCAGCATGGGTGCCTTTATTACCTTCTCACCGAAGCAGTACCTATTGACCTACTCACATTTGCATGTTTTCGAACTGCTAGGTTGGCAGGAGCTGGGGCTAACAGCAGGATGTCACTTTATACTCCACTCTATCTCCCTGAGAGGACTACAACATACACTGATAGGCAAACATTCAATGCCTTTAATACAGTGGGATAACAATGACAAACAATACACAAACAAAGGTAAAGGCTTTCTCTTTCATTTCCGGCTTCTGGAGGTGGTACTCAACTTGTGCTCTTGTTCCATTTCCAAGCCAAAGAGCGTGTTGTCCACAGACACCTCCTGGTCGCATTGCCAGCATGGACACCTTTATTACCTTCCCACCGAAGCAGTACCTATTGTTCTACTCACATCTGCATGTTTTCGAACTGCTAGGTTGGCAGGAGCTAGGGCTAACAGTAGGAGCTTACCCCGACCTGCGGCTTTGAACTGATCAGCAGATTCAGCATTATTACCTTTATTATCTTCCCACCTATTCATCTACTCACATTTGCATGTTTTCGAACTGCTAGGTTGGCAGGAGCTAGGGCTAACAGCAGGAGCTCACCCCAACCCGTGGCTTCGAACTGCCAACCTTCTGGTCAGCAGATTCAGCAGTACAAGGGTTTAACCCATTGCGCCAACTTAACTTATGGGCCACTTCTGACCCTCTTTGGCCTTTGAAGCCCCAGATATGACTTCATACAATCATGCCTAGAAAGACGGCTTGAGGACTTGCAACTTCTTTCGGCACAAGATGCAAGTCCTGCGGTGAAGGCCACGTACCTAAGGGGCTCCTGCTATACGGAGTAGCTCCTTCAGAGGAGGCGCGAGCCGGCTGGAAGACGCTCCCCAACTGATGCGCGATGACTCGGTTGACGTCCCGGAAAGAGATCTGCTTGATGTTCATGAGCTGTGCGCAGATCTTGTGGACGGCGTCGTTTTCGTGAACCAGGAGGGCGTCGGAGGACTGGTAAAGGTGCGAGAGAGTCAGCACCGCATTGTAGTTTTGCACAATCACCTGGAACGGGGAGGGAGTGGGAAAGAAGATGGCAACAGTTCAGACGTCAAGGTGACGAGTTTACCAAAGGGTTTCCCAGGAAGGAATAAATGTCGACGACGACGTCGCTTATGCTCTTAGCACAAACCAAATTCCTATCTCTGGTATAGACCATATATACCGGATATAGACCATATATACTGATATATTTATTTATTTACAGCATTTATATGTCGCCCTTCTCACCTCGAAGGGGACTCAGAGCAGCTTACTATATATATATATATATATATATATATATATATATATATATATATACATACATACATACACACACACACACACATACACACACACACATATATATATATATACACACACACACACACAATATATTATGTTATTAGCATAGTACAATATCAGTATTATATATTACTATATTGTGCTACACCATTATATTATAATATTATTAGTAATATATTTTATTACATTATAATATAAATATTAGATGTATATACAATATATTACATTATATTATATTATTAGTATATAATATAGTATATGGTATAACTATATAGACCATATATACCGGATATATTTTTATCTATTTATTTATTTACGACATTTATATGCCGCCCTTCTCATCCTGAAGGGGACTCAGAGCGGCTTACAAGATATATATATATATACATACATACAATACATTATATTATTAGCATAGTACAATATCAGTATTATATATTACTATATTGTACTACACCATTATAATATTATTAGTAATATTACATGTAATATAAAATACATAATATTGTATTATTAGTATTATATTGTATTACATTATAATATAAATATTTGGAGGGAGCTGGGGGTGGTAACGGCCGACAGGGAGCTCTGGCGTGGGCTGGTCCATGAGGTCACGAAGAGTCGGAGACGACTGAACGAATGAACAACAACATAAATATTTGATGTATATACAATATATTATATTATATTATTAGTATATAATATAGTATATAATATAACTATATAGACCATATATACCGGATATATTTTTATCTATTTATTTACGACATTCATATGCCGCCCTTCTCACCCCGAAGGGGACTCAGAGCAGCTTACAAGATATATATATATATACATACACACACACACACACACACACAATGTATTATATTATTAGCATAGTACAATATCAGTATTATATATTACTATATTGTACTATACCATTATATTATAATATTATTAGTAATATTACATGTAATATAAAATATATAATATTGTATTATTAGTATTATATTGTATTACATTATAATATAAATATTCGATGTATATACAATATATTATATTACATTATATTATTAGTATATAATATAGTATATAGTATAACTATATAGACCATATATACCAGATATATTTTTATCTATTTATTTATTTATGACATTTATATGCTGCCCTTCTCATCCTGAAGGGGATTCAGAGCAGCTTAAAAGATATATATATATATACACACATATACACACACACACACACACATGCAATATATTATAAGCATAGTACAATATCAGTATTATATATTACTATAATATTGTAATATTATTAGTAATATTGCATGTAATATAAAATATATAATTATAATATATTATTAGTATTATATTGCATTACATTATAATATAAATATTATATGTATATACAATATATTACATTACATTATAAGTATATAATATGGTATATAGTATATAATATTATTATACAGACCATATATACCAGATATATTTTTATCTGGGTTGTTGTAGGTTTTTTTGGGCTATATGGCCATGGTCTAGAGGCATTCTCTCCTGACGTTTTGCCTGCATCTGCGGCAAGCATCCTCAGAGGTAGTGAGGTCTGTTGGAACTAGGAAAAAGGGTTTATATATCTGTGGAATGACCAGGGTGGGACAAAGGACTCTTGTCTGCTGGAGCTAGGTGTGAATGTTTCAACTGACCACCTTGATTAGCATATAATGGCCTAACAGTGCCTGGAGCAAACTTTTGTTGAGAGGTGATTAGATGTCCTTGTTTGTTTCCTCTCTGTTGTTATGTATAATTTTATCTATTTATTTATTTACAACATTTATATGCCTCCCTTCTCACCCCGAAGGGGACTCAGAGTGGCTTACAAGATATACGGTATATACATACAATATATTATATTATTAGCATAGCACAATATCAGTATTATATGTTACTATATTGTACTATACATTATTACTATATTGTTACTATATTGTACTATACAATACTATATTGTACTATACCATTATATTGTAATATTATTAGTAATATAAATATATAATATCGTATTATTATTATTAGTATTATATTGTATTACATTATAATATTATAAATATTTTATGTATATACAAAATATTATATATCATATTGTATTACATTATAATATATTATAAATATTATATGTATGTACAATATATTATATCACATTACATTATATTATATTATTAGCTTAGCACATATATATGCTATATCTATATAAATAAAAATGTAATGTTCATTTGTGGGATTAACATAACTCAAAAACACACATATACACAATATGCGTGTACACATATAAAAACACAAAGATATACACACATGTATATATATGCACAAACACACTAATATACACCCATACATATACACACAGTTATATATATATACACATGCACACACATATATACATATATACACACAAATATACACCCATACATATACAGTTATATATATATACACATGCACACACATATCCACATACATACACACACACAAATATACACCCATACATATACACAGTTATATATATACACATGCACACACATATCCACATACATACATACACACACACAAATATACACCCATACATATACACAGTTATATATATACACATGCACACACATATCCACATACATACATATACACACACAAATATACACCCATACATATACACAGTTATATATATACACATGCACACACATATCCACATACATACATATACACACACAAATATGCATGTAGACAAGCACACACATATACACAATATGCATGTACACATATAAAAACACAAAGATATACGCACATGTATATATATGCACAAACACACAAATATACACCCATACATATACACACAGTTATATATATACACATGCACACACATATCCACATACATACATATATACACACAAATATACACCCATACATACACACAGTTATATACATACACACACACATATCCACATACATACATATATACACACAAATATGCATGTAGACAAGCACACACATATACACAATATGCATGTACACATATAAACACACAAATACACACACACACGTATATACACCCATATATATATATATATACACACACACACATATATACACACACACACAAAACACATATTCACACACTGGGCCACAGCAACACGTGGCAGGGGACGGCTAGTGTGTGTGTGTATGTGTGTGTGTGTGTGTATATATATATATATATATGATATAGACCATATATACCGGATATATTCCAATCACAAAGGCTATGCGTGACTGCCCGCATTAGAAGCAGCACATGGGAGAGATGCCCAACGGGGAACATTGAGCATTTAGCTCAGAACCAAAACCCAAAAGTCCCATTTGGTAGAGGGATCTCAGTGCAACATTCACCTCCCCAGTTCCATAGGGCCAGACGACATGGTTGAGCAGGAATGAGGTGGGATACGCATCTTTCAAGCCTGCCGTCACAAAGGCGCCCAGGCCGGATCCTGTCCCGCCGGCCATGCTCATGACGGTCAGAAATCCACTCAGCCGGTCGCATTTCTCGGCCTCTTTCTGCACCAGGTTCATGATGGCTTCTTTGTGTTTGGGCCCATGGACGCAATAACTAGAACACAAACGGATACGGGTTAGAAAGGGGAAGGCGGGATTGAAATAAGTGATATGGAATAGACACAACTATGGGAAGAAAGACATTTTTAAAATGTATCAGTATGTGTTAAAGAAAACTATGGAAATAATCTATATAAATAAAAATGTAATGTCCGTTTGTGGGATTAACACAACTCAAAAACCACTGGGCAAATTGACACCAAATTTGGACACAAGACACCTAACAACCCAAAGTATGTCCTTCAATCAAAAAATATGATTTTGCCATTCGGGAGTTGTAGTTGCTGGGGTTTATAGCTCACCTATAATCAAAGAGCATTCTGAACTCCACCAACGATGGAATTGAACCAAACTTGGCAGACAGAACCCCCACGACCAACAGAAAATACTGGAAGGGTTTGGTGGGCAGCGTCCTTTGGTTTTGGAGTTGTAGTTCACCTTCATCCAGAGAGCACTGTGGACTCAAACAATGATGGATCTGGACCAAACTTGGCACGAATACTCCATATGCACAAATATGAACCATCTAGGTTGTTAAGATCGTCTGGAGGGGCCCTGCTCTCAGTCCCACCAGCCTCAGGTGCGTCTGGTGGGGATGAGGGACAGGGCCTTCTCGGTGGTGGCCCCTCGACTCTGGAACTCTCTCCCACTGGAGATCAGAACTGCCCCCTCCATTCTGTCGTTCAGATAACCTGGCTATGGGGTTTGGCTTTCGACGAGCGAATCAATATTTCTGTGATCGGATAGATGACGATGAATGATGTTAGTATGTGATTGCATTTTGCTGTTATAACGTTTTAATTGAATATGTTATATGATGTTTTTAATGATTGTTTTGTGATTTTATTGTTGGAAACTGACCCGAGTCCCCCGATAGAGGGGAGAAGACCGGTATACAAAATTGCTAAATAAATAAATAAATAAATAAACACAGATGGAGTTTGGGGAAAATAGACTTTGACCTTAGGGAGTTGTAGTCACTGGGATTCACAGTTCACCTACAATCAAAGAGCATTCTGAACCCCACCAACGACAGAATTGGGGCAAACTTCCCACACAGAACCCCCATGACCAACAGAAAATACTTAAGGCCATCCAATCCAACTCCCTTCATCAGGGCAAGAAAACGTAATCAAAGCCCTCCTGACAAAGAGCCATCCAGCCATAGATAGATAGATAGATAGATAGATATGATTCACACACAGAGAGATTATAGTATCATAGATCTGAAAGGGACCCTTAAAGAAGGACATGCAAGTATATGTTGCATGTTCCAGAGTAGGCAAACCAGACAATCTCCACATCAATACTGACATAGAAACAACAAGGAATACTGTTTACCCACAAGCATAAAGGAATTACATCTATTAGAAACCAACATTTTCTCATTACTTTATTTTCCAGATCAACAGACTGGGCCACGTGTGCAACGTGTGGCAGGGGACAGCTAATAATAATAATAATAATAATAATAATAATAATAATAGTGCAAAGACTCTGACACAAGCCAGTATAGATGGTCCCTGTACTGGTACGGCTGTACCAGGAGCTCCAACTTCCTTTCCTTTCTATTGAGAGTTTGCATGTATTCCAAAGTTCCATGCATTTTGCAATAAGGTGGCTTCCCTTGGTTTGCAATCATAGGGCCAATGAGCCATCAATTATCCTTATGTTCTTTAGTTCTGCCCCTTTTTCTGGGTTAAGGAAGGAAAAAGGGGACCTCTAGTTCAGTTCACACAGAGAAGCCTTTCGTACAGGACGTGAATCAGTTCCACCTGTAGAAAGCTTCATCTTTTTCAGCTTTGCTGGGGGGATCCAGTCCCACAGCTCTACAGAGAACTGCGGCATAGCCTTTGTTGGGGAATTTAGTTCCACAAGTCTACAGCCAGCTGTTTGCTGGAGAAATACAGCTCCACAGTTTTACAGCCAGCCTTCGCTGGGAATTGAAAGCCTTCTTTCCTCTTAGAAATCTACTAAAGGACTCTGTTTGGTAAGGACCACTTGCGGCAGCCATAATGCAATTTGGACCGGGTGTAGGGGCCACGCCAGCAGAGCTTAAGCCAGATTGCCCAGGAAGGGGTCAAGGATTTTATGAAGAAAGATGCCTGTCCCTTGTGGACAAGATTTAAGCAAGCCACCAGTTGATTCAAACCCTTGTTTGATTTATTGAAGATTTAAGCAACAATAAAAACTTCATTGAACTTTCTAAGTCTTTAAAAGATCTTTGTGTGGGGAAATCCGAAAGGCCTCTCAGCCGAGGCACCCCCGGCGTCCCATTGGGCATTCAGAAAACACGTCCTGTCTACAGACTCTTTCACAGGCCAAGCGCGTGACAGCACAATCCCAGTGGTGATCGGCACACTGGGTGCAGTGCAGTGCCTAAAGACCTTGGCCTGCACTTAAACACAATCGGCGCTGACAAGATTACCATCTGCCATCTGCAAAAGGGATCTGCACACATTATTCGCCGATACATCACACAGTCCTAGACACTTGGGACCTCACAACCTCTGAGGATGCCTGCAGGCGAAACGTCAGGAGAGAATGCTTCTGGAACATGGCCAGACAGCCCGGAAAACAAACAACAACCCAAACTTTGGGAGGCTTCCAAGGTTTACAAAATGAATATCGGATATCAGGTATCACGTCATAAGGACGAATTTAACGAATTTGATACAACTTAGGAAAGCATTGCACATGCCTAATACATACCCATTTGCCCAATTATTCCCCGATCCTTGCTTTTGACAGAAGTGTGATTTATGGTCGTATGTCCAGCTGCCGGACTTGGAAGCCACGGATAAAGTCTGGCCAATAACTTTGGGTTCCATGTCCACCAAAACAGCGCGAGCAGCAAGAGCTGAATGGAAAGAAAATAGAAAATGGAACATTTCGGTGGTATCGTGTTCCTCCTTCGTAGAAGCGGTCTTGAGTCTCATGTCGTGGGCAAAAGAAATAAGCGTACCTCCAGGTTTGTCTTCGCTGAAAAACCGTTCCCTGCCAGCGGCCAGGTAGGACTCGTTTTCCTTTTTGGAGCACAATCCGTGGCCGCTGTGCAAGTCGGTGCAGATGGTGTCAAACACTTCACGGCCGACTTGGTTTCCGCACTGACCCAGCTGAATGGTGATGATGGACATCCTTTTTTGGCTTGAGTCTCTTTGGGGGAGATAAGGCGGGGTGTAAATAAATATTGATTTATTTAAGACATTGATATGCCGCCCTTCTCACCCCAAAGGGGACTCAGAGCAGCTTACAAGTTACACGTACATACAATAGAACTCTTGCCTGCTTGAGGCAAGTGTGAATGTTGCCATTGGCTAGCTTGATTTGCATGGAATGGCAGCAATCAGCCAGGCTCTGAAGCTACAAGGCCATTCCATGTTGCAATTGGCCACTTTTATTACCATTGAATGGCCTTGTAGTGTCAAACCCTGGCTGGTTGCTGCCATTACATGCTAATCAAGCTGGTCAATTGCAACATTCACACTTGCCTCAAGTAGGCAAGATGTTGCATCCCAGATCATGAAACGAGACCATAAGAATAAATTCACCACACTGGACTGTAGGAAAAACAATCCTTTTTTATTGATGAAAAATTGGTTACAAAAGAAAGGCAAATGCAAAGTCAAAAAGCCACAATAGAAACACATGCTGGTCTTACCTACAAGAAGCACTGCCTGAACATCAAGCAAAAAGTGGGTGCTAGAAACAGTATCATACGAAAGCTGACTGGCACAACCTGGGGATCACAACCAGATACAGTGAAGACATCTGCCCTTGCGCTGTGCTACTCTGCTGCTGAGTATGCATGCCCAGTGTGGAACACATATCACCACACTAAAACAGTGGATGTGGCTCTTAATGAGACATGCCGCATTATCACGGGGTGTCTGCGCCCTACACCACTGGAGAAATTACACTGCTTAGCCGGTATTGCACCACCTGACATCCGCCGGGAAGTAGCAGCCAATAGTGAAAGGACCAAGGCAGAGACATCTCCAGCTCATCCCCTGTTTGGGTATCAGCCAGCACGCCAACGACTTAAATCTAGACATAGTTTTCTAAGATCTACAGAGACACTCGCTGGAACACCTCAGCAAGCGAGAGTCCAAAAGTGGCAGGCCCAAACCCAGCACCTCAACCAATGGCTGATACCAAATGAGAGACTCCCTCCTGGGCACACAGAAAACTGGGCGACTTGGAAGGCACTGAACAGACTGCGCTCTGGCACCACGAGATGCAGAACCAACCTTAGAAATGGGGCTACAAAGTGGAATCCTCGACATGCGAGTGTGGAGAGGAGCAAACCACTGACCACCTGCTGCAATGCAACCTGAGCCCTGCCACATGCACCATGGAGGACCTTCTTGCAGCAACACCGGAAGCACTCCAAGTGGCCAGATACTGGTCAAAGGACATTTAACCAACTACCAAACTCACAAGATGTGTATTTTTCTGTCTGTTTGCTTTGTTCTGTTAGAAATGTAATATATAATGGACTGGTTGCTCTGACACGACAAATAAATAAATAGAAACACAGCAGTCAGGAAAATCTCTGAGCTTGAGCAAAATTCCAAAAACCATAATACAAAAACCAGGAACCTGTTAGCATCTCACTAACCATGTACTTGAAAACTAGAAGCCTCTGGGACACAGGAATTCTGCCAAGGCAGAGCCGCAGTTCAAAACGATGCTTGATCTAACGAGACACCCAGAAGGAGGCCCCTTAAACCAAAGAAACTATTCCTTGAAACGCCCCTTGACTTTGAAGCCTGGGCCTGTCTCTCCTGTAATCTATTTGACCTTCGTAGAAACTGTGAATCACTCCTGTTTCTAGTTATCTGTTCCCTTCGGTCCTCATTAAAAACCCAGGTGTGATTTCCTCTGGAGAGCTATCACGGCTGGATTCCAAAACATTTTCATCAGGCTGTTCAGTTTCACTTTCCTCGCCACTGACCTCAGCATCAACAACAGCTTCAACACTATCAGGGAGAGATACATGTTCAGTGGCTTGCTCAGTTGGAAATACAATCAGAGAATCAGGTTCACACAGAGATTGGGGATCAGGTTCACATGAAGCAGGCTGAACCCCAACACAAGAGTTCTTTCTCCCACAGATATATAAACACCACTTGCCTGGTTTCCAACACACCTCCCAACCTCTGAGAATGCTTGCCACAGATGTGGGTGAAACATCAGGAGAGAATGCTTTTGGAACATGGCCAGACAGCCCGGAAAACTCACAGCAAACCCAAATGAGAGTTATAACAAGGCAGTGAAGTCTGATAAAACCGGATGCTAATATTGTGCTACACTAATAATATAACATATTACATCTATATATCTACATATATCAATATTATACTGTAATACAATATAATACTAATAATAATACCATATGATAATATATACTATCTAATATATACTATATACATAATATATACTAATAATATTGTGATATACAGTAATATACATAGTATATAAATATTTTGTACACTATTATATATATTATATAATTTTATTCATATAATAAATATAATACCATATTTCCCTTATGTATAATATAATTTATAGTATAATATAATAATCATCATATAATAAATATAATACCCTATTTCCCTTATGTATAATATAATATATGTATATTATAGTAATATAATATAAATTATATATATATATAAATAATATAATACTCATATAATAATTATAATACCATATGACCCTTATGTATAATATATTATAATATATAGTATAATATATTATAATATATGTATATTATAGTAATATAATATAAATAATATATATATAATACTCATGTAATAATTATAATACCATATTTCTCTTATGTATAATATAATATATAGTATAATAATATAATTATATTCATATAATAAATATATTCCCATATTTCCCTTATGAATAATATATTATAATATATGTATATAAAATAATACTCATATAATAATTATAATACCATATGTCCCTTATGTATATTATTATATATATATAATACTAATATAATAAATATAATACCCTATTTCCCTATATGTATATCATAGTAATATAATATAAATAATATATGTAATATAATACTCATATAATAAATATATTCCCCTATTTCCCTTATGTATATTATAATATATAGCATAATAATATAATAATCATATAATAAATATATTCCCCTATTTCCCTTATGAATAATATATTATAATATATAGCATAATAATATAATAATCATATAATAAATATATTCCCCTATTTCCCTTATGTATAATATGTTATATGTATATCATAGTAATATAATATAAATAATATATATATATATATATATAATACTCATATAATAATTATAATACCGTATGTCCCTTATGTATAATATATTATAATATATAGTATAATAATATAATTATATTCATATAATAAATATATTCCCCTATTTCCCTTATGAATAATATATTATAATATATATCATAATAATATAACAATAATCATATAATATATATCATACCCTATTTCCCTTATGTATAATATGTTATATGTATATCATAGTAATATAATATAAATAATATATATATAAAATAATACTCATATAATAATTATAATACCATGTCTCTTATGTATATTATAATATATATTATTATAATAATACTCATATAATGAATATAATACCATATTTCCCTATACTACAATTCACCCTGATTATCAGCATCATCATCATCCCTGTACTAAACTTATTCACCTTAAGCAGAGAAACTCTGAAACTCAGAAGTTGCCATACTTGAGAGTAGATCTGACTTGTGCCCAGTGCGCATGCGCTTCAATTTCGCGAGGACCGCCTCCCAATATAAACAACACAACTGCGCATGCGCCGTTCTCCAGCCCTGACTCGCGCGGGGAAATTGGAGGGAGCTGGTTATGGGTAACTCTGTGAGCGCATGCGCACTGGAGTCAAAGCAGGAAAGGCGCGAAGTTTGTCTTGATTATTTGAGGGGAGAGTGGGTGGAGTTGCACCCTCTGCGCCTGCGCGCTCGGCTCAGCCCCTCCCACCCTCGCGGCCTTTGGCGCCTGCGCAGTGGGCGCCGCGAGGCTTTGCGCAGGCGCAGTCAGCTCGGGCGAGGGCGGCTGTCATGGCGGCGCTGGGGCTCGGCGCGGAGGGCCCATGAGGCGGCGCTCCGGCCTCACGAAGCCCGTCCTTGTCCCGGAGAGTCAGCAGCGGCCCATCTCGGCGCCCCCGAGGCCATGGCGGGCGTCTTCGACATCGACCTGGACCAGCCCGAGGAGGCCGCGTCGGACGAGGAACTGGAGGAAGGGGTGAGTGAGGGAGCGAGGCCTAGCCGGGCCTGCCCTGGAGGGCCCCACACAAAGCACCCACGGGCCCCTACAGAGCCTTTCCAGGCAGCTTTGGGGTCGGGAAAACTCTCAACACGTGTATTTACATACGAAAAACACTGAGAAAGTCTGAGGTAAAAATTTACACTAGCAGAATCCTCTCAGGCGATGTCTGCGGCCCTGCAAGTGGCCACTTTGGACATGATTTAAGTTAGGGAAGTGTTTACAAGGCTCCTTACGTTGAGAAGGAAGCAAACAAGGCTCCTTAGGAAGGACAGCCAGTCTATATAAATAAAAATGTAATGTTCGTTTGTGGGATTAACACAACTCAAAAACCACTAGAATTGGGCCCAGTCTGTGTATATGTGTTTTCTCTGTGTATATATTTGTGTATATGTGTATTTATGTGGTTATGCACATGCGTTGTAACGTAATTTTTATTATTTGGCTTTTTAAGTCTCTTCCACTGTGTTTTTCAGTGTTTTTATGAGTGACTAGCTGTCCCCTGCCACACGTTGCTTTGGCCCCATCTGTGTATATGTGATTTGTGTGTGTATATATGCTTTAATAATAATAATAATAATAATAATACTTTATTTGTACCCCGCTGCCATCTCCCCAAGGGACTCGGTGCGGCTTACATGAGGCCAAGCCCACAACACATAAATAAACAAAAGCAATAACAATAATCAATACAAAACAGTTAATACACAATAAGCAATAAAAATAACATATCACAACACACAGCATTTAAAAACCTAAGGCCGGGCCAAATGTAATAATTCAAATTTAAAATAAAAAAGTGCTTGGCATGAACAAGGTAAGGCATGTATGTATATATATGTGTGTATATATTTGTGTATATTATATTATTACTGCACTTGTAGACCGCCGTTCTCAGCCCTAGGGCGACTCACGGCGGTGTACAACATATAAAAAACAATTTACAATAAGGCAATTACACAAACAACAACAACAACATCACTATTAATACTACAATTACACTAAATCATTCGCGACGTCTCATCATAGAATCACAATCCAATCTCGTTTTCCATATTCCGTTCCAATCATCATTGCCAATTGTTGTAGCACTTAGTATGTGTGCTTGCGTATATATATGTGGTTTTGTGCATGCGCTGTAATGTTTTTTTTTTTTGTTTTTTGGCTTTTTAAGTCTCTTCTGCTGTGTTTTTCAGTGTTTTTATTTTCTACTAAACGTCCCCTGCCACGCGTTGCTGTGGCCCACTCTGCTGGTCATGGAGGTTCTGTGTGGGAGGTTTGGCCCAATTCCATCGTTGGTGGGGTTCAGAATGCTCTGTGATTCTAGGTGAACTATAAATCCCAGCAACTACAACTCCCAAATGACAAAATCGATTTTTGGAGTGAAGGACGTACATTGGGTTGTTAGATGTCTTGTGTCCAAATTTGGTGTCAATTCCCCCAGTGGCTTTTGAGTTCTGTTAATTCCACAAACGGACATTACATTTTTATTTATATAGATGGTCACTTGTTGGCCTAATAGGAGTATAGTGTCCAAATTTGGTGTCAATTCATCCAGTGGTTTTTGAGTTATCTTAATCCCACAAACAAACATGACGTTTTTATTTCATAAAATCATAGAGTTGGAAGAGACCTCATGGGCCATCCAGTCCAACCCCCTTTAAAGAAAACAGGAATATTGCATTCAGAGCATCCCTGACAGATAGCCATCCAGCCTCTGTTTAAAAGCTTCCAAAGAAGGAGCCTCCACCACACTCCGGGGCAGAGAGTTCCACTGCTGAACGGCTCTCACAGTCAGGAAGTTAATGTTCAGATTAAACTTTATTTGCCTTCACACTATTATTAAACTTTACTTATTTTTAGACTGCCGTAAACTCCAAACTTCCTACAGAGGACAGGAGCAAAATTCAGAATGATTTTAACAGATTAGGGAGATGGGCCAAAATTAACAAAATTAAGTTCAACAGTGATAAGTGCAAGATACTCCGCTTACGCAGTAAAAATGAAATGCAAAGAGACAGAATGGGGGACACATGGCTCTAGAGCAGAACGTGTGAAAAAGATCTTGGAGTCCTCGTGGACAACAAGTTAAACATGAGCCAACAATGTGATGTGGCGGCAAAAAAAGCCAATGGGATTTTGGCCTGCATCAATAGGAGCATAGCGTCTAGATCTAGGGAAGTAATGCTACCCCTCTATTCTGCTTTGGTTAGACCACACCTGGAATATTGTGTCCAATTCTGGGCACCACAATTGAAGAGAGATATTGACAAGCTGTAATGTGTCCAGAGGAGGGCGACTAAATTGATCAAGGGTCTGGAGAACAAGCCCTATGAGGAGCGGCTGTAAGAGCTGGGCATGTTTAGCCTGAAGAAGAGAAGGCTGAGAGGAGACATGATAGCCATGCATAAATATGTGAGAGGAAGTCATAGATAGGAGGGAGCAACCTTGTTTTCTGCTGCCCTGGAGACTAGGACGTGGAAGAATGGCTTCCATCTGAACATTAGGAAGAAGTTCCTGACGGTGCGAGCTGTTCAGCAGTGGAACTCTGCCCCGGAGTGTGATGGAGGCTCCTTCTTTGGATGCTTTTAAACAGAGGCTGGATGGTCATCTGTCGGGGGTGCTTTGAATGCAATTTTCCTGCTTCTTGGCAGGGGGTTGGACTGGATGACCCATGAGGTCGCTTTCAATTATATGATTGAATCAGGGACAGCTACTCACCTCTTAACAAAAGATTCCCTCAGGCATTAATAAGCCACACCAAACAATTGCCAGGCCATCAATGCTAATCAAGGTGGCCAGTTGAAACATTCACACCTAGCCTCCAGAACATGGCCATATAGCCCAGAAAAACCTACAACGACCCATTCACACCTAGCTCCAACAGACAAGAGCGCAAACAATGATGGATGTGCACCAAATTCGGCACGCATAACCAATTTGTCAAAATTTGAATACTGGTGGGCTTGGGGTGGTATTGACCTTGACATCTGTTAGTTGTAGGTAATGGTATTTATACTTCATCTACAATCAAAGAACACTCCGCACCCCACTGAGTATAGACCTGGACCTAACTTGGCACACAGAACCCCCATCATATAATAATGTAATACAATGAATACTAATAATAATAAAATATAATAATTGTATATTACGTATTGCATATAATATTACTAATAATATTGCAGTATAGGCGTATAGTACAATATAGTAATATATAATTTATTTATTTATTTATTTATTTATTTAATACACTTGTATACCGCTAATATCTCAGCCTAAGTCGGCGACTCATTGCGGTTTACAACAATTAAAAACAATATACAATTTAAAACAACAACACATAGACAATACAAATTATTGGGCCACCAATAATAATACCATGTATCTCGTCACTAAAATCACAGTCCAGAATTCGTCATCCAAATTAACCAGTCCTTAGTCCATAAAATTCGGTGATAACAAACTAACCGAATGCTTGTTTACACAACCATGTTTTTAATCTCTTCCTAAACACCATCAGCGAAGAGGCTGATCGTATCTCTATAGGGAGGGTGTTCCAAAGCCGAGGGGCCACCACAGAAAAGGCCCTGTCTCTCGTTCCCACCAGCCGCACTTGGGAAGCCGGTGGGATAGAGAGCAGGGACTCTCCAGAAGATCTAAGGGTCCTGGTGGGCTGATAGGCTGAGATACGTTCGGATAGATAAGTTGGGCCAGAACCGTTTATAATACTAATATTGTGCTATGTTAATAATATAACATATTGTATCTACATATATTAATATTATAATGTAATATGATACTAATAGTAATACTATATGATTATACTAATAATATTGTGATTATAATAATAATACTTATATAATAGATATAATACACTATTTCCCTACACTACAATGGTGTATAGCATTGTTTATTGTTACTGTTGCCTGTATCATTGGAAGTCCCCCATAAGTCCCTGGCTATTATTTTTTGCTATTGTTGTTGCTTCATTTTATAATTGTGCTTGTTGCATTGGTGTTGAATATTGCTGTGCTTATTATAACAGCAGCATTGAGAGCCTTGTTCCTTATTTTCACTATTAGGAATAGTTTTGTACTTCTGACATTTTAAATTTGGCGATTGCTAGACTGCTGGAGATGTGTGTGCATGGCTACAATTATATCAGCTTCACGTCATGTTAACTACTATGATTCTACTTGGGATTTATAGTTCAGCGAACTCTTTGGAACAGTGCTGCTGAAAGTGATGGACTGTGTACCCTGCCCTGGTCTAGGAACTATTGGCTGCCATTCTGCAACAAGTTTCCGGGAAATAAACAGTTGTAATCAGTAGGAGCAAACATAATATATGTTCCTGGAACGTTGAGAAGAAGCCCTGCCAATTTCCCACATCAGTTTGCTTAAGAATCATTGCCTTAGAATACTCTGTAGATGGCTGCTAGAGCTTTCTGTTGGGGAGGTCTGTTTCCAGACTACAAATCCCAAGATTCCATAATAAGCCACAAAAGGATCCAAGAGAGTGGTGATATTCCTCCTGTAGACTGAGTACACTATAAATAATTCTGCTTTTTCTACTAGTTCATAGCATAACATTGGCTCTACTGCAGTGGTCCTCAACCTTCCTAATGCTGTGACTCCTTAATACAGTTCCTCCTGTTGTGGTGACCCCCAACCATAACATTATTTTCATTCCGACTTCATATCTGTCGTTTTCCTACTGTTAGGAATCGTCATGTAAATATCTGATTTATGCAGGTTGTATTTTCATTCACTGGACCAAATTTGGCAAAAATACCCAATACACTCAAATTTGAACACTGGTCGGGTTGAGGGGCGTTGATTTTGTCATTTGGAAGTTGTAGTTGCTGGGATTCATAATACAATCAAAGAACATTCTGAATTCCACCAATGATGGACTTGAACCAAACTTGGGACACAGAACTCCCATGACCAACAGAAATACTGAAAGGGTTTGGTGGGCATTGACCTTGGGTTTTGGAGTTGTAGTTCACCTACATCCGGAGAGCACTGTGGACTCAAACAATGATAGATCTGGACCAAACTTGGCACAAATACTCAATATGCCCAAATCTGAACAGTGGTGGAGTTTGGGGATAACAGGCCTTGACATTTGGGAGTTGTAATTGCTGGGATTTATAGTTCACATACAAAGAGCATTCTGAACTCCACCAACGATGGAATTGAACCAAACTTGGCACACAGAACTCCCATGACTAACAGAAAGTACTGGAAGGGTTTGGTGGACATTGACCTTGATTTTTGGACTTGTAGTTCACCTACCTCTAGAGAGCACTGTGGACTCAAACAATGGTGGATCTGAATCAAACTTGGTACAGATACTCATTATGTCCAAATGTGAACACTGGTGGAGTTCTGGGAAAATAGACCTTGATATTTGGGAGTTGTAGTTGCTATGATTTATAGTTCAGCTACAATCAAGGAGCATTCTGAAGCCTAACAACGATACAATTGGGCCAGACGTCCCACAAAGAACCCTGATGACCAAAATATTTTTGGTGGTCTTTGGCGATTCCTCGGACACCCCCCCTCGTGACCCCTAAGGGGTCTTGACCTCTAGGTTGAGAAATACTGCTCTACTGAATCACAGAACCCTCCTAGATCTATTCAGGGTTCAATCCAGTCCATTGGTCTGCTTGCTACATTGAGTACAAGGGCATGCAGAGTTGCAGACTACATATAGACTTTCCCTGGTGCCTTTTAAAGTCATCTAAATTAGCTGTCACTTACACCTTGCCTCTGTATAAAAACTGCTTAATAAAATGCAGCAACACCTTTAAAACCAGCTGCACTATCAGCTTGGGTGGGTCTCGAGCCACTTGAACGACTTCCTGGAGTTTTATCTTCTGCTTGATAACTTCCGATGAGATGAATTAGGCTATGGTTCATGGAAGCTGAAGCAGCAGATCTTTAGCCTGGGATGTGACCACAGGATTTTTGCTGCAACACAGCCTCCTTCAGAATGTATTATTAATGATTAGAGTAAGTGGACCTCTGATACCCTGTGCGTCTTACCGATATTGATACTGGGGGGTGTCAACATGTTCTGTATTTGTGTGTTGTTCACATGAGGAGGCACTTACGCAAGCCAGAGGAATTTATTCTGAGGAGGCAGCTAACTTGGGTTGCATTAGTCCCATAGAATATAGTGGAAAATTTATTTATTTATTTATTTACGACATTTATATGCCGCCCTTCTCACCCCGAAAGAGGACTCAAAGCAGCTTACATGATATATAAACATACAATGCATTATATTATTAGTATAGTATAATATCAGTATTATATATTACTATATTGTACTATATACTATATCATTATATTGTAATATTATTACTAGTATTATTATAATATAATTATAAATATATATTATAAATATATATAATTATAATATCATATTATTCGTATGAGTATTATATTGTACTAGCTGTACCCGCCACGCGTTGCTGTGGCCAACCTTCCTTCTTTCCCTCCTTCCTTCACTCCCTCTTTCCTTCCTGCTTTCCAGTCTTCTCTTCTTCCTTCCTTCTCTATGTCTTTCCTTCCTCCCCCCTTTTTCTTTCTCTTCTGCTATCTCTCTTTTCTTCCTTCTCTTTCCTTCGCTCCCTCTTTCTCTACATCTTCCCCCCTTCCTTCGCTCCCTCTTTCTTTCCTTATTTTCTTTTTTTCTTTCCCTCCCTCTTCCTCTCCTTTCTTCCTTCTCTACCTCCTTCCTTCCTTCCTTCCTTCCTTCTCTCTTTGCTTCCATGCTTCCTTTTCCTTCTTTCTTTCTTTCTTTCTTTCCCTCCCTTTCTTTTCTTTCTTTTCTCCTCTTCCTTCCCTCTTCCTTCCCTTTTTTCTGTATTGTCATTTAGCTTTCCGTCATTTAGCTTTTTGGGGCTTTTTAAGTTCATTCTGCTGCGTTTTGCTGTGTTTTTATGAGTGAAGGACATACATTGGGTTGTTAGGTATATTGTGTCCAAATTTGGTGTCAATTCCCCCAGTGGTTTTTGAGATATGTTAATCCCACAAACGAACATTACATTTTTATTTATATAGATTACATTATAATATTATAAATATTATATGTATATACAATATTATAAAGTTTATATATTCCATAAAGGTTTAGCATCTGCTAATCCCCAAAATAGAAATGCCTTATTTCCTATATTCTGTGTTTGTAATATATATTTTATATATTACTATATATTATATTGCTACTTCCTCCTAAAAAAAGGAAAAGACCTCAGGAAGACATCAAAATCTCTATTGTTTTATTTTTGCATCACTAGCATAGTTTTATCTACTTATTTACTTTGGCTGCTCTAAGCAATTTCATATCTAACTTTTTTTCCCTTTCTCTCTTTCTTTTCATATACATGTTTCTTTCTCAGAAGCCAGATAATATTATTTTATCGACTCACGTTTTTTTTTTGTCGTTTTGTTTTTAATTATAAATTCTAATCAAGATTATATATTTTAAAAAAGAACATAGTGGAGAAAACATGTATGCAGTCATTGGGTTGTTGTAAGTATTTTGGGCTGTCTGGCTGTGTTCCAGAAGCATTCTCTCCTGACGTTTCGCCAGCATCTATGGCAGACATCCCCAGATGTTGTGAGGTCCTCACAGTACCAGCCTTTGTGTGAATATGATGGGAATTTCACAACTTCACAGAGAAGCAGAATCTTTTATTACATAAAGAGAAACATTGCAAATGGCTATAGGCTGGAAAAGTTCAGCTTCTAGAGCTTAATTTCTGGCTAGGCTTTGTGCAAAATTGGGCCATAGTACAGCTGATGAAAGAGTGCTGAGTCCCTGTGCTGCTGTTTGAGGGTTTTGGCATGTCTCCCGTCGAATGCTGTGGATATTTCACAGAAGCTCAGCATAGGAATTACCATATCCCAGTGCTGACAGTGCTTATGTAAGATCCCTTTGCAGCATTTCGGTGCGGCGAAGTCTCAAAAGCTTAGGTTAATGTTTAAGCTTTACTTTCTAAACCGCTCTTGTACACAGTGATGCTAATTTCTTCTTTTTCCTAATCTTTTAGGGTCACTTAAGCGAAAGCATGGACCACGGTGGAGTCGGCGCATATGACCTGTAAGTTTGTAAAGTTAAAAAAAAAATCCACGCAGTGGGAAGAGTGTCAGGGAATTGCATAGCAATTTGGCTGAGTCGATTCTTGAAACCAAGTAGCAGTGACGATAAACTCCTTTGTAGTAAGAGCTGTTTGACTGCCTTGAACAACTTGGGAAGACAGGCTTGGCTGTGGTTACATCCCGAATAGACTACTGCAATGCGCTATATGTGGGACTGCCTTTGAAGACTGTTCAGAAGCTACAGATGGTCCAACGGGCAGCAGCCAGATTGCTCACCAGAGCAGCATACAGGGAGGATATAACCCCCTTGTTACGTCAGCTCCATTGACTGCCAATCTGCTACCCAGCACAATTCAGACTGCTGGCTTTAGCCTATAAAGCCCTAAACAGCTTATCTGTCCGCATGTATCTCCCTCTATGAACCACCGCAGAATTTAAGGTCATCTGGAGAGGCCCTTCTCTCGGTCCCACCTCCCTCATAGGCATGATTGGCAGAGACGAGAGACAGGGCCTTCTCAGTGGTGGCCCCCCAGCTGTGGAGCTCACTCCTTAGCAATGTTAGATCAGCCTCCTTCTGACCTTCCGCAAGAGAGTGAAAACGTGGCTTTGTGGCTAAGCCTTTAGAGAAGTTGTGCAATAATTAGACTTGGAACAATGTGCAATTACCATTGGAACGGCTTGGATTACGCTTGTGGATTACGTGTTTAACTCTGAATGTATTGTTTTTAACTGTTTTAATTGTCTTAATGTACTTTGTAATTCTATTTTAATATTTACTTAAGTGTACATTGTGTTTTAGGGCATCAAATTGTTGCCTGTGTGTAAAGCCACCTTGAATCCCCTCCCGGGTGAGGAAGGCGGGGTAGAAATGCCATAAATAAACAGTGAGGTCTCTGGATTGCTGTAGGTTGTGTCGTCTGGTCTTGTAGTGCAGATCCAATATTCAGTTGGATGACCTCGCAGACACCTTCAACTCGCTGAAACCTCATGCCAGCAAACTACCCCTGCTGGAGAAACTGCTTGCTTAGAGGCAAGCATTAGCTGTGGGATATCGAGCTCAGCAGATTTCAGTCTGGAGTAGTCTTAATTTACTTTCCGTGCATGTATTCCATTGGGTGCAATCCCATTTCAGGAGCATCTTCTGTCAATGGGCCGCTTTGCAGAATGAGTGGAGGGGGCCTGGATCTGGGTTGGCAACTAGATCACCAAGGGACCTTTCACACAGCCCTATATCCCAAAATATCAAGACAGGAAACTCCACATTATCTGCTTTGAACTGGGTTGTCTGAGTCCACACATAATATAATGTAATACATTATATTATATAGTTAAAGGTTGTCCCCTTACATTAAGTCCAGTCGTGTCCGACTCTGGGGGTTGGTGCTCATTTCCATTTCTAAGCCGAAGAGCCGGTGTTGTCCGTAGACACCTCCTAGGTCATGTGGCCAGCATGACTGCATGGAGCGCCCTTACCTTCCCACCAAAGCGGTACTTATTGATCAGTGGTGCAGTGGGTTAAAGCACTGAGCTGCTGAGCTTGTTGACCAAAAGGTCACAGGTTTGAATTCGGGGAGCAGTATGAGCTTTGCTGTCAGCTCCAGCTTCTGCCAACCTAGCAGTTCGAAAACAATTTTATTTTTATATATATATATATATATATATATATATATATATATATATAATATTTATGATATTGTAATGAAATACAATATAATACTAAAAATATATTATAATTGTATATTTTATATTGCATGTAATATTACTGATAATATTACAATATAATGGTATAGTACAATATAGTAATATATAATACTGATATTGTACTATGTTAATAATATAATATATTGTATGTATGTATACCTTGTAAACAGCTCTGAGTCCCCTTTGGGGTGAGATGGGCGGCATATAAATGTCGTAAATAAATAAATAATGTGGAATTTTCTGCCTTGTTATTCTGGTATACAGAGCTGTGTGAAAGGGTATCAAAGTGAGCTATTTCTGTGTATTGTCGAAGGCTTTCATGGCTGGAATCACTGGGTTGTTGTAGGTTTTTCAGGTTATATGGCCATGTTCTAGAAGCATACTCTCCTGACGTTTCGCCTGCATCTATGGCAAGGAACCTCTGAGGATGCTTGTCATGGATGCAGGCGAAGCGTCAGGAGAGAATGCTTCTAGAACATGGCCATATAGCCCAAAAAACCTACAACAACCCTGAGCTCTTTCTGCCTGAGGAGTCTGAATTCTAACTGTCACCTTTGGCCCTGGCACTGTTAGTTTTGTTTTGAAGACCATTGTAATTGTGTATTTCTTCTTTTTTTTTTTTAAGCATGGAGCATTGCGAGAAATTTGAGATTTCAGAAACCAGTGTGAATAGAGGTCCTGAAAAGATACGCCCAGAATGCTTTGAACTGCTGCGTGTTCTTGGGAAAGGTGGCTATGGAAAGGTGAGGCAGCTTTGTGTCTATTCCTGACATATTCTCATTCCTCATGCTTTGTGGCTGCATTTAAAAAGCCTTTGATTTGGTTCCTGGCATCTTCAGGCAGTATTGGAAACAATCCATGTGTGGCCTAAATATCTTGAAGGCACCAGCTTGGGTTAGTACTTGGATGGGAGACTGCCAACGAATGCCATGCTCTCTAGATTATATTTGGAAGGAGGAAGTGGTAAAACTCCGCTCTTAAGTATTCCTTGCCGACAGTTGTAAGATATTCTGAGAGAACCTTAATACTTTATACATTGGCTGCCTAAATACAGTATACTGTCACTCAGCACAGAAGCATGCAAGTCTTGTTGGAAAGTATGTATGTATGTATTTATTTATTTGTCATATTTATATACCTCCTTTCTCAGCCGGAAAGAGACTCAAGGCGGTTTACGGTTGGCAATCAATGCCCTCAACAAAATAAAATATAATTTAAAACATGAACATATAATATAAGCCATGTAAAAACAGTAGAAACAATATAAACAATAAAACACCATTGGCTCTCCTGGAATTGTTGTTCTGCATTTGGAGGGCCACATGTCCTCTACCTCGGACTTGTATATAACATGGGAAGAAGTAGCTCAATAAGATCCTAAATCTGCAAGAAACCATGTTGGCAATGCCTTTATTTATTTATTTTTGTCATATTAGGAATGAACCAAAAGTACAGTTCTAATGTATTTAGAAAAAACACAACATTTAAAAACTTGGCATTATATTAAATGTCCTTTGCCCAGTAGCTGGCCACTTGGAGTGCCTCTGGGGTTGCTATAGAAGGTCCTCCATTGTGCACGTGGCAAGGTTCAGGTTGCATTGTAATAGGTGGTCTGTGGTTTCCTCCTCTCCACACTTTGGTTTGTTTTCATTCTTAAGCAACTCAAAATCTACAGACTGTTTTTGTTAGGCCCCAACAGTGGAATTTAAGCACAGACCACTACAGTGGCTGATAATCTTTTTTTTTAAACATATTTAATAATTTTCATATATTTGAACACATGTTTTTGGCAGGTATTTCAAGTTCGGAAAGTGACAGGGGCAAACACCAGTAAGATTTTTGCCATGAAGGTGCTTAAAAAGGTAAGTGGATTCTTGCATTCAGCTACAAAAAGTGGGATTGTCTTTGAGGGAATGGTGGTAGCACAGCAGAAGAAGCCTGTCTTGCATGTGGATCAGTGTTACTCAATCTTCCTAATGCCACGACCCCTTAACACAGTTCCTCATGTTGTGGTGACCCCCAACCATAACCTTTTTGTTGCTACTTCACAACTGTAGTTTTATTATTGTAATGAATCACAATGTGAATATGTGATATGTAGGGTGGATTTTCATTCACTGGACCAAATTTGGAACAGATCCCCGCTACGCTCAAATTTGAATACTGATGGGGATTTTGTAGGGATTGATTTTGTCATTTGGGAGTTGTAGTTGCTGGGATTTATAGTTCACCTACAATCAAAGAGCATTCTGAACTCCACCAGCAATGAAATTAAACTGAACTTGGCACACAGAACTCCCACGACCAACAGAAAATAGTGGAAGGGTTTGGTGGGCATTGACTTTGAGTTTGGGAGTTGTAGTTCTTCTACACCCAGCGATCACTGTGGACTCAAGCAATGATTGATCTGGACCACGGATTGGCACGGATACTCAATATGCCCAAATGTGAACCCTGGTGAAGTTTGGGGAAAATAGACCTTGACATTTGGGAGTTGTAGTTGTTGGGATTTATAGTTCACCTATAATCAAAGAGCACTCTGAACTCCACCAACAATGGAATCGAACCAAACTTGGCACACAGAACTCCCATGACCAACAGAAAATACTGGAAGGGTTTGGTGGGCATTGACTTTGAGTTTGGGAGTTGTAGTTCTCCTACACCCAGAGTTCACTGCGGACTCAAACAATGATGGATCGGGATCACACTTGGAACGGATACTCAATTTTCCCAAATGTGAACTGTGGTGAAGTTTAGGGAAGATAGACCTTGAAATTTGGAAGTTGTCGTTGCTGGGATTTATAGTTCACCTACAACCATTCTGAAGCCCACCAACAATAAAATTAGGCAAGTCTTCCCACACAGAACCCCGATGACCAAGGGAAAATACTGTGTTTTCTGATGGTATTTGGCGACCCCTCTGATGCCCTCAACCCGCAGCTTGAGAAGCACTGATGTAGATGTTCCCTGATTCAGTCCCTGGCCTCTCTAGTGTTTGGGAAAAAACAGAGAAGAGGTGAATAGACAGGGTTTCACAATCCAGTTTGTTTTGTTTGTCACTGATACTTGTAAACATTGATGGCTCAATTCTGTGGGTTACTAGAGTTTCTTTTGCCAACTTCAATCATGGTACAGTGTTTAGAACCGAACTTTACTATTGATTTTATGGTTTTGTAGGCAATGATTGTGAGAAATGCGAAAGATACAGCACACACGAAAGCCGAGCGGAACATCTTGGAGGAAGTCAAGCATCCGTTCATTGTTGACTTGATTTATGCCTTTCAGACGGGTGGAAAACTCTACCTCATTCTTGAGTATCTCAGTGGTAAGGAGGCCCTTAATGTTGGATGCTTGTTGTTGTTGTTGTTGGAAAACATACTATGCCTAGAACTGAGTTGTTTACAAATATTAATTGGCAACATATTGAACACAATAGAGGTGATATTAGACAACTGGGAGAGACATGGAAATAAAATTAATTAAAACAAATGAACTAGTCCTCTGATACATCAGCTCCACTGGCTGCCAGTTTGCTTTCGAGCCCAATTCAAAGTGCTGGTGTTGGCCTAAATGGTTCTGGTCCAACTTACCTGTCCGAACGCAACTGGTGCTTTAAGATTGACTGGGGAGGCCCTGCTCTTGGTCCCGCCCCCTTCGCAAGCACGATTTATTGGGACGAGAGGCAGGGCCTTCTCTGTGGTGGCCCCTCAGCTGTAGAATTTCCTCCCAAGCAACATCTGGCAGGTCTAATCTCTTTTGGTTTTGAGAAAAAAAGTTTTAAAGATTTGGCTCTGTACTCCAGTGTTCGAAGAATAAGCTATTACGCTTTCGACCCAGTCTGAATAAGGATTATGGATGAATGATACCATGCACTTTATATGCTTTTAATCTGTTATTCTATATGTTTATTTGCTTGACTGTATTAATTGTTTTAGTTGATGGGACACATTTTATGGTTATGTTTTAAATGGCGTCGAATCTTGCTGCCTTGAGTCCCCCTTATATAAGCTATTTATCATATCAGAAGCAAACCAAGGGTACAGTTAAAAAAACACAAAGTTTTAAAACTCGGTATTCTATTAAATGTCCTTTGGCCAGTATCTGGCCACTTGTAGCGCCTCTGGTATTGCTGTAAGAAGGTCCTCCATTGTGCATGTGGCAGGGCTCCGGTTGCATTGCAGTAGTTGGTCAATGGTTTGCTCTTCTCCGCACTGGCATGTCATGGACCCCACTTTGTGTGGTCCCATTTCTTAAGGTTGGCTCTGCATCTCGTGGCGCCAGAGCGCAGTCTGTTTAGTGCCTTCCAAGTCACCCAATTTTCTGTGTGCCCAGGGGGGAGTTTCTCATTTGGTATCAGCCATGGATTGAGGTTCCGGGTTTCAGCCTGCCACTTTTGGACTCTCGCTTGCTGGGGTGTTCCTGCGAGTATCTCTGTAGATCTTAGAAAACTATTTCTTGATTTAAGGCATTGGCATGCCATAAATAAATAAATGCTGGGAATACCTTTGTTAGGACCAATGAAAATGTTCATTCTTTTTGTCATGTGGACTTGGCCTGTCTACTTCTTTTAAAAATGACTTCCTAAGTAAGCCTTATAAATGAAATAAAGACGGTCACTGTAAATCAGCAGGTGATTCAGAGGTGCAAGCATACACATATACACACCCACCCATCAGTTCATACTGGATTTTTTGTCATAGAAAAAGAAACTGGCCGTATTTCTGATTTCTTTCTTCTCCCGCTATAGGAGGAGAACTGTTCATGCAGTTGGAGAGAGAGGGGATATTTATGGAAGACACCGCTTGGTAAGAGAAAATTGGTCTACTTTCAGTGAGTGGGTTGAGATGGGGCTCGCGTTACCTGCATGACTTCTTTGGTCTGAGTCTTCTTGCCCTGGAAGGAAATACTTTTGTCATTATGCATCCAAATTAATGCATCTGTGTTTTGCTTGTGGGTTTAGAAAGGAGAGTGTTTGCCCCTTATTTTGATTGGACTACTGTAATGCACTCTACGTGGGGCTGCCCTTGAAAACGGCCCAGAAATTCCAGTTGGTTCAATGGGGGGCAGCCAGGTTGTTAACTGGTGCTCCTTACAGGGAGAGGTCAACCCTCCTGTTTAAGGAGCTCCATTGGCTGCCGTTCACAGCTAACCGCTGTGAGTTGCCTAAGGGCTGAGAACAGCGGTATACAAATAAATAAATAAATTTTCCGGGCCCAATTCAACATGCAGGTGTTTACCTACAAAGCCCTAAACGGTTTGGGACCCCCCTCCTACCTGCGTGACCGCATTTCTGTATACAAACCCACATGATCTCTTCGTTCATCTGGAGAAGCCCTGCTCACGATCCCACCTGCATCGCAAGCGCGATTGGTGCGAACGAGGGACAGGGCCTTCTCGGTGGTGGCCCCACGACTCTGGAACTCCCTCCCCAAGGACATCAGGCATGCCCCAACACTGGCAGTCTTTAGAAGGAGCTTGCAAACATGGATGTTTCAGTGTGCCTTCCCAGATTAAGGTATCCCAAGCAATCTGTCCCAAATGCACTTTACAAGAGAGTTAGAATTGTCTGCACACCCACTTATCCATAAAATCTACTTTTTGCTTTGCAGCTTCTACTTGGCTGAAATCTCAATGGCTTTGGGGCATCTGCACCAGAAGGGGATCATTTATCGAGATCTCAAGCCAGAAAACATCATGCTGAATCATCAAGGTGAGAAACACACGTTATTATTCTGCTGTAATGTATGATACTGATATTGTACTATGCTAATCTATATAAATACAAATGTAATGTTCGTTTGTGGGATTAACAGAACGCAAAAACCACTGGATGAATTGACACCAAATTTGGACACAAGACACCTAACAACCCAATGTATGTCCTTCACTAAAAAAAAAAAAAATGATTTTGTCATTTGGGAGTTGTAGTTGCTGGGATTTATAGTTCACCTACAATCAAAGAGCATTCTGAACCCCACCAACGATGGAATTGGACCAAACTTGGCACAGAGTTCTCTCATGACCAAGAGAAAATACTGGAAGGGTTTGGTGGGCATTGACCTTGAGTTTGGGAGTTGTAGTTCACCTACATCCAGAGATCGTTGTGGACTCAAACAATGATGGATCTGGACCAAACTCTACACGAATACTCAGTATGCCCAAATGTGAACACTGGTGGAGTTTGGGGAAAATAGAATATTGACATTTGGGAGTTGTAGTTACTGGGATTTATAGTTCAGCTACAATCACATATCATTCTGAATCCCACCAACGATAGAATTGAGCCAAAGCTCTCACACAGAACCCCCATGTGGACCACAGCAACGTGTGGCAGGGGATGGCTAGTAATATAATATATTGCATGTGTATATATCTTGTAAGCTGCTCTGAGTCCCCTTTGGGATGAGAAGGGTGGCATATAAATGCCGTAAATAAATAAATAGATTCTTCTCTCTGTAATGAGAACCTAACTGTATTTTCTTTCCCACCCTTTTTTCTTCCCTTTTAGGTCATGTTAAGCTTACAGATTTTGGACTATGTAAGGAATCCATTCACGACGGAACCGTCACGCACACGTTCTGTGGAACAATAGAATACATGTGAGCCCGCATGATGAAACAGAAAAGTATTACTCTGGTCTGGGGGTAATGGCTAAACTTTACCTTTCTTAAAAAAACAAAACAAAAAACTTGTCTCTTTATTTGGGTGTGGGGTTGTTGCATAACCTCTCCGTAGGTCTCAGAGCAAGTTTCCTTCAGATTCGTGAATTTCGAATGTATTTATCGCAGTCCTAGGGCACCATCCCAATCTGGGCTGGATGTGATAGAGACTATAATCCAGCATATCCAAAGGGCAAGAAAGGTTAAGAAAGTCCACAATTGGGTTTGGGCAAACTTGGGCCCTCCGGGTGTTTTGGACTCCAACTCCCACAATTCCTAACAGCCAGTAGACTGTTAGGAATTGTGGGAGTTGGAGTCCAAAACACCCGTAGGGCCCAAGTTTGCCCAAGCCTTATCTGGAATCTTAGAAAGAGCCAGGGAAAACATTGTGCCATTCCTTTTACTTAATGTTTCCTTTAATGTTTGCTTGCAGGTGCTTGTATTAACCATTTTGTGCCATATTGATAGTTTAATGACCAGTGAAAACCAGTTACTTGGTCAGGATCTCAGAATCCCGACTGTAAGAATCTCAATATACAGTAAAAAGCTTCAGCAGGCTGGTGGAAGTTCACTGAACATTAGGAAGAACTTCCTGACTGTGAGAGCTGTTCAGCAGTGGAACTCTCTGCCCCGGAGTTTGGTGGAGGTTCCTTCTTTGGAGGCTTTGAAGCAGAGGCTGGGTGGCCATCTGTTGGGAGTGCTTTGAAGGCAATTTTCCTGCTTCTTGGCAGAATGGGGTTCAACTGGATGGCCCATGAGGTCTCCTCCAACTCTAGGAGTCTATACTATAAGCTAACAGATGTGTAGCTCAAGACTTGCAGATTGACATGTTGAACCCCAAACAAACCCCCCTCCCCAAACAAAATTTGGCATAACTTAAAAAATCTTAACTTGGTTTGATGGTGTGATATTTCAAAATGTCATTTTTTGTCATATTATTTATTTACGACATTTATATGCCGCCCTTCTCACCCCGAAGGGGACTCAGAGCAKCTTACAAGATATATATACATACAATATATATTATATTATTAGCATAGTACAATACCAGTATTAAATATTACTATATTGTATAAACCATTATACTGTAATATTATTAATAATACATGTAATGTAAATATATAATTATAATATATTATTATTAGTATTATATTGCATTACATTATAGTATTATTATAAATATTATATGGATATGCAATATATTATATTATTAGCATAGTACAATATCCGTATTAAATGTTACTATATTGTACTGTACCATTATATTGTAATATTATTAGTAATATTATCCTGTAATATTACAGGAGCCCCTGATGCCGCAGTGGGTTAAACCCCTGTGCCGTCAGGACTGAAGACCGACAGGTCGCAGGTTCGAATCCGGGGAGAGGTGGATGAGCTCCCTCTTATCARCTCCAGCTCCTCATGCGGGGACACGGGAGAAGCCTCCCACAAGGATGATAAAAACATCAATTCATCCGGGCATCCCCTGGGCAACGTCCTTTCAGACGGCCAATTCTCTCACACCAGAAGCGACTTGAAGTTTCTCAAGTCGCTCCTGATATGACAAAAAAAAAGTAATATTACATGTAATATAAATATATAATTATAATATATTATTATTAGTATTGTATTGCATTACATTATAATATTATAAATATTATATAGACATACAATATATTATATTATTAGCATAGTACAATATCCGTATTAAATATTACTGTACTGTACTATTATATTGTCATATTATTACTAATATTACATGTAATATAAGTATATAATTATAATATATTATTATTATTAGTAGTAGTATTATATTATTAGCATAACACAGGAGACAAGGTGGACAATATATTATATTTTTAACATAGTTCAATATCAGTATTAAATATTACTGTATTGTACTATACCATTATATTGTAATATTATTAGTCATAGTACATATAATAATAATTATTATTTTTATACCCTGCCAACTATCTCCCCTAGGGGACTCTGGGCGGCTTGCAAGGGACACGCCCAATTAAAACACACATGTAAATGTTTAGGTAGAATGTATGCCAGTGTAAAATGCGAGCAGAAATACATATTACATGTGTAAAATACATATAATATAAAATATATAATTATAATATCATATTATTATTAGTAGTATTGTATGGCATTACATTATAATATTATAAATATGGATATTACATTATATTATATTATTAGAATAGCAGAGGAGACAAGGTGGAACTGTCTTCTGCCCCCTTCTCTCTTCACTTTGGGCCAGAGCAGCAGTTGGTGCTGACTGATGACATCAGTCCCTAACTGATGACATATGCAGGAGACAACATATTGTGAGCATGGCAGATTCATGGTTTCAGACAGTTCGATTTGAAACATAGTGCTGTCAGAAAAATAATCCCTTCTTTGTCAACTTGTGCCATAGCTTTTACTTTACTTTAACTTTTACTTAATGTTTCCGTAACAAGGAAGGGTTTGTGTGTGTGTGTGTGTGTGTGTGTGTGTGTGTGTGTGTGTCAGGAGCGACTTGAGAAACTGCAAGTCGCTTCTGGTGTGAGAGAATTGGCTGTCTGCAAGGACGTTGCCCAGGGGACATTGCCCGGATGTTTTGATGTTCTACCATCCTTGTGGGAGACTTCTCTCATGTCTCACATTTTGAATGACGTCAAAACAGCTTGAAAATCACGGGTCGCAAAGCAAAACCCTGAATTTTTCAAAAGAGTTTGGATGCCTGGGTTCAACGATGGCGCCACTGCGTCCAAAGCGATTATGACAATGTTGAACGGTAGTTTCGAATAGAGGGCAGTTCAGGCTCGGATCTGGAGCAACTTCTGCTCTTCTAGGTTCGTTCATCACGCCTTCATGGTCCAGGAGGCAAAACTTTTTGATCCATTCTCGTATGTTTATACAAGAAGAATCATAATTTTTTTAGTGTCAGGAGTGACTTGAGAAACTGCAAGTCGCTTCTGGTGTGAGAGAATTGGCTGTCTGCAAGGACGTTGCCCAGGGGACATTGCCCGGATGTTTTGATGTTCTACCATCCTTGTGGGAGGCTTCTCTCACGTCCCCGCATGGGAAGTTGGAGCTGACAGTGGGAGCTCATCCGTGTTCTCCCCAGATTCAAACCTTGGACCTCTCAGTCTTTAGTCCTGCTGGCACAAGGGTTTAATCCATTGTGCCACCGCGGGATTCAATGAGCAAGTGTATATTTGCAAGTCTGCTATTGTGAGAAAAAATATGCTATCATTTCAGCTTTTGTCTGTTGTGTTATTGTTATCTTTGCATTATTGTTAGATGTCTTAAGCTTGACTGTTCACCTGTTACAGAAGATGCTGCCATTTTTTGTGTGTTTGGTTTATTTTTTTTGCCACTTCCAGGGCCCCTGAGATCCTGATGAGGAGCGGACACAACCGGGCCGTGGACTGGTGGAGTTTGGGGGCGTTAATGTATGACATGCTGACTGGAGCAGTAGGTGCACCCTTATAAACTGCATGCCTTTGGGGGCAATGGCTGTTCAGTTCCTTGTCTTGTTGACTATATGGGACACTGTGGCCAAGCGCTGACAGAGGGAGCTCAACCCGCTCTCCCTGGATTCAAACTGCTGAGCTATCAGCAGTACTGCAAGCACAAGGGTTTACCCCATTGCGCCACCACAAGGATGATAGGACTTGTTGTCCCAAGATTTGACAAAGATCTCCAAATCCTCCTTGACATTGAAAAGTGTATTTTTCAGTTCCATTGAAGCATCTACATGTGCTCTTATCCAAACTGCTTTAGGCCTTTCGCTGTAAACATTGTTTTAGGAGTGCTTTGTGTGGTGGGAGAGAGGGAAGAGAGGTGAAAGCAATATCTATTTTTGTGACTTATATTTTATTTCCTCATGGCTCACGTTCCCATCCTTTCTCCTTCCCCCCTGTCTTGCTCCATTGCTGTCTTTTTCTCCAGCCCCCATTCACTGGGGAGAACCGAAAGAAAACGATTGACAAGATTCTCAAGTGCAAACTCAACTTGCCTCCCTACCTCACACAAGAAGCCAGAGATCTGCTGAAAAAGGTGGGCAAACCTCACAAGTGAATACAGATATGCTGAGGGCAGCTTTTTATTACATATATAAGTCTAGTCTAATAAAGCACTCCCTGGTGGTGCAGCGGGTTAAACTACTGAGCTGCTAAACTTGCTGACTGAAAGGTTGTCGGTTCAAATTCAGGGAGTGGGGCGAGCTCCTGCTATTAGCCCCAGCTTCTGCCATCATAGCAGTTCCAAAATATGCAAATGTGAGATCAATAGGTAGGAGGCGTCTACAGACAAGGCCAGCTTGTCAGCTTAGAAATGGAGAAGAGCAGCAACCCCTAGAGTCGGAGACGACTAGACTGAATATCAAAGGGAAACCTTTACCTTTACCTTATAAGCTTAGAACAGGCATGGGCAAAAGTTTTTAACCTGGCCAGGAGGGAGTGCGGGCAGGGCCACAAGGGGAGGGAGAGAGGGTGGGGCTGGGCAGGAAGGGGCAGGGTTGTGATGGAAGGGTGTGGGGTGGGAGGAGGAGGAGGAGGCACACATCACTGACGAGAACATTCTCACCACATTTCTCCCCTCGGTCTCCTCTGAGTCGAAGGCTGGCCACCTATCCAAGGCTCAGAGGAGAAGGAGAAACATGCCACTGGTGAGAGTGTTCTCACCAGCGGTGTGAATCTCATACCCACTCACCCCCCGCCCATGATTCTCTGAGTCTGGGAAAGGTGCTGCCTTCCAAAGCTCAGAGGAGAAGGAGAAATGTGCCGCTGGTGAGAGTGCTCTCGCCAGCTGTGTGTATCTCTCCCTGATTCTCTGAATCTGGGAAAGGCGTGCTGCCTTCCAAGACTCAGAGGAGTAGGAGAAACACATCACTCATAAGTGTGATCTCGCCAGGGGTGTGTATCTCTCCCTAGTTCTCTGAGTCTGGGAAAGGGGTGCTGCCTTTCCAAGGCTCAGAGGAAATGGAGATACACACCGCTGGCGAGAGCACTCTCACCAGTGTCTTTCACCTTCTCTGAGCCTTGGGTTAGACAGCCTGCCTTCCCCAGACTCAGAGATCCAGGGGAGAAACGTGGAGAGCACTCAGCAATGGCGTCTCTGCCTTGGCCCTCCACTCAGCCACTATGTCCGGATGCTGAGATGTGGGCCGAGGCAGATGGGGGCCGAAAGGAAGAGGCCAGGAGAATGGGGGGCACCAGCTGGAACAGCTTTACCGCTGTTCCTGCTGCTCTCTCCCTTCTTCGGGCCGTTCTCTTGGCCAAAGGACAGAGCCTTGCCCGTGCTCTGGCCGAGAGAAGGGAAAGGAAGCGAGGGAACTTTGCCACCACTCCTATTGAGGCCTCCCTTCCTCAGACGTTCTTAGGCTGGGAGGAGGGCCACGTGGCGATGGAGAGGGCTCTTGACAACTCCCATCTGCCACGTGCCTTTCTCCCCTGTCCCTTCCCCTTTCCAGAGGACTGGAAAATATGGGGGTTGGACATGAGCACCCAAAGTCCGGCCCACAGGCCTTAGTTTGCCCATGCCTGGTCTAGAACCACAACTCAGTGTGCCCAATCTTTCAACAGTGCTGAGGAAATAACCCGCTACAAGTAACATGCAGGTGACAAATTAACTTCCCGATCTACTTTTTGTTAAAGTGATATTTATCACATTACTCATACTTTGTAACATGTTTATCTTACAAGTAACTTTTTAACTATTGTGGAGACCTTATTAGCATCACGGCCAAATAGCATCTGTTTTTCATTGGCAGGAGAAAGCTAATTTGTATTAGTGACCTGGTTGGATACTTCCTACCTTTGCTTCATAGTTTAAGGCTAGGAAAAAAAAACTGTAAAGGCCGAAAACCATCGGGAAGAGTGAGTTCTTTTCTCTTTTGCTAACCTGCCTGTACAGTTACCATAACTGTTGGGAGGAGATAGGTCACACAGCATACTTTGATTCTGAGCTATGTAACCTTCCCATCTTCCAGTGGCCTTGGCTAGGGTTGTTCCATATCAACCCAAAGGCTCTCTCTTTAATACAACTGAGCCTATTATTTCTGCAAATTAACCTGAAAAAGAATGTTTCCCCATTTTCGTTTATGATGATCAGTAGAACTAAATTTTTCAAAAATACGCATATATTTTCCCCCTTTTCCTATAGCTGCTAAAGAGAAATGCTGCCTCACGTCTAGGAGCTGGTCCTGGAGATGCTGGAGAAGTTCAGGTACGTTGTCCCTTAAGTGTTCCCGTGTAATTGAAAGGGCGAGACACCCCCTCCCCCCCCAAGTGATGTTATAGCCTATGGCTGTTTGGATTCTGATAACATAATTGAGATGCAGAGCAAGGGGAACACTGGTCACACCTATGTTTTTCCTTCTAAGCTCCACTTGCTTTTGAACCTGGTTTCCTCTCCTTGTATCCTTCAGGAAACTGAGGAGCTCTTAATATGTAATCTATATAAATAAAAATGTAATGTTCGTTTGTGGGATTAACATAACTCAAAAACCACTGGAAAATTGACACCAAATTTGGACACAACACACCTATCAGGTCAACAATTGACCATCTGGTAAACACAACAGAAAAAAGCCAAAAAAAATACATTAGAAAGAATGCACAAAACCACATATATAAACAAATATATACACACACATATATATACACACGCAAAACATATACAGAGACTGGGCCACAGCAATGCGTGGCAGAGGACAGCTAGTAGTAATAATAATAATTAGAATTAGAATTGCAGAGAAACAACTGGAAAAGCTGACATGATATGAAGATTTAAAAATCGAACTGCAAAGACTCTGGCACAAGCCAGTAAAGGTGGTCCCACTGGGTGCAGTGCCTAAGGACCTTGGCCTGCACTTAAACACAATTGGCACTGACAAAATTATCACCTGCCAGCTGCAGAAGGCCACCTTACTGGGATCTGCACGCATTATTTGCCGATACATCACACAGTCCTAGATACTTGGGAAGTGTCTGACGTGTGATCCAATTCAATAGTCAGCAGAGAGTCTGCTGTGGACTCATCTTGTTGTGTTTCAAATAATAATAATAATAATACTTTTTAGACCACCCTCTCTCCCCCAGAGAGACTCAGGGCGGTTGACACTTAAAAAGGCAAACACTCAATGCCTCAAAATAGGTGGAAACACATCAAGTAATACAAAATAATGAAGAGTAACAACAGAAAATATACAACAAGAAATTAAGCATCACAATAAAATAAAAACGAGCAATCCCATTAAGGCATAAAAACTAAAACTTAAATAAACATTACAGTATATACCTTACAAACAAATGATGAAGTTAAAGGTAAAGGTTTCCCCTGACATTAAGTCTAGTCGTGTCCGACTCTAAGCGGTGGTGCTCATCTCCATTTCCAGACCAAAGAGTCGGCGTTGTGCGTAGACACCTCCAAGGTCACATGGCCAGCATGACTGCATGGAGCGCTGTTACCTTCCCGCAGAAGCCGTACCTATGGATCTACTCACATTCGCATTTTTTTCGAACAGCTAGTTTGGCAGAAGCTGGGGCTAACACCAGGAGCTCACCCCACTCCCTGGATTCGAACTAGCGATCTTTCAGTCAGGAAGTTTGACAGCCCAGGCACGACTAGAGTTAATGTCAAGGGGAAACCTTTACTATACTATCAACCAAATGTTGATTTAAAATGTAGCTATATTCAGAAATGATTGCATAATATTTGTTTCACTGAATGGTCTCCTTAAAGAGATGAGATCCAAAATGGTCACATAAACCTTTTGGGAGGTGGGCGTATCGAGCCTCACACAGGAGTCCTCTTCTTAAAGGCGTTGCAAGATTCTTTGCTCTTTCTGTCGCTTTCTCTGGACTTTGTAGCCTTCAGAATGTCAAAATGACCAAAAAAATCCACATTTGCTTTGGTTTGTGTTCTAGTAAAGGGTGTTTTATGTCTTTGTGAGCCTGCCTTGGTTGGGTTCTGACTTGCCCTCCTGTCCTCCAGGCTCACCCTTTCTTCAGACACATTAACTGGGAAGAGCTGCTGGCTCGGAAGGTGGAGCCCCCCTTTAAACCATTATTGGTACGTATCGGCTTCCTGTGGCTTCAAATCATAAAATGTCTATTTTTTCCATCAACACAAGGATTCCACCTTTAACATATTTCATCTTAACCTCAAAACCCTCTATTTATTGGTTTGTTTGCTTGTTTGTCTCTGTGTGTGGTTTCTTCTTTCTCGAAGCAATCCGAAGAGGACGTGAGCCAGTTTGACGCAAAATTTACTCGTCAGACTCCTGTCGATAGTCCTGATGACTCAGCCCTCAGTGAAAGTGCCAACCAGGTCTTCCTGGTAAGTCAGGATCACATTCGGTCCTCCTTGCAGGATATTTAGGGAGCCTTTGGCTTGATGTGCAGTCACCCAAGGCAAGGCCACTGGGAGATGGGTTATACTGAAGATAATATGATAATGTAACACAACATGATAATTATATATTTTATATAACACGCAATATTATTAATAATATTACAGTATAGTAGTATAGTACAATATAGTAATATATAATACTAATAATATGCTGTGCTAATAATATAATATGTTCTAAACACATATAATATTGATAATAATATGTAATACAATATGATAATTATATATTTTATATTACATGTAATATTAATATTACGGTATAGTGGTATAGTACAATACAGTAATATGTAATACTAATATTATGCTGTGCTAATAATAATATATATTATACACTAATAATATAATAATATGATAATGTAATACAACATGATAATTACAAATTTTATATTACATGTAATATTATTAATAATATTATTAATTGCGTTGTGTCATTATCGTATTGTTTTGCTTTGTTATGAGTTATTTATTGTTGTATTGTTGTTGTTATGTTTTATGATGTATTTGGGCTCGGCCTCTTGTAAGCCGCACCGAGTCCTGTGGGAGATGGTAGCGGGGTATAAAGGTTTATTATTATTATTATTATTATTATTATTATTATTATTATTACAGTATAGTGCTATAGTACAATATAGTAATATATAATACCAATATTATGCTGTGCTAATAATATATATTCTATACACATATAATATTGATAATAATATGATTATGTAATACAATATAATACTAATAATACAATATAATAATTATATATTTTATATTACATGTATTAATACTAATATGCTGTGTTAATAATATAATACATTGTGCATACATATAATATTTATAATAATATAATGTAATATAATACTAATAATAATGCAATATAATAATTATGTATTTTATATTACATGTGATATTACTAATAATATTACAGTATAGTGGTATAATACAATATATTAATACATAATACTAATATTGTGCTGTGCTAATAATATAATACATTGTATGTGCATATAATATTTATAATAATATTATAATGTAATATGATACTAATAATATTACAGTATAGTGGTATAATACAATATAGTAGTATATAATACTAATATTATGCTGTGCTAATAATATAACACATTGTATGTACATATAATATTTATAATAATAGTATAATCTAATATAATACTAATAATAATACAACATAATTATATTGTCCCCACGTGTATGCCTGTGAATCACACATTTGGTACAATCCTGCGCTCGCGCAGGGCAGCAACAGATTGTACCAAATGTGTGAATTCACAGGCTACCACTCGGGAAACTATGTTTACAGGTAAGCAACATATATATTTTATATTACATGTGATATTACTAATGATATTACAGTATAATGGTACAATACAATATATTAATATATAATATTAATAGTGTGCTGTGCTAATAATATGAATACATTGTGCATACATATAATATTTATAATAATATTATAATCTAATATAATACTACTAATAATACAATATAATAATTATATATTTTATATTACATGTGATATTACTGATAATATTGCAGTATAGTAGTTTAATACAATATAGCAATATATAATACTAAAATTATGCTGTGCTAATAATATAACACATTGTATGTACACATAATATTTATAATAATATTATAATCTAATACTAAGAATACTATATAATAATTATATATTTTATATTACATGTGATATTACTAATAATATTACAGTATAGTGGTATAATACACAATAGTGGTATAATAGCACTAGTGGTATTATAACACTAATATTTTGCTATGCTAATAATATAATATATTGTATGTACATATAACTTGTAAGTTGCTCTGAGTCCCCTTCGGGGTGAGAAGGGCGGCATATAAATGTCATAAGTAAATAAGTAAGTAAATAAATAAATAAGGCTCAGAACTCAAGTAAATCACCTCCCAATAGCTATGGAAAGTTAGCAAAAGAGAAAAAAGAGCTTGCACTCCCAGTCGGTTCTTGGCCTTCATTTAAACTGCGTAGTAAGTAAACGTAGGAAATATCCAATCAGGTCACTAATACAAGTTAGCTCATTCCTGCTAATGAGAAATAGATACTGTCTGGCCATGATGCTAATAACACTAATAACTTGATTCTTGTATCCTTCTACTATCTCCCCAAAGGGACTCAGGGCGGGTTACGCACAACACAAGGTGCCTAAAAATAGAACATAAAATAAAGCATACTATAAAATACAATTAGATAAAACATATAGGCATATAAAACAACAACTTAAGACTCAATTAAAACAGTGCTCGTCAACAAGTGGCGGTCAGCTACTGTAAACATGGCCAGGCTGTAAACGATAGGACAAGGGAATGGGAAAAGTGCAGAGCTGTCACCATGGAACGAGGGCATGGGATGAAGTGCAAGGCTGCCTAATGACTCTAAAACCCATCTGCCCTGAGACAAAAGCCCAGTTCACTACACTTGAGTTATGTCCCTTGTGTACCAGAGTTCTGCTTTGGGCTGCAGGCTGTAGTAAGTGTCAGAAACAAGTAAAGAATGAGTTATATTTCAAGGATTGCAATTATAATAGCCACCAATTGCAATTACAGTATATTCTGGCCTATAAGACTACTTTTTAACCCAAGAAAATCTTCTCAAAAGTCAGGGGTCGTCTTATGCGCGGATGTAGTCTTATGCATGGGCGTTGTCTTAACTCTATATTTTAACTGGAAAAGTTGGGGGTCGTCTTATACGCCCAGTCGTCTTATATGCCAGAATATACGGTAATAGTTTTTTGGAAGTGAATGTGCTCTGATTTTGGGTGGACATGTGGTGGATGGGGGCAATGGGGTTGGATCTGGGCTTTCAGGACTGACTTTGCTCTTAATGCAAGGCATTGCTTCTGGCTCTTTTGGGGGGAATGTTTGTCAACCATGGTTCCCCATCATTGTCTAGGGCTTTACGTACGTGGCTCCCTCCGTACTTGAAAGCGTGAAAGAGAAGTTTTCCTTTGAACCAAAAATCCGATCACCTCGCAGATTCATTGGCAGCCCACGGACGCCCGTCAGGTAATTATCGTCTCCCTTATCTTTTGGCCTTAGCGTGTAGTAACTGGGAAAGGTGTGTGCCTCATTTTGATTCTGCAAGTACTTTGAATGATTCATTGGGGAACGGGAATCCTCTGTCAATGATACACAGAATGTCTCATGTTCAGTTTTGGCTGTTGAGCAAATGGGCTTATTAACAAAAGACCCTCCCCATGAATGCACAGCAGAGTAACTTAGCAGCAGCAGAGTGACCCAGCACCTGTAGCCCAAAACACACAGACCAATGTTCTCTCATTGTTTTCTCAAATCAAGTTCTTTATACTTCCTTCTTTGCTTCCACGTTGGGCTTCTTTCTCATGTAGACAAACAGCTTCACTCCCACAGAGCCTCTTCTCACACCGAAGTTACATAAGAGCTTCACGTAGTAGCTTTTTACACACAGCCTTCACACACAATGGCCTTCAACTTGGGGCGTCTCTTACCGAAGTTTCTCACAGACTAGGCCTACTCACACTAAGGCCTACCTCATACTGAGACCTTTCTCCCACTGAGGCCCTTTCACAATGAGGGCCTTCTCAGACTGAGGCGAACTAACACTGAGGGGTTCTCATACTGAGGCCTACTAACACACTGGGGCTCTTCTCCCACAGAGCCCTCTCACAAACTGAGGGAATCCTCAGATGGAGGCCTCTCACTGAGGTCTGCTAACACTGAGGGCTACTAAGGTACAGACATACCTGCTTATATTGAACTGTAGCTTTTGCTGGGTTATTGTATCCATTTAGCACTTTCACGTAGTAGCTTTTTACACACAGCCTTCACACACAATGGCCTTCAACTCGGGGCGTCTCTTACCGAAGTTTCTCACAGACCAGGTCTACTCACACTGAGGGCTGTCTCAGACTGAGGCGAACTAACACTGAGGCATTCTCATACTGAGGCCTATTAACACACTTAGGCCCTTCTCCCACAGAGACCTCGCACAGACTGATGGCTCTTAGACTGAGGCCTCTCTCACTAAGGTCTGCTAACACCGAAGGCTACTAAGCTACAGACACGCCTGCTTATATTGAACTGTAGCTTTTGCTGAGTTATTCTATCCATTTAACCCTTTCACGTAGTAGCTTTTTACACACAGCCTTCACACACCAATGGCCTTCAGCTTGGGGCGTCTCTCACTGAAGTTTCTCACAGACCAGGCCTACTCACACCGAGGCCTACCTCATACTGAGACCTCTCTTCCACTGAGGCGTTCTCATACTGAGGCCTACTAACACACTGGGGCCCTTCTCCCACAGAGACCTCTCACAGACTGAGGGCTGCCTCAGGCAGAGGCCTCTCTCACTGAGGTCTGCTAACACTAAAGGCTACTAAGTTACAGACACCTGCTTATTTTGAACTGTAGCTTTCGCTCAGTTATTTATTTATTTGCTATACTTGTATACCGCTGTTTCTCAGCCTAGCCGGCGACTCAACTCGGTTTACAACAAAATACAACAATCAACAGTATACAATTTAAAACTATAAAAGCATGATACACAATATTCGCACATCAATAACAATCCAATGCATCTCCTGACTAAAATCGTGATCCAGTTTCGTCGTCCATATTGCCAATCCTTTAATCATTACATTCATTGCACCGAATTAACCAAATGCCTGTTCGAACATCCAGGTTATTGTATCCATTTAACCCTTTCAAGTAGTAGCTTTTTACACACAGCCTTCACACACAATGGCCTTCAACTTGGGACTTCTCTCACCAAAGCTTCTCACACACCAGGCCTACTCACACCAAGGCTAACCTCATACCTTTCTCCTACTGAGGCCCTTTCACACTGTTGGCTGTCTCAAACTGAGGCAAACCAACACTGAGGCATTCTCATACTGAGGCCTACTAACACACTTAGGCCCTTCTCCCACAGTGACCTCTCACAGACTGCCTCAGACTGAGGCCTCTCTCACTGAGGTCTGCTAACACTGAGGACTACTAAGTTACAGACACACCTGCTTATATTGAACTGCAGCTTTTGTTGCGTCCTCTCACAGACTGAGAACTTCCTCAGACTGAGGCTTATCATACTTCTCACACCCAGGCTTCCCTTTAACACTCTCTCACAGACTAAGGCCTACCTCACACTTTAAGGCCTTCTCTTACAGATTGAGACGTTTCTCCCACTGAGGCCCGTCTCAGACTGAGGCAAACTAACACAGAGGCCTACTAAGCTACAGGCACACCTGATTATATAGAACTGCTACGAACTGCTAATAATTTGCTATGACATTTAAAAATGCTTGACTTGCATTTTTGTAATTAAAAATACCTAGTTAATTTTTAATATTTCTGACATTGCTGCCTCCAGTTAAGCGATTTAAATAATCTTGGGAAGGAGGGTTGACAGTAGTCATGGGCCCGGATCAGTTTGACCGAAAGTGATTTGTAATATTCGTGTAATCTCCCAAAAGTGTCCATTTCTTTTGGGAAAATTCCTTAGACTGAACCCCGCTGCTCTCCTTCTCGGGCTCCTCCCTTACAGATACACTTTCTTTATTTCCTATCTCACCCAGGGTTTTAAAATTTCAACATTTTATCTTACACATCTTACCCTTTGTTTTTGATTTTTATTATGTTATTTTGCACTTTTTATTTTATTTTGTTACATTATGCATTTTGTCTTTCATTTTCTGATGTTTTTTTATCTTATTTTGCTGTATTATTTTTGGGCTTGGCCTCATGTTAGCTGCCCTGAGTCCCCTTTGGGGAGATGGTGGCGGGGTATAAATAGTATTATTATTGTCGAAGGCTTTCATGGCTGGAATCACTGGGTTGTAGGTTTTTTCGGACTATATGACCATGGTCTAGAGGCATTTTCTCCTGACATTTTGCCTGCATCTATGGCAAGCATCCTCAGAGGTAGTGACTCTCTACCTCACTACCTCTGAGGATGCTTGCCATAGATGCAGGTGAAACGTCAGGAGAAAATGCCTCTAGACCATGGCCATATAGCCTGAAAAACCCTACAACAACCCATTATTATTATTATTATTATTATTATTATTATTAGGCTCCTCCTCCAGAGAGCACCCTGATGGGAACTCACTTTCCCAGCAGCACTTGTGTGGGGTGGGCATTGAAAAGTCTCTTGAGATCCTCTCGGAGCCTGATGGGAGCTGAAGTTTTTTTCTCTCTCTCTCTGTTTCTCAGCCCTGGTTGTGTCCGTGCTCTGATTGGCTGAGAATGGACACAACCAGCAACTACAATTCCCAAAACCCTCTCTTGTGGATTGTCTTGTTTTTAAATGGATAGTTTAGAAGACAAGAAGAGGAACCAGAACTTCAGTGCTTGAGGGCTTGACTCGTGACCCGTTGTTATTGCCACACATTGATGCTTCTTATCTTTCTCTTAAAGCCCTGTTAAGTTCTGTCCCGGGGATTTCTGGGGACGAGGCAGTTCCTCCGGCGTGACCAATGCTCAGGCGCCTGTGGAGTACCCCATGGAGACCAGCGGGATCGAGCAAATGGACGTGACGGTGTGCGGAGAGGCCTCGGCGCCGCTCCCGATCCGGCAAACCAACACCGGCCCCTACAAAAAGCAGGCCTTCCCCATGATCTCCAAAAGGCCGGAGCATTTGCGCATGAACCTATGACGAAATCAACAGCAATCATTTCCTCCCCTTCCCCACGTGGAAAAGAAAAAATATATATATACACCTTAATTGGGTGGCGACAGGACATGAGGCCGAAACCTCACTGAGGGCAGCAGCCCTGCCATTCCCATCACGCTGAAATATTGAGGGCTCTTGAAGCTGTCTTCTTCACTTTCTTATCTCTAGTATCAGAATGGGTCATTGCACAGAATAACGGACTGGGAAAGAACATGAAAACCATGGCTCGCTCCCGGTCTCCACTTCCGGTTTTGAATCAGTGGTGCATCAAATAATACTGTTTTCGGAAGTACAGAAGCGAGCGACATGGATGCGTCGGTAGTCTTTCTCCTCGAGGATTTTTCTGCATTTCTGTCCAGAGCTGTGACAGTATTGAGAGTGGAAAAAGACGCCCACAGAGTCCTGCTTTTGTCTCTCGAACCCGGGGATTCGCCCGCTTTGTCGGCTGCTTCGGTTGCATCCTCCGACGGAGCGAAGCTGGAGTTTCACGGCGTCGACGTCCCTTACAGAATCTACATATATATATTTTTGCAAATAGGTTTTCCCCTCTTTTTTTGTTGTTTTCTTTCAAGTATCCTAACTTGGGAAAGAAACCAAGTTCAAAATAATGAAAATAATGGTTTTGTGTTTGGAAAAAAAAAAAAGAAAGAAAGAAATCATTGCTAATTACGTTAGTAGGATTGGAAGTGGATAAGGCATCCCTCAGCCAATCGTCTTATTATGGAATTGGGTTAGGCGAGAAGTCCTGCCCGCTGTGGAGTTTTCTTACTTTCCCTGCTTTTCTCTGCCCCAAATCCTGTCTAGAATCGATCACTCTGTGCAGAATACTTCCCTTCTGGCCTCGTCATTTCTTCAAAAGCTGGAAAACATATTCACGTACAGCCATCGCAAAGAGTAAACCAAAAAGGGAGGCGCGGAAGGGGTATCGTATAAGCAGCCGTGATCAAAAGGGGGGGAAATGTTTCCTATTTTTTTATTATGTTTCTGATTATTGCTGGGAAAGAGGTGGCTTTATCCCGTCTCGGCCCCATTACTTGCCTTTTCCGTTTCCCTCGCAAACTATTTGATTTCCTCGGCCGGGGATATGGGTGGAGGGAGTCGATCCATCCATCCGCTGATTGTATTTGAAACTAAACCACAAAAAAAAAAAAGTATTAACGATGGCCTTTGACGAATGTCTTCCAGAGAACTTTTGCGAATTTGATTTTAGGCAAGGTTTACTATTTATGTTTTCTGCGATTGTTATTGAAGACGAAAGAAAGAGAGAGAGAAAAAAACCCAATCTGTACAAAATGGACTTTTAATAGGTACAAAGAAATAAATAAAGGTATCTTTTACCTTAACTTAAATACTTCCTGCCTTAAAGAAAGCATTTCCATGGACGTAGCTTAAGTGAAAGGGTTCACAAAAGCCTAGGGCAGAGCGTGTGCATGAGTGGGAGTGGTGTGTTTGTGTTGGCCTTTGCATAACTGTGCGGCGGCGTTCGCGTCCGGGTGCTTCATTCTCTGGCGTCCATTTCTCTCTCCGTCTCTCTCTGTGCGGACTCTGCCACTGAGGAATATATATCTGCGTGTGTATATATTCCTGTTGCTTCTTTGTGTTGATTCTCTTTGTGAGCCATAGGATCCAAGCCATAAGTCTTTCAATAGTAAACATTCTTTGTTTTGAATCCCATTGCAGCGTCGCAGTGAGTGAGACATTAGCCCCGTTGGGTTGGATCCCGCTTTGGACCTCCGTGGTCTTCCCCATCAATTGAATTGTAATCTGAGAAGCTGATAGGGCTGTTTTTTGGGGTGGGGGGACCCCAAATGAGAAGAACTGAACTGACGGCTATCTGCTGTTGTTGGGGCTCAAGCCATAGAGTATTTTCTGCCTCTTTTGGGCACCCTGTGGATCTTTTCGAACTCTTGTCCTCCACATACTTTGGACCTCAACTTCCAGAAGCTTCAACTAGCATGGCCAACGCTTGAGGATTTTGGGAGCTGATGTTGAGGACAAAAGGGTGTCCAACTTGAATTCCCATCGCCCCTAAGTGAGGTACGGGGCGCATAGTTCATTGATATCTGAAAGGCGAAAGGTTCTAGATTCAGCATCCCTCTCTTCTCCTCCCTCTTGTTCCTCATAGCAGCCATTTAGGGGACAATTGAGCAAAAGGTAGTCCCGTGGAAACCAGTGACCTGCAGTTTTGACATTTCTGGAGTGTGTGCCTGCGTGGGGTTGGATTCCCCATTGATTGCCCATTCTGGCTTTCCTTTGGTGGTGGAATCAAGTGTGTGTAGGACCCACTTGTCCGTGAGCTCCTACGAAAGAGTGGGCGTTCTCCACCGAGGAGAGATCACACCATTGGAATAAGAAGTGCTCCAAATCAAGGCTGTCTGAAGGCCATGGTTTCCACCTTCCTTTGATGTGGTCCAGAGCTTGGGAAAATTACTAGTGGGAACAGTTAAGTTCCAGAATCCCGAAACAAAGGGTGATAGGAGGTAAACATACAATATGTTGGATCCAGATCTAGTTCTACTTTAGGTTGACTTATTGAAATCAGTGGGTTTTTGTTGGGTGGGTGAGCTTATTAACAAAAGACCCTTCTCATAAATGTACAGCAGAGTAACTTATTAGCAGCAGCCTGACCCAGCACCAGTAGCCCAAAATAATAAAAAGAACAAAAACACACAGACCAATGTTATCTCTTCCATAAGAGGCTTTTCTTTATAGCAAAATAATATGGTTGCAATATTTACAAAAACGAGGTTGCCATAATACGAACAAAGTTAGTTCTGCTTCCTTCTTTGCTTCCACGCTGGTTTCTTTCTCATGCAGACAAACAGCTTCACTTTCACAGAACCTCTTCTCAAACTGAAGTTACGTAAGAGCTTCACGTAGTAGATTTTTACACACAGCCTTCACACACAATGACCTTCAGCTTGGGGCGTCTCTTACCGAAGTTTCTCACAGACCAGGCCTACTCACATTGAGGCCTACCTTTCTCCCACTGAGGCCCTTTCACACTGAGGGCTGTCTCAGACTAAGGCGAACTAACACTGAGGCATTCTGATAGCGAGGTATACTAACACACTGAGGTCCTTCTCCCGCAGAGATGTCACAAACTGAGGGTTTCCTCAGACTGAGGCCTATCATACTTCTCACACCCTTTAACACTGAGGTGTGTTCTGTCACACAGACTAAGGCCTACTTCACACTCTGAGGCCTTCTCTCCCTGACTGAGACTTTTCTCACACTGAGGATTGTCTCCGACTGAGGCAAACTAACACTGAGGCATACTCATACTGAGGCCTACTAACACACTGAGGCCCTTCTCCCACTGAGATCTCCCACAAACAGAGTTTCCTCAGACTGAGGCTTATCATATTTCTCACACTCAGGCCTTCCTTTAACACTGAGGCGTTCTCTCACACAGACTAAGGTCTATCTCATACTCTGATGCCTTCTCTTCCTGACCGAGACCTTTCTCACACTGAGGGACATCTCAGACTAAAGTAGTGGCTCTCAACCTGTGGGTCCCCAGATGTTTTGGCCTTCAACTCCCAGAAATCCTAACAGCTGGTAAACTTGCTGGGATTTCTGGGAGTTGTAGGCCAAAACACCTGGGGACCCACAGGTTGAGAACCACTGGACTAAAGTGAACTAACACTGAGGCATTCTCATACTGAGACCTACTAACACACTGAGGCCCTTCTCCCACAGAGACCTCTCACAGACTGAGAGTTTCTCCAGACTGAGGTTTATCATACTTCTCACACCCAGGCCTTCCTTTAACACGGGGGCGTTCTCTCATACAGACTGAGGCCTATCTCATACTCTGATGCCTTCTCTCCCACTGAGGCCCTTTCACACTGAGAGCTGTCTCAGACTAAGGTGAACTAACACTGAGGCATTCTCATTCTGAGGCCTACTAACACACTGGGGCCCTTCTCCCACGGAGACCTCTCACAGATGAGGACTATCCTACTGAGGGCTCTCTCACTGAGGTCTGCTGACAATGAGGGTGACTAAGGGTATTGAACTGCAGCTTTTGCTGAGTCATTTCAGTGCTTGACTCACATTTTTGTAACTAAAAACAATTAGTTAATTTTTAATATTTCCAACAGTTTTCACCAATTTGAGCTCTTAATTTCACTGGGCCAACTCAAGATGGGATTAATCCTGGCAGAGGAGAACCAATTTTCCTACACCGTTGAGGATCAAACGTGGAGATGTTTCTTGGTCAGGAAATTCTGGAAGACGTAGTCCTCCCACAAAGTAAATTTCCCAAGCTTTGGGTGGTTGTGTCGCTTGATAATGGGACGCAACCTCTTTTGCTCTAGGGTTGAATTTGAATACCGTCTCTTACGATCGTGCGTACTGATGATCTTCTTTTGGATGCATGTGTGACCTTGCGCAGGAGAGTGTCCGAAATATGGCTGGCAGAAGGTGGCAGAGTGTTTTGCCTGCTTTTCTTCCCCCGTTAGATCGTTTTGCTGTAGACGTCAACCTGGCTTTTCCTTTTTCATTTTCTCTTAACTGTGAAAACTTTGGAATCGCAACTTGGGACAGCAAGCACACACTATGCAATATGTGTTACTCTGTATTTATTTGTACAAAAAATAAATATCCAAACCTTGACGATTATTATTTTTCTTCCTCCCTTGCCCTCCCCTGTATATATCTCGCTTATTAGTAATGTCAGTTTTAACGGGAGTGGAATTGTATCTCTTGTACAACTTCGGAGAGAATGGCTAGGATATGAAATGCGGTGGCTATATCAAGAACTTAAGTGCTTTCTTTTCAAAAAGAGAAATGTCTTAAAAAGTGTTCATTAGAGGTATAGTAATTAAGATTTATTTTGTACGAGCTGTGCTTTTTTAATTATAATCTCGGGACTTTTGCTATCATTTGATTTTTTATAGATTTTTGTACCATTATATTAAAAAAAAAAGATGATGATAATAATAATAATAATAACTGGGATTAATACCTGCTGAGGCTAACGACATATTTTAAGTATTAAATCTTGATAACTTGAACCATGTTTTATTTTCATTAGACTTGGTGGTATTGAAATGAAAGCTGTGCTCATTGTATTCTGCAGCTCACTTTGAGGCAAAAAGGAAAGCCCAAAAGCTTAGAGTCAGAGCCCTCCTGCCCTGTGAGGTGCCTTCAGGTAAGGAGGAGGTGTTGAAAAGGCCTGAGTGCTCTACCATTCCCTGTAGATCCGGTGGGGAGCCTGTGGCTGTCCTGCCGTCGGCCTACTTCTCCTGTCCGCCCTGACAAGGATGGGAGGAGTAGTCCAACAACAGGCAGTGGAGCCACAGTTTCCCCATGGCGGCTGTAGAATGTGATGCAGTTTGGCCCCAATAAATAGTAGTCATCTATGTGGACTTGAGTTGGGATCTGTCTCAAACCGCCTTGAGTACCAGCTCACATCTAGCTATATCAGGCATGGGCAAGCTTTGCCTTCCTGCGTTAAGAGATTAAGTTCATCTCATTCATTTCCCATTCTCTATACCAGGCATGGGGAAACTTCAGTCAGGTGTTAGGAATTGGGGGAGCTGAAGTCCAAAACATCTGGAGGGTTGTAGAATGTGATGCAGATTGGCCCCAGTAAACAGTAGTCATCTATGTGGACTTGAGCTGGGATCTCTCTCAAACCGCCTTGAGTACCAGCTCACATCTAGCTATATCAGGCATGGGCAAACGTTGCCTTGCCTGCATTAAGAGTTTAAGTTCATCTCATTCATTTCCCATTCTCTATACCAGGCATGGCGAAAATTTGGTAAGGTGTTAGGAATTGTGGGAGCTGAAGTCCAAAACACTTGAAGGGCCCACCTGGAGGGTTGTAGAATGTGATGCAGATTGGCCCCAACAAATTGTAGTCATCTATGGGGACTTGAGCTGGGATCTGTCTCAAACCGCCCTGAGTACTAGCTGCTGTTTAAAATTGATTTGATAGCCCCTTTTACTAGCAGTTGAGGTAAATAAAACTATGCCTGCAGATCAGCAGACTAGCTGAATGCTAGGCATGGCCACTAGCTTCACATCTAGCTATATCAGGCATGGGCAAACTTTGCCTTCCTGCATTAAGAGTTTAAGGTCATCTCATTCATTTCCCATTCTCTATACCAGGCATAGGGGAACTTCAATAGGCTGTTAGGAATTGTGGGAGCTGGTCCAAAACACCTGGAGGGCCCAAGTTTGCCCATGCCTGAGATACAAGAACCAGTTCCTAACTAATTGGGGTATGATCTGAGACTCAAAATACACATTAGGTTAAACCATGCAGTGTGCAGCTAGTTGAAGGTCCTCTGTGAGTATAGCCCTGATCCACACGAGGAAGCTTAAACCAGTCCTTCCATCTATCAGTTTGTGCTGTGGTTAAAGGAGGTAGCGGGACTGTTTGTTTGCTTAGATCAGGTATGGGCAAGCCCAGGCCCTTCTCTTTTTCCTTCCTCCTTCCCTTTCATCCGTCCCTTTTGTTTCATCTTCCTTCCCCTTTTTCTCCCTCCTTCCCTCTTTCTCCTTCCATCCTTCCCTTCCTCGCTTTCATCTTCCCTCTCTCCCTTTCTCCTTTCCTTCCCTTTTGTTTGTCCTTCCTTCTTTCCTTTATCCCTCCCTTCCTTCCTTCCATCCTTCTCTTCCTCCTTTCCTTGCTTTTTTCCCTTCCTCCTTCCCTTCCATACTTCCTTCCCTTTTGTCTTCCCTTCCTTCCCTCTTTCCTCCCTCCTTCCCTCTTTCTCCTTCCATCCTTCTTTCATCCTTCCTTCCCTCTCTCTTACTGCTCCTTCTCTTCCCTTTTGTTTGTCCTTCCTTCTCTTTCCTTTATCTTTGCCTTTCTTCCTTCCATCCTTCTCTACCTCCCTCCCTTTTCCCTTCCTCATTCCCTTTCATTCTTCCTACCCTTTTGTCTTCCTTTCCTTCCCTCTTTCCTCCCTCCTTCCCTCTTTTTTCCTTTCATCCTTCCTTCCCTCTCTCCCTCTTTCTCCTTCTTTCCTTCCCTTTTGTCTTTCCTTCCTTCTTTTTCCTTTATCCTTCCCTTTCTTCCTCCCTTCTCTTTTTCTTCCTACTTCCCTTTTATCTTCCCTTCCTTCCCCTTCTCTTTCTCCTTCCCTTTTGTCTCTCCTTCCTTCTCTTTTCTTTATCCTTCCCTTTCTTCCTTCCCTCCTTCTCTTCCTCCCTCCCTTCTTTTTCCTTTCCCCTTCCCTTTCATCCTTCCTTCCCTTTGGCCTTCTCTTCCTTCCCTCTTTCCTCCCTCCTTCCCTCTTTTTCCTTCTGTCCTTCTTTCCATYCTTCCTTCCCTCTCTCCCTCTTTCTCCYTCTTTYCTTCCCTTTTGTCTTTCCTTCCTTCCCTTTCCATTAACATTGCCTTTCTTCCTCCCTTCTCTTTTTCCTTCCTCCTTCCCTTTTGTCTTCCCTTCTTTCCCTTTCATCCTTCCTTCCCCTTCTCTCTCCTTTCCTTCCCTTCTTTCCATCTGTTCGTGCTGTGGTTAAAGGAGGGCGGCAGGACTGCTTGTTTGTTTAGATCAGGTATGGGCAAACCCAGGCCCTTCTCTTTTTCCTTCMTCCTTCCCTTTTTCGTTCCTTCTCTTTCTTTTTTCCTTCTCTTCCTTCCATCCTTGCTTCTCTTTTTCCTTCCTCCTTCCTTTTTTTTGTTCCTTCTCTTTCTTTTTTCCTTCCATCCTTTTCTTCCTTYCTTTCTTTCTTCTCTTATTCCTTCCTCCTTCCTTCCATTTTGTCTTCCCTTTGCTCTGCCCCTCTTTCTCCTTCCATCCTTCCCTTCCTCCTTTCCGTCCTTCTCTCTTTCCTTCCTTCATCTCCTAGCAGGGAGAGCTAGAGTGTGGCCCCCAAGTTAGAAAATTTGCCCGGGCCTGGTTTCGATCAGCCCAGCCTATGCTGGAGAGCAGCAGAACTGTCTTGGGATGCATCTCCAAAGCCTTTTAGTAGATTCACGTGGTAGCATCTCAAAGGGAAACGGTTCTAGACCAGGAACCAAGTGCAAACTACCCACTGATAGGAGTGGAGATTGGGCTGGGGAGTCCTCCTCGGAATAGCTGGCCGTGCCCCCCTCTGCATTGAGAACCCCCTTCTACAGCTGCCTTACTAGGAATGGTATGAGGGTCAACATCCTTCCTGCATTTCATTCTGTACTGTTTACTGTAATAAAAAGATACTTGATTTCAAAACCACACACAAATGGATGTAAATAGCAATTAAATGCAACTTTGAACAAACGCAAATGGTGATGGTTTTTGTTTGCTGTTTTGTCCTCTTTCAGAGAGAATGTGCCTTTCTAGCGATAAAAGAGTCTTTGTGACGCAGCTGAAAAATCCCTAAAAAAGGAGTTAGCTCCGTTTATTGACCGTTGCAATTGCATGGCAGCTATAGGGAAAGTTTTAGCAAGCTAAGAGCAGACGTGGGGCTTCCCGTGATACTTAAGGCTGGGATGGGGACCCTGTGGCCCTTCAGAGGTTGAACTACATATCCCATCAGTTCTTACTGCTTAGGGCTGATGGAAGAGTCTGAGGACACCAAAAGAGACCTTGTGCAAATGTAGGAGAGGTCTTCATTGTTTGGAGAGCTCCTGACATCATGTCATGGCACTTAAGTGTTAGCTGGGAACCACTCCAAGTCGCCTTCGGGCTGAGAGGGGCGGTATATAAATATACTAAATAAATAATAATAATCAGTGTGATGTTATCCAACTCCAATTTCAGTTCCTTTATTTTTAATGAGTATATAAGCCCTCCCTGCTGGCACAGTGGGTTAAACCGCTGAGCTGCTGAACTTGCTGACCGAAAGGTTGGAATCCGAGGAGCGAGGTGAGCTCCCACAGTTAGCCCCAGCTTCTGCCAACCTAGCAGTCCTAAAATATGCAAATGTGAGTAGATCAATAGGTACCGCTCCGGCGAGAAGGTAATAGGTACTAGGCATGTGCATTCAGGGTAAGCCTTGATTCCTTTCATGTCCCAGCTTTCAGCGGTGTACTCAAACCGTTTCTACTCAGCCTCCCAAAATCAAGAGGGCAGATATTTGTTTTTGGTGCCAAAAGATTTGTTTTCTTTCGGTCCCTTATTGGGTTGATGGGGAGGGACGGACTTCCCACCCAGGCTCCCCTTCCCAGTGTGATCTTTTGGGCAGGGTTTACCTCGCCTGAGGGCTGAGAAGAGCGGTATACAAATACAGCAAATAAAAAAATACCTCATCTTCATCTGGGGAGTCGAAGGACTCCCTGGCTGGGGCTGAAGACCCATTGTGTTTGCTGCCCGTATCCGCTCTGTACAACCCAAAGCATAGGCCCAAAGCGCACAGGCCTGAACCCAAGCGCCTAGTAAGCAGCATTCCTCAGCTGCACGCCCTGTCAATCGATCCAAAAAGCAGGCTTGGAGCCGGTACCCACTCCTGCCTGCCTTTCGTATTGAGTTTATTTTTGTTCTAGGAGGGGCATTCCTGTTCTGTGTATCCAAATGGATGGAATGAAACAAAAACATGAATCAAACAGATGATACAGATACCGGGCCCATGACTAATACACACTGCTTCTGCAGAAGGTAATGGCACTCCATGCAGTCATGCCTGCCATATGATTTTGGATGTGTCTATGGAGAACTCTGGCTCTTTTGGCTTAGAAATGGAGATGAGCACCAACCCCCAGAGTCAGACATGGCTGGACAATGTCAAGGAGAAACCTTTATCTTATTATTACATTACAATATTATTATGCTGGTCACATGACCTTGGAGGTGTCTATGGACAATGCTGGCTCTTCGGCTTAGAAATGGAGATGACCACCAACCCCCAGAGTCAGACACAACTGGACTTAATGTCAAGGGGAAACCTTTATCTTATTACTACATTACAATATTATTATGCTGACCACATGACCTTGGAAGTGTCTATGGGCAACGCTGGCTCTTTGGCTTAGAAATAGAGATGATAGTTGGACACAACTAGATTTTAACATCAGGGAAAACCTTACCTACATACTGGCTTCCATAAAGGGTATCAATGACAGTCCAGACCACCCAGTTTCAAATGTTTATTCTTTTTCATATATTGATTCGTATACTACAGGCTGCTTTTTAAAAAGGTTCAATAAAATAGATCTTTCCCCCTTTAGTAAAATGTAGGAGGTATCACAAAAATACAGTACTTTTCCTTTTTTTTTTTTTACAAATCCAGGCTTACAAAAGTAGAAAAAAAGCTTTCTTTCCAGGAGTGCATAATTAAAATATAGATTGGAGAGCAAAGTTCCTTCCGTGCTGCTTACGAAATATGCGCGAGTGCAATAATGGCATCGAGAGGAGAAGGAAAAAGTCGTTTTGCCTCAACCAAGAGCAAAGTGCTGCGGAGAAAAGTTGCTTTTTGCAGGTGAGAGATCACCTCGAAAGTGCTGCGATCCTATTGGTAGGTGGAATGAACCAATGGAATTCACATAATTGCTGAAAAGTTGCTCAGTTATCAATCCAGTGGGTTTCTCTTTAGCATCCGTTCGTACTACTCAATTTTGGAATAATTAAAATGTGGGATTTAGACCAAGATACTCTATTATTACTACTGCAATGGCGGCTCCCTTTCAGACTGAATGGACGGAAATAGTATATAAAGCTTGCAAAAAATCCTCAAAATTACACACAGAAAAGCATTTCGAAATTGACAAGCAAATCCATGAAAACTCATTTTGAAGACTGAAATCCTGTATGGCAATTGAGAAAAGAGGAGACAGAAAGCCCTGAGTACGTCGTCCCTTCCACCAAGGAGTAAGGGCATCACACCGAGAAGCGTGGCTCTGGCAGGATGGCTCTCCGTTTAATAGACCTGTAGATGCGCGGAGGTGGCCCCATCTTTCCACTTGTTGACGTGGTCGCTGATGACCGTCCGGCAGAGCGGGCACGTCTTCTCTCGGTTGAACCACAGCGCGATGCATTCGTCACAAAATATGTGCTGGAATGAGACGGAAGGCAGAGGTTCACGGGATAAGCCAAAATACGTCAACACTTGCTAATGATGGCACTGTAAGCAAGGAGTAGCGGTTGTTTATCTACTTTAGATCTACAAAAACTTCAGGTGGCTCCTCAGGGTGCTGGGCCGGGTTTTAGCACAGCTGGTAAATCACTAGCAAGGATAAGATCTACCAACCAAAAGGTTGCCAGTTCGAAGCCCTGGGTTGACGTGAGCTGCCGACTGTCAGCCCAGCGTACTGTTGGCCCAAGCAGTTCAAAAATAGCTTGAGCTGTAATTAGGTACTGCTGAAATTAGTGGGAGAGGTATTTTATGATGCTATAAAGAAAAAAGATCAGAAAATATCCGGCGACCAAAAGGAAGGAGAAAGTCCTGATGACGTCTCGTCATAGAAGATGGAGCGACAGCACCCCCCTGCAGGTTGCCGTGAGCTGCCGACTGTCAGCCCAGCTTATTGTTGACCTAAGCAGTTCGAAAACAGCTTGAGCTGTAATTAGATACTGCTAAAACTAGTGGGAGAGGAATTTTACAATGCTATGATGAAAAAAGATCGGAAAATATCCGCCGACCAAAAGGAAGGAGGAAGTCCTGATGGCGCTTCGTCATAGAGGATAAAGCGACAGCACCCCCCTGCAGGTTGGTGTGAGCTGCTGACTGTCAGCCCAGCTTACAGTTGACCTAAGCAGTTCAAAAATAGCTTGAGCTGTAATTAGGTACTGCTAAAATTAGTGGGAGAGGTATTTTATGATGCTATAAAGAAAAAAGATCAGAAAATATCCGGCGACCAAAAGGAAGGAGGAAGTCCTGATGGAGTTTCATCATAGAGGATGGAGTGACAGCACCCCCTGCAGGTTGGCGTAAGCTGCCGACTGTCAGCCCAGTTTACTGTTGACCTAAGCAGTCCGAAAACAGTTTGAGTTGTAATTGGAGAAATTAGGTAATGCAAAAAGAAGTTGGGAAGGTATTTTACAACACCATAAAGAAAAAAGATCAGAAAATGTCCGGCAACCAAAAGGTAGGAGGAAGTCCTGATGGCGCTTCATCATAGTGGATGGAGCAACAGCACCCCTCTGTGGCTGGATTCGAGCACAACCTTCCAAGGCACCAAAAAGCCAGACTTAGGCACAACATACCTCCTTTCTGTTCTGTCTCTATATTGTTTATCCAAAAAGGCATTGATTGTTTGCTGTGTACTATGGTCCACCCTGAGTCCCCTTGGGGAGATAGGGTGGAATATACATGAAGTATTATTATTATTATTTTACTGACACAAAAACACACTATGTCACAGCAAACGAGATCTATATGCTAGATTTTGTATTGTATTTATTATTAAATAATAATAATGGATTTTGTATTATATTTATTATTATTATTATTATTGCTATTACTATTATTATTTCACTGACACAAAAACACAGTATGTCACAGCAAATGAGATCTATATGCTGGATTTTGTATTGTATTTATTATTATTATTATTATTATTATTATTATTATTATTATTATCTGGTGGCGCAGTGGGTTAAACCCTTGTGCCAGCAGGACTGAAGACTGACAGGTTGGAGGTTCAAATCCGGGGAGAGAGTGGATGAGCTCCGTCTGTCAGCTCCAGCTCTCCATGCGGGGACATGAGAGAAGCCTCCCACAAGGGTGGTAAAACATCAAAACATCCGGGCAATGTCTCCCGGGCAACATCCTTGGAGACGGCCAATTCTCTCACACCCGAAACAACTTGCAGTTTCTCAAGTTGCTCCTGACACGGAAAAAAAATCTATGCTGATGATCGTGCCATCACCACCCAAGCAGGGAGCTTTGAAATGGTTGAACAAAAGCTCTCCAAAGCTTTAGGTACTCTTACTTATTTATTTACTACATTTCTACCCTATATTTATGCACTGAAATGTTTTAAGAGCCAAGCAATAACTTTACTCGAAAGATTCAGCTCATACTCTTATTTTACAGCTCACTTAGTACAAGGCCTGCCACTGGCATTGAGGGATCTTTGTCAGACAGCCTCCCTCATCCGCTGAAAGTCAGCAGAGGGTTACCTGGCAAATGAGGAGGACAGGTTTCCGGAATTCCGCTTGGCAAATGGCGCAAATGTCCTCCGCCTCTGCACACTGTCGCTTGCTGGCTGCTGTGCCATAGCTCTGCAAAGGGAGAGAAGGGAGTAAAGGTCACAAAGGAAGAGCCTGTGTCATGTTTGGGATTTTGGAAAACTTCAGAAAGGATCCCAGTACCGCTGGAACTTTTGGATTCGACAAGCAACAGGAATGGATGTGACACCACTTTCCTTCTGAAAGGAAGGAAACCGATATTTCAGTGTCCTGTGATAAATAGAAGTGTATAGGGGTGTTCATTAAAGATGTCCCCTGACCCACTTCTATTTATCACAGGATGCTGAAACTGCACATGTGTCATGATACAAATCTCTAAAGGTTACGTGCCAATTGACAACCCAGAACTGAGAATGGTCTTGATTTGACGGGTGCGGAAGTGGAGTGAGGTTTGGGAGTGGAATACAGAGCATAGAGTTGGAAGAGACCTCATGGGCCATCCAGTTCAACCCCATTCCACCAGGAAGCAGGAAAATTGCATTCAAAGCACCCCCGACAGATGGCCATCCAGCCTCTGTTTAAAAGCCTCCAAAGAAGGAGCCTCCACCACACTCCGGGGCAGAGAGTTCCACTGCTGAACAGCTCTCACAGTCAGGAAGTTCTTCCTTATGTTCAGATGGCAGCAATGTGGCAGTCCTCACGTTGCTTGACTCGAAAGGCAACACACCAAAGGATATGTTTGATGAGATGAAAGAGGTTGAGAGTGAGGATTCCCCATCAGAATGGAGTCAAGAACTGGCATCGTCAATTCAAATGTGGCCGGACTTTCCAGGGCAAACACACCATCCAACAAATGGAGGTCGCCATTTCGAAAAATCGCCACGTAACCATTCTCCACCAAGCCCAAAATGTCAATATAAGTGTGAGATCCACGGGAAAAAATCACCCAAGACCATCTTCACCTGCATAAGGTATCCACTTGCTGGGTCCCCTGGCTGCTCTTGACAATGACATGCCATGGAAAGCAGGAGGACTTTTTCCACAGACTGATCACACAGATGGGTCCATCACTCTGATCCTGAGACTCAAGTCCAGTCGATGACATGGAAGCATTCTGACTCACCGCCTCCAAAGAAGGCACGTGCCCAACTCTCAGCAGGCAAGCTCATGCTCATAGTATATTGGGACCAGCATGGAGTGGTGCTGATGGATTTCCAAGCAAAGGGGACCATGCTCACTGGGTCAGACTAGGCTTCACTGCTGTGGACATTGCTGGAGGCCATCGCAACCAAGAGATGTGGCATGCTCGCCAAAGGTGTCCACCTTCTGCAAGACAATGCACCCATTCACCTACTGCCCGAATGGAAGAAGCATGGTCCTGTGATTTGGAAATTCGACCGCATCCCCGATTCACCCAACCTCACACCATTGGACTTCCACCTCTTTCCAACAAGGAAGTTATTTTTGAAGGTGATGAGACTTTTTCAGGTGATGAGACTCTGATAACACTGCCTGAGCTCTGCGAGTGCAGCATTTTTCCGAATAAAGCAGAGAGTGTTTGAGGACATCCGTAGGGATACCAAGGGGCTTGTTTATAAAGCTATTGTCCTCCCAACCCTGCTATACGCCTGCGAGACGTGGACTGTCTACAGACATCACATGCAACTCCTGGAACGATTCAATCAGCATTGCTTCTGAAAAATCCTGCAAATCTCTTGGGAAGTCAAGCGGACAAATGTCAGCGTGCTGGAAGAAGCAAAGACCACCAGCATTGAAGTGATGGTCCTCCGCCATCAACTCCGCTGGACCAGCCACACTGTCCAGATGCCCAGCTACCATCTCCCAAAGCAGTTGCTCTACTCCAAACTGTATGTATGGGCAAGTGTATGTTTTGCATGTTTTGATATGGTCAAAATTGACTAATCACTAAAGAATTGTTGTTGTTGTACTCCAAACTCAAGAAAGGAAAATGGAACGTTGGTGGGCAGGAAAAGAGATTTAAAGATGGGCTCAAACCCAACCTTAAAAACTCTGGCATAGACACTGAGAACTGGGAAGCCCTGGCCCTTGAGCGCTCCAGCTGGAGGTCAGCTGCGACCAGCAGTGCTGTAGAATTTGAAGAGGCACAAATGGAGGGTAAGGGAGAAATGTGCCAAGAGGAAGGTGCGTCAAACTGAAGTTGGTATGTTAAATTGTGACAGCAAGGACAACATGGGATGAAATGACTGGAGCAGTTTATTTCTTTTTTGTTTGCCAAGTACATAACAATACTCACTGGTTGTGTGCAGAACGCCCTGAGGACCCGCCTGAGGTTTTTCAGGTTTCCAAAAAAGCTCAGAAGCTGGAAAATAAAAATAAGAGTGGGCTGTTTTAAAATGGTGTTCTTTGGTCGCCAATCTGTCAACACAGCTCTTTACATTTTCCCCAGAATACATAACGTAATGCAGCCATAAGGTGGGCTTGCACTTGTGTCTGACGCCAACAGGGAAGTGAATCAGTGTTTACCTTGAGGACAAGATACAGCAACGCGAGCAGGACTCCAAAGCACCATCCCAGCGTACTGTCACGCTCCCGCAAGCCAACAAGGTACTGGAACCAGACTGGGACTGGGACAACGGTGCGGTAGAACTGGCAGAATTCTTCTAAGAGCATATAACAGTAACCCTGAAGGAAAGTTACAAAAAAAGAAGGGGTAGAACTACAGGGAAGGGTGATGTTCACACACTGTGGCTTTACATTAAAATAGGTTCAAATTACACGCTCAGAAACAATACAGGACATAGTCTTCTTCTAGCTTTGCTCTTTTGGAATATACGACAGTAGAATGAAAAGTAATGCCTCCACCTTCATAACTCCTCAACAGATGGCGGTACTGGTATGCGGCAGGGACTGGCTTGTTCAATAGAATCTCCTCTACAGTTCCATTCTGGCAGGAAGCCTTAGAATTGAAGGGTTGTGTTGTTAAAGTGGAAAATAATGCCTCCACCTTCTTTACTGCTCAACAGATGGCAGTACTGGTAGGCGGCAGGTACTGGCTTGTTCAGTAGACTCTCCTCTACAGTTCCATTTTGGTGGGAAGCCTTAGCATTGAACGGCTGTGTTGTTAAAGTGAAAAGTAATGCCTCCCCCTTTGCAACTCCTCAACAGATGGCAGTACTGGTATGTGGCAGGTACTGGCTTGTTCAGTAGACTCTCCTCTACAGTTCCATTTTGGTGGGAAGCCTTAGCATCGAACGGTTGTGTTGTTAAAGTGAAAAGTAATGCCTCCACCTTTGTAACTCTGCAACAGAAGGAAGTACTGGTATGCGGCAGGCACTGGCTTGTTCAGTAGATTCTCCTCTACAGTTCCATTTTGGTGGGAAGCCTTAGCATTGAACGGTTGTCTTGTTAAAGTGAAAAGCAATGCCTCCACCTTTGTAACTGCTCAACAGATGGTAGTACTGGTATGCGGCAGGTACTGGCTTGTTCAGTAGACTCTTCTCTACAGTTCCATTTTGGTGGGAAGCCTTAGCATTCAACGATTGTTAAATGTATTTATTATTTATTTCAGGCTAACAAATCGGCACCCCATGGTGCCCATACCAGAACATAAATATACAATTTAACAGCAGTATAGCAATAAAACAGTATAAAACAATATAAAAACAATGTGCGAACTATGGAACCCTGAGCAGACGGTCGGTCAATGCGACTTAAGCAACATGCAGTCATTGAATTCTTGACAGCAGAAGGTGTCACCACAAAGGAGATTCATCAGAGAATGCAAGCTGTTTATGGTGATTGTGTTGATGTGAGTACTGTGCATCGTTGGGCGAGTAAAGATGTTGAGGTGGGAACATCTGACTTGCATGACAAACAAAGTTGGGCGTCCTGTGATAGCAACCACTGAGTTTCACAAGGAAAACGTTGACAGATAGATTCAGGATGATCGTCGTATCACTCAGAGAGAAATTTAAAACATAATCAGCATTTCACAAGAATCACAGAATCATGGAATCATGGAATCCTAGAGTTGAAAAAGACCTCACGGGCCATACAGTCCAACCCTCTGCCAAGAAGCAGGAAAACTGCATTCAAAGCACCCCGACAGATGGCCATCCAGCCTCTGTTTAAAAGCTTCCAAAGAAGGGCCTCCAGCACACTCCGGAGCAGAGAGTTCCACTGCTGAACAGCTCTCAGAGTCAAGAAGTTCTTCCTAATTTTCAGGTGGAATCTCCTTTCTTGTCGTTTGAAGCCATTGCTCCATTACGTCCTTGTCTCCAGGGCAGTAGAAAACAAGCTTGCTCCCTCCTCCCTATGACTTCCTCTCATGTATTTATACATAGCTATCATGTCTCCTCTCAGCCTTCTATTCCTCAAACTAAACATGCCCAGCTCTTTAAGCCGCTCCTCATAGGGCTTGTTCTCCAGACCCTTGATCATTTTAGCCACCCTCCTCTGGACACATTCCAGTTTGTCAACATCTCTCATCAATTGTGGTGCCCAGAATTGGACACAATATTCCAGGTGTGGTCTAACCAAAGCGGAATAGAGCATGGGTAGCATGACTTTTAGTCGCTGTCCTCTGGACACATTCCAGCTTGTCAATATCTCTCTTCAGAACGTGTGGGTCACATTATTACTTTGCTTGGCTATCGGAAGATCTGTGCACGATGGGTACCCAGGATGAGAGAACGGTGAGATGCTGGTTGCGAAAACAGAGTGTCGACTTCTTCTGTGATGGCTTGAGAAAACTTGTTCATCGTTGGCAGAAAAGTATCCAATTGTCCGGTGATTATGTGGGAAAGTGAATAGCGGTAAGAGCACATTCTAAGGATTATTGCTACATTTGATTTATTAAAATATTCCCATCCAAAGCCAAGTAACGAAGGTGGAGGCGTTACTTTTCATTCAACCCTTGTAGTTGGAGAAATAATGTCTGAGAAAAACACATCTCTGTCCACAAAAAAGAATGACATGTCCAAAGGTGATTAAGATAGAAACCTGCCAGACATTGCAGCCAACATGTTCCATTTCCCAACCGGAGAGTTTTTGGCACCGAGCCGTGTGTGAGCGGCCAACGTTTCTCTCGCAGTCTGAATAGATACAACCCAGGCCGGGCTGCATGACGCAGTTTCGGCTTTGTTTTGTACTGGGAACCAGTCCCAGAACCATTTGAGAGAGAGCTCATTCCTGTCACTAAAGAAGCGCAGGGGGAAACCCTCGCAGAGCTGGCTCGACTCTCTCGCATTGTTACGAATCCCTTTGGAGTAACAACGCCGCATAATATTGGCAGTTCTTCCACATCTGGGTCAGAGGTATGTGTTTGACAGGGCCTGGAACCAACAAAACAGGGGAATTCCAGACAATAATCAATCAGGGCCAGCTAACACTTCCCAACGAAGGATCCCTCAGGCAGCAACCAGCTGAGCTTTGAAGCTGCAAGTCCACTCAATGCTAACCAAGGTGGACAATTGTAATAACAGTAAATAAAACTTTGGGTTGTTGGAGGTTTTTAGGACTATATGGCCATGTTCTAGAAGCATTCTCTCCTGACGTTTTGCCTGCATCTATGGATGAAGTACTTTGGCCACATCATGAGAAGAAAGGAAAGCTTAGAGAAGACAGTGATGCTGGGGAAAAGGAAGAGGGGCCGACCAAGGGCAAGATGAATGGATGATATTCTTGAAGTGACTGGCTTGACCTTGAAGGAGCTGGGGGTGGTGACGGCCGACAGGGAGCTCTGGCGTGGGCTGGTCCATGAAGTCACGAAGAGTCGGAAACTACTGATGCTGGGGAAAATGGAAGGAAGAAGGAAGAGGGGCCGACCAAGAGCAAGATGGATGGATGGGATCCTTGAAGTGACTGGATTGACCTTGAAGGAGCTGGGGGTGGTGACGGCCAAAAGGGAGCTCTGGCGTGGGCTGGTCCATGAAGTCACGAAGAGTTGGAAACAACTGAACGAATGAACAACATGGCAAGCATCCTCAGAAGTTGTGAGGTCTCTGAGGATGCTTACCATAGATGCAGGCAAAATGTCAGAAGAGAATGCTGCTAGAACATGGCCATAGAGCTCGAAAAACCTAAAACAACCCAGGCAAGAGTTCTTTCTCCCATCCTGGACATTACTCCACAGATATATATACCCCATTTTGCTAGTTTCCAACAAACCTCACCACCTCTGAGGAGGCTTCCCATAGATGTGGATGAAACTTTAGGAGAGAATGCTTCTGGGACATGGCTAGGCAGGAATGAACTCAACTGAATGAATGAACAACAGGAACAACAATAAATGAACAACAACATGGCAAGCATCCTCAGAGGTTATGAGGTCTCTGAGAATGCTTACCATAGATGCAGGTGAAATGTCAGGAGAGAATGCTGCTTGAACATGGCCATATAGCCCGAAAAACCTACAACAACCCAGTCAATAGTTCTTTCTCCCACCCTGGACATTACTCCACAGATATATAAACCGCATTTTGCTAGTTTCCAACAGACCTCACAACCTCTGAGGAGGCCTCTCATAGATGTGGGTGAAACTTCAGGAGAGAATGCTTCTGGGACATGGCTAGACAGGAATGAACTCGACTGAACGAATGAACAACAGGAACAAATGAACAACAACATGGCAAGCATCCTCAGAGATTGTGATAACTCTGAGGATCTGAGGATGCTTACCATAGATGCAGGCAAAACGTCAGGAGAGAATGCTGCTAGAACATGGCCATATAGCCCGAAAAACCTACAACAACCCAGGCAAGAGTTCTTTCTAACACCCTGGACATTATTCCACATATATAAACTGCATTTTGCTAGTTTCCAACAGACCTCACAACCTCTGAGGAGGCCTCCCATAGATGTGGGTGAAACGTCAGGAGAGAATGCTTCTGGGGCATGGCCATATCTACAACAACCCAGGCAAGAGTTCTTTCTCCCATCCTGGAATTATTCCACAGATATATAAACCCCATTTTGCTAGTTTCCAACAGACCTCACCACCTCTGAGGATGCCTTCCATAGATGTGGGTGAAACTTCAGGAGAAAATGCTTCTGGGACATAGCGGAAAGCTCACAGCAACCCAAAAAAGACTATGTAATTTTTCCTGTTGCAAATAATTTCTTGATGGGCGCATCTTATAGGCTCCCTTCTCAAGTATCAGGCTAGCATATATAACACCGTATATAATATATATAATAAATAACGCCTACGTTCTCCATCTGGCGGTGCTTTCAGACATCCTTTCACCTAATCAATAACTGGGATATCTGCTGATCGGGCAAGATTTCCATGATTCGCTTCTACCAAGATCATACTGAGTGATTTATGTTTGCTCTTCTGCCCCCGCCTGAAAGCCAGGCAGATTTTATCCCGGCATTAAACCTTTCTCCTCTCACCTAAATGGTTGGAGACGGATGAAATCGTCGCCGTTCTTCAATCATACGTCAAAAGTGTTATGAAGAGTCAGCAAGAACGTTGAACTGTCATTACTTTGTCAAATACTTTCCATGGCTAATAACTAAGTGTATTTAACAGCTGCATATTTATCTTTCAGCACAAAAAAGCGTAACTTCTTGGCCAGTGGTCGCTGAAGACCGCTTTAGCTGCCATGTATTGTATTGTCAAAAGCTTCCATGGCCAGAATCACTAGGTTGAGAGTTGTTTGGGATGACTGGCCATGTTCCAGCAGCATTCTCTCCTGACGTTTTGCCTGCATCTATGGCAGGCAACCTCAGAGTTTGTGAGGTCTGTTGGAAACCAGGAAAATGGAGTTTATATGTCTGTGGAATATCCCTGATGGTTTCCTGTCTGGAATTCCCCTGTTCTTTATTTACTGTTATGATTTTAGAGGTTTTTTTTAATGCTGGTAGCCAGATTTTGTTCATTTTCATTATTTCTTCCTTTCTGTTGAAACTGTCCACACCCCCACTATGATTAATTCTCTCTGTGGGTTGTTGTGGGTTTTTCTGGGCTATATGGCCATGTTCTGGAGGCAATTTTTCTCCTGACGTTTCGCCTGCATCTATGGCAAGCATCCTCAGAGGTAGTGAGGTCTGTTGGAAGTAGGAAAAATGGGTTTATATATCTGTGGAATGACCAGGGTGGGACAAAGGACTCTTGTCTGCTGGAGCTAGGTGTGAATGTTTCAGCTGATCACCTTGATTTGCATTCAATGGCTTGGAAGTGCCTGGGGGGAATCTTTTGTTGAGAGGCTACCAGTATTAAAAAACTCAAAAATTACAGCAGCAAAACAACAGAGGGGAAACAAACAGGCACATGAAATCACTCTCAACAAAAGATTCCCCCCAGGCGCTTCCAAGCCATTGAATGCAAATCAAGGTGATCAGCTGAAACATTCACACCTAGCCCCAGCAAACAAAAGTCCTTTGTCTCACCCTGGTCATTCCACAGATATATAAACCCATTTTCCTAGTTCCAACAGACCTCTACCTCTGAGGATGCTTGCCATAGATGCAGGCGAAACGTCAGGAGAAAAATTGCCTCCAGAACATGGCCATATAGCCTGGAAAAACCTACAACGACCCATGGATTCCGGCCATGAAAGCCTTCGACAATACAATTCTCTCTGTGTTCAAATATTGTGATTTTACTGGGTTGTTGTAGGTTTTTTCGGGCTATATGGTCGTGGTCTAGAGGTATTCTCTCCTGACGTTTCGCCTGCATCTATGGCAAGCATCCTCAGAGGTAGTGACGTCTGTTGGAACTAGGAAAAGGGGTTTATATATCTGTGGAATGACCAGGGTGGGACAAAGGACTCTTGACTGTTGGAGCTAGGTGTGAATGTTTCAACTGATCGCCTTGATTAGCATTTGATTGCCTGGCAGTGCCTGGAGCAATCTTTTGTTGAGAGGTGATTATTCGACAATACATTGTGATTTTATATTGTCTGATGTGTTTATGTATAATGTTTCTTGTATTTTATTTTTTAATATTTTATTCTTGTATTTTTATGTTGTACATTTGCATTGTTGTACTGCTGGGCTTAGCCTCGTGTAAGCTGCCCCGAATCCCCTTGGGGAGACGGTGGTGGGGAATAAATAAAGTATTATTATTATTATTGATACAAAAGCACAGTATGTCACAGCAAACGAGATCTCTATGCTGGATTTCGTATCACAAAATCACAAGTCGAACACTTCCCAAGTGTCTAGGACTGTGTGATATATTTTTATTTTTTATTTTATTTTTATTGTGTGTGATGTATTATTATTATTATTATTATTATTATTATTATTATTATTATTATTATGCCGGTGGATGTCAATAGAAGAAACCATGAACATAAACAACATCTGGCTACCAGCATTTAAAAAAAAAGCATAAAGAATCATAACAGTAAATAAAGAACAACATACAAAACAGGGGAACTCCAGACAAGAAACCACCAGGGACAGTTAATCACCTCTCAACAAAGGATTCCCTCAAGGCAGTAAGAAGCCACATCTTGAAACTGCTAGGCCATCAAATGCTAATCAAGGTGGCTGATTGAAACATTCACAGCTACTTCCAACAGAGAAGAGTGCTTTCTCCCACCCTGGACATTATTCCAAAGATAATGACAGTAAGCAGCCAGACCTTGAAGCTGCAAAGCTATTAAATGCTAATCAAGGTGGCCAATTGAAATATTCACACCTACCTCCACAGAGAAGAGTTCTTTCTCCCACCCTGGACATTATTCCAAAGATAATGACAGTAAGCAGCCAGACCTTGAAGCTGCAAAGCTATTAAATGCTAATCAAGGTGGCCAACTGAAACATTCACAGCTACCTCCAACAGACAAGAGTTCTTTCTCCCACCCTGGACATTCCACAGATATATAAATCACATTTTCCTAGTTTCCAACAGACCTCACAACCTCTGAGGATGCCTGCCATAGATGTGGGCGAAACATCAGGAGAGAATGCTTCTGGAACATGGACAGGCAGCCTGAAAACCTTACAACTACATTATTCTGGCCTATCTGCTATAGCACACAAAATAATGCATTTTAGTCGCAGTGTTCAGGTAAGCAACTTGCAGTATTGCAAGGGTTAGTTTTTAGGAAATGGGTTCTCTTACCTTGGATTTAGAAGACACGAGAAGAGAAGGCAGCAGGAGAACAACACACTTGAAGCTCATGAACAGGAACTTCAGGATGAAGTCGGTGATGCCCACAATCCACAGCACCTCCCAGAAGCTCATAAAATCCACCTTTGGGCTTAAAAAGATCAAGCTGGGAAACAAGAACAAGCATTTCAGGGAGTGGTTTTGGTTTTATTTTTGTTTATCTGCAGAGGCCTTTCTGAGTCCCCTTCAGAGTGAGAAGGGCGGCATATAATATAATATATTGTGTATTATATTATATATAATATATTGTATATACATATAATATTTATAATATTATAATGTAATACAATATAATACTTATAATACTTATATTATATTATATATAAGATATATATTATATATAATATAATATATTATATATAATATATTATATTATATATTGTATATACATATAATATTTATAATATTATAATGTAATATAATATAATACTTATATTATAATACTTATATTATATTATATATAAGATATATATTATATATTGTATATACATATAATATTTATAATATTATAATGTAATACAATATAATAATATTATTATTATATTATTATATATTTTATATTACATGTAATATTACTAATAATATTACAATATAATGGTATAGTACAATATAGTAATATATAATACGGATATTGTACTATGCTAATAATATATATCTTGACTCCCCTTCAGAGTGAGAAGGGCGGAATATAATATTATATAATATTATATTATATATATATATATATATATATATATATATATATATATATAATATTGTATATACATATAATATTTATAATATAATGTAATACAATATAATACTAATAATGATATTATTATATATGTTATATTACATGTAATATTACTAATAATATTACAATATAATAGTACAATATAGTAATATATAATACTGAATTATACTGTGCTAATAATATATATCTTGTAAGCCACTCTGAGTCTCCTTCAGGGTGAGAAGGGCGGCATATAAATGCCGTAAATAAATGAAAAATAAATAAATCAGCACCCCAAATCACTAAACCGAATCTGAAGTTAACCAAACACTGATTCGTAACCCTTTTGGTACTAATGTTGGAGAGCGGTCCCTGGTCAAAGAGATCTTGCAAAACCCTCTTATAGTGCCGAGGCTTCTTAAATGTGGCTTTCTTGCAAGTAGCGCACCCAGGGCCAATCCTTACCTGTAATGAAGGCGTTGGGAGTAAAAGGTGTAATAGATGAGGAGGGAAGACCCCACGAGGAACACCAGTAACCACACACATTGCAATCGGGAATGCCTTTCCTGCAAGATGAAAGAGAGGGAAATTGGTGCCGTTTGCCCAGCGGGTTCAGACTGCTCAGTTGTTTTGGTAGAGACAAAACGTGAGGCCACGATCCTCTCAAGTTTAACTAAAGTGCTGAACTTGGGATGTTAAGAGAATTTTACACCACACATTTGCAGTGCTTTGATTCCATTTCAGCTGCCATGGCAATATCTGATAGAATCTAGGATTACATAGTTTGGTGAAATAGTTTGATTTCTCTGCCAAAGAGTGACATAGGAAACTACAAATCAGAGTTTATTGGGCAGGGCAATTTGAGTAGAACTGTATTATTACGAGGGTTGAATGAAAAGTAATGCCTCCACCTTCGTAACTCTGCAACAGATGGCAGTACTGGTATGTGGCAGGTACTGGGTTGTTCAGTAGACTCTCCTCTACAGTTCCATTTTGGCGGGAAGCCTTAGCATTGAACGGTTGTGGTGTTAAAGTGAAAAGTAATGGCTCCACCTTCGTAAACTCCTCAACATATGGCAGTACTGGTATGTGGCAGGTACTGGCTTATTCAGTAGACTCTCCTCTACAGTTTCATTTTGGCAGGAAGCCTTAGCATTGTACGGTTGTGTTGTTAAAGTGAAAAGTAATGGCTCCACCTTCGTAAACTCCTCAACAGATGGCAGTACTGGTATGCAGCAGGTACTGGCTTGTTCAGTAGACTTTACTCTACAGTTCCATTTTGGCAGGAAGCCTTAGCATTGAATGGTTGTAGTGTTAAAGTGAAAAGTAATGGCTCCACCTTCGTAACTCCTCAACAGATGGCAGTACTGGTATGTGGCAGGTACTGGCTTGTTCAGTAGACTCTCCTCTACAGTTCCATTTCAGTGGGAAGCCTTAGCATTGAACAGTTGTGTTGTTAAATTGAAAAGTAATGGCTCCACCTTCGTAACGCCTCAACAGATGGCAGTACTGGTACTGGCTTGGTCAGTAGACTCTCCTCCACAATTCCATTTTGGTTGGAAGCCTTAGCATTGAATGGTTGTGTTGTTAAAGTGAAAAGTAATGCCTCCACGTTTGTAACTCCTCAACAGATGGCAGTACTGGTATGCGGCAGGTACTGGCTTGTTCAGTAGACACTCTTCTACAGTTCCATTTTGGCGGGAAGCCTCAGCATTGAATGGTTGTGGTGTTAAAGTAGAGGAGAGTGTACTGAACAAGCCAGTACCTGCCGCATAACAGTACTAGCATCTGTTGAGTTACGAAAGTGGAGGCATTACTTTTCATTCAACCCTCGTATAATCCAATGAAGCTTCTCTGTTAGCCTCTTGCAGCATAAAAAATAAAACAAGGAGAAAGGAGGGGAAAAGAAATGTGGTAGTAATTGTAAAGCTGATTTTACTTTGATGGGAGCTTTTGTGGATAGGGCCGGGCTGTAGCACAACTGGTTAATCACCAAGAGCAATAGATCACTGCCAACTGGAAGGTGGCAAGTTTGAAGCCCAAGTTGGGTTGAGCACCTAACTGTCAGCCTAAGCTCACTGTCCACCTAAGCCACTGGTTCTCAATCTGTGGGTCTTCAGCTGTTTTGGCCTTCAATTTGGAGTGGAAGCAAGGGAAAACACTCCTATACCATGCCCTAAAAGATAAAATATGCTAAATGAGTTTTCTTGATCCTGGATAAAATCTTAAAAGTAGCCTAAACACACCTAATATTCATGCCCCCAACACTGAAATCTGGATAACAAAGGGATATGTTTTCATTTAACAATATTAGAGGCTGTTTGAGCTCATTATTAATAGGCAGCCTTTCCAAGAAATCTGAAAAAGGTACAGCTTGTAAAAAAAACCAATCAAAGCAATAAAACATTTCAGGGGACGAAAATAAAACCTAAAATAAAGTGGGAGGGCAAAAAGAAAAAACCAAGGTGCTAATAGTGAACTCATTCTCTGAGTACGGATGCAACTGCAGCCAAAACGGCATAGCTAGCTACTTCATTAATTCCTTAATGAAAGAGCAATTATTAAGTACCATACACACTCGAGTATAAGCCGAGTTTTACAACCCTTTTTTAAGGCTGAAAAAGCCCCCTTTGGCTTATACTTGAGTCAAAGCTATTTATTATTTTACTCTATTCTTTTTTATTAAATTTATTATGTTACTCCGTTTATTATTATTGCACTGACATAATTTTACTCTATATTTTATTATATTTATTATTTTAGTCTATTATTATTACATTTATTATTTTATTCTATTATCATTACATTCGTTATTTCACTCTATTATTATTACATTTATTATTTTACTCTATTATTATTACATTCATTATTTCACTCTATTATTATTACATTCATTATTTCACTCTATTATTATTACGTTTATTATTTTACTCTATTATTGTTATTACTACATTTATTTTTACTCCATTATTATTATATTTATTATTTTACTCATATTATTATTACATTTATTATTTTACTCTATTACCAATGGCGCAGTGGGTTAAACCGCTGAGCTGCTGAACTTGCTGACCAAAAGGTCGCAGGTTTGAATCTGGGGAGCAGCATGAGCTCCCACTGTTAGCCCCAGCTTCTGCCAAGCTAGCAGTTTGAAAACATGCAAGTGTGAGTAGATCAATAGGTACTGCTCCGGCGGGAAGGTAAGGGCACTCCATGCAGTCATGCCGGCCACATGACCTTGGAGGTGTCTATGGACAACACCAGCTCTTTGGCTTAGAAATTGAGATAAGCACCATCCCTAGAGTCAAGCATGACTGGACTTAATGTCAGGGGAAAACCTTTACCTTTACCTATTGTTATTTATTATTTTACTCTATTTATTATTATTACATGTGAGTAGATCAATAGGTACCGCTCCGGCGGGAAGGTAAGAGTACTCCATGCAGTCATGCTGGCCACATGACCTTGGAGGTGTCTATGGACAACGCCGATTCTTTGGCTTAGAAATTGAAACAAGCACCACCCCCTAGAGTCGAGCATGACTGGACTTAAAGTCAGGGGAAAACATTTACCTTTACCTATTATTATTCATTATTTTACTCTATTTATTATTATCATATTTATTATATTTCTCTATTATTTTTATTACATTATTATTCTACTCTACTTATTATTGTTATTATTACATTTATTATTTTACTCTATTATTTTTATTACAATTATTATTTTACTCTATTATTACTGTTATTATTATATTTCCATTATTTTACTCTATTTATTATTATCATATTTATTATATTTCTCTATTATTATTTTTTTCTTACATTATTATTATACTCTATTTATTATTATTATTATTATTACATTTATTATTTTACTCGATTATTTTTATTACAATTATTATTTTACTCTATTATTACTGTTATTATATTTCCATTATTTTACTATATTATTATTATTATTACATTTATTATTTTACTCGATTATTTTTATTACAATTATTATTTTACTCTATTATTACTGTTATTATATTTCCATTATTTTACTCTATTTTATTCTCTTTATTATTATTGGAAGGGTACATAAGCACATTGACAATGAAGAAGGTTAGAATAATGGTTTACTCAGAGTTGGTCATTCTTATCTTAAATTACATTTTAATGTAAATATTAAAATAATAAAAAATATTAAAAAACATTTAATATTAATTAAATATTAATGTAGTTTTATTGGTATCTATTTTTATTCTGAAATTTACCAGTAGCTGCTGCATTTCCCACCCTGGGCTTATACTTGAGACAATACGTTTTCTCAGTTTTTGGTGGTAAAATTAGGTGCCTGGGCTTATATTTGGGTTATACTCGGCTTATACTCGAGTATATACGGTAAGACCTTGACATTTTGTCTCATGATACAATTGAAACTGACCCAGCATTCCCCATTTCGACCCATCTTGTGGTGTGTATGAAGTTTTGAAAATACTTACAACCTCAACTGGAGAGGTCAATACTTACTCTTAGGAAAACCTGATTTACAATGCTTTTGTTTGCATACATAAAGGTTGTTAGCAGCCCAATTCCCAGAGAAATGCCTATTGGGAAAAAAGGGTCAATTATATAAGCAAAAAAGGGGGAAAAAGAAGAACAAAATAATGCAAATAATGTAATCTTTACAAAGAAGGCGAAAATTAAGAGGGACGCATGCAGAAATATTAATAACGCCCATATATTTTAGACAAAAGAACAAAAATTAGTATATAATAATGAGCAGTACTGCACCAACGTGACCACAAATATATCTGATGAAGAAGGCTATGAAAGCATCTCAATTAATATTCAAGGAATATAAGCATTGGACAACGAGATCCAGGGAAGTCATGCTCTATTCTGACTTGGTTAGACCACATCTGGAATACTATGTCCAATTCTGGGCACCACAATTGAAGGGAGATGTTGACAAGCTGGAATGTGTCCAGAGGAGAGAGACTCAAATGATCAAGGGTCTGGAGAACAAGTCCTATGAGGAGCGGCTTAACGAGCTGGGCATGTTTAGCCTGTAGAAGAGAAGACTGAGAGGAGACATGATGAGGGCCATGTATAAATATGTGAGAGGAAGCCATAGGAAGGAGGGAGCAAGCTTGTTTTCTGCTTCCCTGGAGACTAGGACGCAATAGAGCAGTGGTTCTCAACCTTGCTAATGCCGTGACCCCTTAATGCAGTTCCATATGTTGTGGTGACCCCGAACCATAATACTGATTTCTTTGCTACTTGATACCTGTCATTTTACTAATATTATATATCCTAATGTAAATATCCAATATGCAGGATATATTTTCATTCACTGGACTAAATTGAGCACAAATACCCAATATGCCTAAATGTAAATGCTAGTAGGGTTGGGGGGAGGATTCATTTTGTAATTTGGGAGTTGTAGTTGCTGGGATTTATAGTTCACCTATAATCAAAGAGCATTCTGAACTCCACCAGCGATGGATTTAAACCGAACTTGGCACACAGAACTCCCATGACCAAGAGAAAACACTGGAAGGGTTTGGTGGGCATTGACCTTGAGTTTGGGAGTTGTAGTTCACCTATATCCAGAGGAGTGCTGTGGATTCATGCAATGATGGATCTGGACCAAACTTGGCACGAATACTCAATATGCCCAAATGTGAACACTGGTGGAGTCTGGGGAAAATAGACCTTGACATTTGGGAGTTGTAGTTGTTGGGATTTATAGTTCACCTACAATCAAAGAGCATTCTGAACTCAACCAACAATAGAATTGGGTCAAACTTCCCACACAGAATCCCAATGACCATCAGAAAATCCCAATGTGTTTTCTGATGGTCTTTGGCAACCCCTTTGACACCCCCCCACGACCCCCTCAGGGGTCCCGGCCCCAGGTTGAGAAACACTGCAATAGAGCCATGGCTTCAAATTACAAGAAAGGAGATTCCATCTGAACATTAGGAAGAACTTCCTGACTGTGAGAGCCGTTCAGCAGTGGAACTCTCTGCCCCAGAGTGTGGTGGAGGCTCCTTCCTTGGAGGCTTTTAAACAGAGGCTGGATGGCCATCTGTCAGGGGTGCTTTGAGTGCAATTTTCCTGCTTCTTGACAGAATGGGGTTGGACTGGATGGCCCACCAGGTCTCTTCCAAATCTATGATTCTAAGGAAGACATACATTGAATATGCATTTTGTTTCCATATTTAAAAAACAACAACCAACGAGGAATATATTTTATTTTGCTATAATTTATTGCAGGGCTTGGCCTCATGTAAGCCACTCCGAGTCCCCTTTGGGGAGATGGTGGCAGGGTATAAATAAAGATTATTATTATTATTATTATTATTATTATTATTATTATTATTTTAGAAACATAACAAGCTGTCTGTTGAATTGGATCACACGTCGGACACTTCCTATTATTATTATTATTATTATTATTATTATTATTATTATTATATACCTTGTTGGGACACAATCTGAATTAATGACATGCCTCGCCTGGATCAGAGATTAATTTTCATTGCAATTTCAATATATTTCACTTGCAGCAGAGAGCCAGAAACTATTATTTAGCTTGTAAACAAGTTAAACTCGGTTTCTGCTCATGCCTCCATTCTGGAAGGAGGAGACACAGGAAGTGGTACTGAGACCGACATTTAACCACCTGGGTTAATTTGTTTTAAAAATACGTTTCTAGTCCTCAAGGTGTTGAGAACAGGTTGGAATGCCTGTAGGAAATGCCTGGTGACATCTCAGAAACCGGAAATATGGGTAAACAAGATCTGAAGAAATCAGATGTTTCGGCATTAGGTACAACCTCTCGTTCAAAAATGCAGCTCTATTCAATTTGGTGAATCTGCAGGTCACGAGTGCAGTTTAGCTTTGCACCGTTTTGGCTCTCAAGCCCTCTAGGACTATGAGTTCCTTTTCTATCATCCTTAATCTATATCAATAAACATGAAATGTTCGTTTGTGGGATTAACACAACTCAAAAACCACTGGACGAATTGACACCAATTTTGGACACAAGACACCTAACAACCCAATGTATGTCCTTCACTCAAAAAATTGATTTTGTCATTTGGGAGTTGTAGTTGCTGGGATTTATAGTTCATCTACAATCAAAGAGCATTCTGAACCCCACCAACGATGGAATTGAACCAAACTTGGCACACAGTTCTCCCATGACCAACAGAAAATACTGGAAGGGTTTGGTGGGCAGTGTCCTTTGGTTTTGGAGTTGGAGTTCACCTACATCCAGAGATCACTGTGGACTCAAACAATGATGGATCTGGACCAAACTCTACACAAATACTCAATATGCCCAAATGTGAACACTGGTGGAGTTTGCGGAAAATAGAATCTTGACATTTGGGAGTTGTAGTTGCTGGGATTTATAGTTCACCTACAATCACAGAGCATTCTGAACCCCACCAATGATAGAATTGGGCCAAACCTCCCACACAGAACCCCCATGTGGGCCACAGCAACGGGTGGCAGGGGACAGCTAGTCTATATAAATAAAAATGTAATGTTCGTTTGTGGGATTAACATAACTCAAAAACCACTGGACGAATTGACACCAAATTTGGACACAATACACCTAACAGTCCAACAAGTGACCATCACTCAAAAAAACACACACATATAAAACCCCAGCGGAATAGACTTAAAACCCCCAAAATATATCATATATACAGATACACATACACTCATATACATATACACATGCACACATTCATACACACACGTATTTGTGTGTATATATAGATATATATGCACAAACACACACAAATATACACATATACACGCATACATATACATACACACATATATACATATACACATGCACACACATATATACAATATGCATGTACACATAAAAACAAATACACAAATATATACACACACACATATATACACCTATATATATATATATATATATATATATATATATGCAAACACACATATATACACAAATATATATGCAATTTATATTTATTTTTAGGTATTTATATAACAAAATATAAAAAGCCTAGATTTATGGAGTTCCCTAGATTTGCCCTATATATATACAATTATATTTAATACAGATATATATATATATATATATATATATATATATATATATATATGGTTATATCAGAATATTTTCTTAAACACACACATAAACACATATATACACACACAAAACACATGTACACAGACAGGGCTACAGCAACGCGTGGCAGGGCACAGCTAGTCTATATAAATAAAAATGTAATGTTTGTTTGTGAGATTAAGATAACTCAAAAACCAATGGACAAATTGACACGAAATTTAGACACAACACACCCCTCAGGCCAACAAGTGACCATCACTCATAAAAACACTGAAAAATGCAGCAGAAGAGACTTAAAAAGTCAAAAAACAAAAATTACAACACATGTGCAAAACTATATATATATGCAAACACACATATACACATGCAAAACACATAAACACAGACTGGGCCACAGCAAAGCATGACGGGATGGCTAGCAAATCATAAATGCAATATATCCCATGCCCTGTAAAACCATGTACTCTACCAGTTAAGTGCTGCGTGAGAAGTTTGATGGACAGGATCAAGAGGTACGGGAGGCTCTTATACAACCACTGGAGGAGATATCGGAATTCCGAGAATGAGCTGCCGTTTTGCTCCTCCAAATCCGGGCCGCCATCTTGGGTACCTCGAACCTCGCTGTGAGAATGGGAGTGTGGACGGCTTTGAGTCCCCAGCCGCGGGTGATGCCTGGAGCCCACATTTTCTCCAGTCTCTCCATGAACCGACCCCAGCTGGATATGAACGTCCCCTACGTGTTGGCAAGAACCTTCTCCTGGCAATGCTGCGGCATGCGCGCACTGGGGGGATGTGCTACCATCGCCGTTTGTGGGCACGCCGTGCCGATTATTAGCGTTGGGCTGCATGGCATCCAGCTGGTGACGACTTGCTCCAAATTCCTGAGTTTTGGTGTGCTGATCCCTAAAAGGAATGATGCATGTTTAGAATGATGGACTGAGCTCAGCTGAATGAAGCTTGCTCAGGTGTCACAAAAACATAGGAAATGGAGATGAGGACCAACTCCCTGAGTCGGACACAACTGGACTTACTCTCATGGGAAAACCTTTACCTCTGTCAATCTAGTAGTTCAAAAACATGCAAATGTGAGTAGATTGATAGGTACCGCTCCAGCGGGAAGCTAACGGCGCTCCATGTAGTCATGCCAGCCACATGACCTTGGAGGTGTCTACGAACAACACTGACTCTTTGACTTAGAAATGGAGGTAAGCACCAGCCTCCAGAGTTGGACATGACTGGACTTAATATCAGAGGAAAACCTTTACCTTTACCTCTGCCAACCTAGCAGTTCAAAAACATGCAAATGTGAGTAGATCAATAGGTACCGCTCCGGTGGGAAGCTGGCCACATGACCTTGGAGGTGTCTATGGATAACGCCGGCTCTTTGGTTAAGAAATGGAGATGAACACCAACCTCCAGAGTTGGACATGACTGGACTTAACGTCAGGGGAAAACCTTTACCTTTACCTCTGCCAACCTAGCAGTTCGAAAACATGCAAATGTGAGTAAATCAATAGGTACTGCTCTGTTGGGAAGCTGGCCCCGTGACCTTGGAGTTGTCTATGGACAACACTGACTCTTCGGCTTAGAAATGGAGATAACCACCAACCCCCAGAGTTAAACACACTGGACTTAATATCAGGGGAAAACCTTTACCTTTACCTCTGCCAACCTAGCAGTTCAAAAACATGCAAATATGAGTAGATCAATAGGTACTGCTTCAGCAGGAGGGTAACGGCGCTCCATGCAGTCATGCTGGCCACATGACCTTGGAGGTGTCTATGGACAACGCCAACTCTTCGACTTAGAAATGGAGATGAGCACCAAAGAATTGTCCTCTGTATAAACAGCTATGGACCCTATGAACAGATGTGTTAAACATTAATATCAGTAGACGATTCAGCTTCCAAAATGTTCAGAAGACAGATGGTGGCTTCACAAGGAAGGTGGTGGAAAACATTCCGCTTCTTCATGAACAGTTGGACGGAGAGAGAGCGCTCTTGGTGAATCCTCCCGCTCAAAATGCGACCAAATAAATATCTATTATTAAAAGCATCCCACCAACCGGGGCAGGACGCGGCAGATGGCACGTTTCGCCAAGAGAATCCTTTTAATTCTCTCCTTTGAGTTCTCACCAGGGACTGGCTTGTTACGGCCTCTGAATCTTAACTATTCGTTTGGAGATGAAATTCTGGAAAGTGACTCCCAGATTTGAAAGGCCAATTAAATGAAACGTAGTTTCCTGTCACTTATCCGAGAATTGATGGGAACCTGCTGTTAGAGGCACAGAGATCTCGATATTGCCAAGGAGAGCCAGAGTACTGTGGGGATTCCAACAAGGAGAGGGCCAATGTATTGTCAGGCTGTCTAGCCATGTTCCGGAAGCATTCTCTCCTGACGTTTCACCTTCATCTATGACAGGCATCCTCAGAGGTTGAGAGGTCTCTAGGAAACTAGGAAAATTGGGTTTATATATCTGTGGAATGATGTCCAGGGTGGGAGAAAGAAATCAGATAGGTGTGAATGTTGCAATTAGCCATCTTGATTAACATCTAACAGCTTTGCAGCTTCAAGATCTAGCTGCTTACTGCCATTATCTTTGGAATGATGTCCAGGGTGGGAGAAAAAAATCAGATAGATGTAAATGTTACAATTAACCACCTTGATTAGCATCTAACAGCTTTGCAGCTTCAAGGTCTGGCTGCTTACTGCCATTATCTTTGGAATGATGTTCAGGGTGGGAGAAAGAAATCAGATAGGTGTGAATGTTGCAATTAGCCACCTTGATTAGCATCTAACAGCTTTGTAGCTTCAAGGTCTGGCTGCTTACTGCCATTATCTTTGGAATGATGTCCAGGGTGGGAGAAAGAAATCAGATAGGTGTGAATGTTGCAATTAGCCACCTTGATTAGCATCTAACAGCTTTGCAGCTTCAAGGTCTGGCTGCTTACTGCCATTATCTTTGGAATGATGTCCAGGGTGGGCGAAAGAACTCATGTCTGTTGGAGGTAGTTGTGAAAGTTTCGGTTAGCCACCTTGATTTAGCATTTAATGGCCTAGCAGTATCAAGGTGTGGCTTCTTACTGCCTGGGGGAATCCATGTTGGGAGGTGATTAGCTGTCCCTGATTGTTTCTTGTCTGGGGTTCTCCTGTTTTTAAAAACTAGATAGGGCCCTCCCTATAACAACAGACTACAATAGCCACAATTCTTGCCATTGCCTAGGCTTAGCAGCAGCGATGGGAATTGTAATCCAAAGCATTTGGAGAGCTGAATGACTTCTCAGAGAGTTGAGAGGTGTAAGCAGATTGCAGCTGGAAAGCTTGTCCTGCCAAGTTAATCTAATATTGCCTCCTTTGCAGGATTGTTGTGAGGGTCAAAACAGAACCAAAAGAGAACGTGACCTTGCCTTTCTTGAAGCTCTTCTTCTGGTTTTGAAAGAGAGGCGGAAACCGGTTGTGTGTGTTTGTCTAGAAACACCGAGAAGAAAGCCGAAAGGCATAATTTAAGTGTGTCGGTGCACTTCCTTTTCCCAATCCGTGTCATTTCTGTCCTTCAATTATTACGAGTTGAATATTGCATCGTATACTCCAAAAGTTCATATTGTGGCTGAGAGAGTGACGCCTTTGCGTTCTGAGGGCAACTTAGCACTGCTTTGTGCATAAATCTATACAAAAATGCTGCATATAAAATGCCTCTAAGGCAGGCATGGGCAAGCCAGGCAAGTGGGGTTCATATATCTGTGGAATAATGTCCAGGGTGGGAGAAAGAACTCTCATCTGCTTGAGGCAAGTGTGAATGTTGCCAATTAATAGCCTGGCAGCTGCAAAGCCTGGCTGCTTCCTGCCTGGGGGAATCCTTTGTTGGGAGGTGTTAGCTGGCCCTGATTGTTTCGTGTCTGGAACTCCCCTGTTTTCTGAGTGTTCCTCTTTGTTTACTGTGCTGATTTTAGAGTTTTTAAATAATGGCAGCCAAATTTTATTTATATTCATGGTTTCTTCCTTTCCGTTGAAATTGCTTCTTGTGGATTTCAGTGGCTTCTCTGTGTAATCTGACACGGTGGTTGTGAGAGTGGTCCAGCATTTCTGTGTTCTCCAATAAACCGGTTTAGAGCCCAATCATGTCTGCAGGAGTCCACCATACACAGCTGTAGTATACGGTAGATAACTGCTATGCATCTATTCATCTATCCAAGGCCGGCTTAGACCTCCCAAGAAAGGATTCACTAAGGCAGGAAGCAGCCAAGCTTTGCAGCTGCAAGCCCATTCAGTGCTAATCAAACTGGTCAATGACAACATTCACACTTGCCTCCAACAGACCAGAGTTCTACATCGTATATGGTAGACAGATGCTATCCATCTATCCAAGGCCAGGTAAGACCTCCCAAGAAAGGATTCATGAAGGCAGGAAGCAGCCAGGCTTTGCAGCTGCAAGGGCATTCAATGCTAATCAAGCTGGCCAATGACAACATTCACCATTGCCTTGAACAAACCAGAGTTCTACATCATATATGGTAGACAGATGCTATCCATCTTTCCAAGGCCAGCTAAGACCTCCCAAGAAAGGATTCACTAAGGCAGGAAGCAGCCAGGCTATGCAGCTGCAAGGCCATTCAGTGATAATCAAGCTGGCCAATGACAACATTCACCCTTGCCTGAAACAGACCAGAGTTCTAGATGGTGTGCATATATCCCAAGTCAGCTAAGACCTCCCAAGAAAGGATTTACGAAGGCAGGAAGCAGCCAGGCTTCGCAGCTGCAAGGCCATTCAGTACTAATCAAGCTGGCCAATGACAACATTCACCCTTGCCTCAATCAGACCAGAGTAGATAGATGCTATTCATCTATCCATCTATCCAAGGCCAGCTAAGACCTCCCAAGAAAGGATTCACTAAGTCAGGAAGCAGCCAGGCTTTGCAGCTGCAAGGCCATTCAGTGCTAACCAAGCTGGCCAATGAGAAATGAGAATGAGAAAAGCAGTTTCCCGAGCAGGCCCTTCCTTCCTTCCTTCCTCCCTCCCTCCCTCCCTCCCTCCCTCCCTCCCTTCCTTCCTTCCTTCCTTCCTTCCTTCCTTCCTTCTTTTGAGGCCTTGACAGCCAAGCGAGGCGTTTGCCCAGCAGAGGCCTAGGCCTGGCGAGGCTCCTGGGAAATAGGAGTAGGACCCCCTGTCCGTACCTGTCATGGCGCGGGCGGCACTTCATGGCGAGGCCGTCCTGCTGGGCCCGGCCTCGGCCTCCATTCCTCCTCCTCCTCCTTCCCCAGGTCGACGCCGCTCCGAAGGGAGGGAAGGAAGAGGGAGGCCGCGGACGGGCCCAGAGGAGGAGGAGGAGCCAGGCTAGGCCTCAGGCAGGCCTCGAGTAGCTCTCCGCGTTGCCACGGCGACGGGAAGCAGTAGCAGCAGCCCCGACTAGGCCCAAGCCAGGCCTGGAGTTGTCCTGTCGCCATGACAACGAAGAGGCCTACTCAAGCCTCTGAGGAAAAAGGACAAACACATGACAAGGTTGTGAGCAGGGTTTGTTTATTAGATTGTATTATAGCATTATATTGTATTACATTATAAAATTATCTATATTAGGTTTATGTATAATCTATATCAATAAAAATGTAATGTTTGTTTGTGGGATTGACAGAACTCAAAAACCACTGGACGGATTGACACCAAATTTGGACACAACTTGTTTACCTCTCCGAACGTATTCTCCCCTACGAACCATCAAGACCACTAAGATCGTCTGGAGGGGCCCTGCTCTCGGTCCCTCCACCTTCACAGGCACGGCTGGTGGGGACGAGGACAGGGCCTTCTCGATGGTGGCCCCTCGACTTTGGAACTCCCTGCCATTAGAGATCAGAACTGCCCCCTCCCTCATGACGTTTAGGAAACTAACAAAGACCTGGTTGTGGAACGCGGCATTTGACAACTGATTTAATTCTTTGCCCACATGAAAGGAGGATGATGAATGGGATTGTGATGGTGTCAGACGATTTGGCTCTTTTAACTGTGATGATAATGTTTTAACGTGTATAGTGCTGATATTTTAACCGTGTAATGAAGTGGCATTGTGTTGTTATTGTATATTTTTTGTATGTTAACACATGTTGTGAACCGGTCCGAATCCCTCTTTGAAGGTGAGAGGGTCGGTATATAAAACCTCAAAATAAATAAATAAATAAACACACCTCTCAGGCCAACGAGTGTCCATCACCTCTAAAAAACCCCACACAGAAACACACACAAAACCCCAGCAGAACAGATTTAAAAACCTCCAGAATACACCTTATATACATATACAAATACACTCATATACATATATACACACATGTATATATATCCACAAACACACACAAATATACACATAAACACACATATACATACACACATATACATTTACATATGCACACACATATACACATATATACACACAAATATGCATATAGACAAGCACACACATATACACAATATGCATATACACATATAAACACACAAATACACAACCTATACACACACACACACACATATATATATATATATATATATATATACACAAACACATATGTAGACACATAAACACATATATACAGACTGGGCCACAGCAACACGTGACAGGGGCGGCTAGTCTATATAAATAAAAATTAACATAACTCAAAAAGCACTGGACTAATTGACACCAAATTTGGACACAAGACACCTCTCAGGCCAACAAGTGTCCATCACCCCTAAAAAATCCCACACACAAACACACACAAAAATACACCTTATATACATATACAAATACACTCATATACATATACACATGCACACATTCATACACACACACATATATATATCCACAAACATACAAATATACACATATACACACATATACATACACACATATATACATTTACACATGCACACACATATACACATATATACACACAAATATGCATATGGACAAGCACACACATATACACAATATGCATGTACACATATTAACACACAAATACACAAACGTATATATATATACACACAAATATACATATAGACAAGCACACACATACACAATATGCTATACACATATAAACACACAAATACACAAACATATATATACACACAAATATACATATAGACAAGCACACACATACACAATATGCATGTACACATATAAACAAATACACAAACATACCCACACACACACACACACACACACACACACACATATATATATATATATATATATATATGCGCAAACACACAGATAGACACATAAACAGAAGACAGAAGGGAGCAGAAGACATTTCCATCTTGTCTTTACTAATAATATAATATAGTATATTGTATATACATATAATATTTATAATATTATAATGTAATACAATATAATACTAGTAATAATAATTCAATATTATAATTATAATTATATATTTAATTACATGTAATATTACTAATAATATTACAATATAATAGTATAGTGCAATATAGTAATATATACTGATATTGTACTTTGCTAATAATATAATATATTGTATGAAAATTGTATGTAAGCCGCTCTGAGTCCCCTTCGGGGTGAGAAGGGCGGCATATAAGCGCCGCAAATAAATAAATAAATAAATAAACACATATACACAGACTGGGCCACAGCAACACGTGATAGGGGACGGCTAGTCTATATAAATAAAAATTAGCATAACTCAAAAACCACTGGACGAATTGACACCAAATTTGGACACAAGACACCTCTCAGGTCAACGAGTGTCCATCACCCCTAAAAAACCCCACACACAAACACACACAAAACCCCAGCGGAAAAGACTTAAAACCCCCCAAAATACACCTTATATACATATACAAATACACTCATATACATATACACATGCACACATTCATACACACACACACATATATATATACACAAACACACACAAATATACACATAAACACACATACATATACATACACACATATATACATTTACATATGCACACATATACACACAAATATGGATATAGACAAGCACACACATATACACAATATGCATGTACACATATAAACACACAAATACACAAACATATACACCAAATTTGGACACAAGACACCTATCAGGCCAACGAGTGACCATCACTCAGGAAAACACTGAAAAACACAGAGGAAGAGACTTAAAAAGCCAAAAAACCAAAAATACATTACAATGCATGTGCATAACCACACAAATACACAAATATATACACACATATATTATACACATATATGCAAATACAAAACACATATACACAGACTGGGCCACAGCGACACGTGGCAGGGGATGGCTAGTATGTAAATAAAAGTGTTGTGTTTGTTTGTGAGATTAACCTAACTCAAAAACCACTGGACAAATTGACACCAAATTTGGATGCAAGACACCTCTCAGGCCAACAGCTGCGCCCATACCTTGGGAAGTCTGACTTGGCCACGGTAGTCCACACTCTGGTTACATCTCATATAGACTACTGCAACACTCTCTATGTGGGGTTGCCTTTGAAGACTGTTCAGAAGCTTCATCCAGTCCCACGGATGGCAGCCAGGTTACTAACGGGAGCGGCGCTCAGGAAGCATACAACTCCTCTGCTGCGCCAGCTCCACTGGATGCCAGTCTGCTACTGGGCACAATTCAAAGTGCTGGCTTTAGCCTATAAAGCCCTAAAGGGTTCTGGCCCAACTTACCTGTCTGAACGCATCTCCCCTTATGAACCTCCTAGGACTTTAAGATCATCTGGGGAGGCCCTGCTCTCGACTCCGTCTGCGTCACAAATACGTTTGGCGGGGACAAGAGACGGGGCATTCTCAGTTGTGGCCCCTCGGCTGTGGAACATCCTTCCTAGGGACAATAGATCAGCCCCCTCCCTTCTGACTTTCCGAAAAAAAGTCAAAAACTGGCTATTGGAGCAGGCATTTGAAAAGGCAGTGTAATTAGGATTATGGAACAATTGGACTATGAGATTGGATTGTTTTTTATCTAGGAAACGAAATGATTGTTTTTACTACTGTCATGGTTTTTAATTGATGTGTTAATGCTTTTTAATGTTTCAATGTTTTATGATGTTGTTGGCATTGAATCACTGCCTTGTGAACCGCCTCGAGTCACCTATGTTCTGAGAGGGGTGGTATACAAATGTAGCAAATAAATAAATAAATAAATAGATAAATAAACAAGTGACCATCACTCATAAAAACACTGAAAAACACAGCAGAAGAGATTTTAAAAGCCAAAAACACAAAAAGACGCTACAGTGCATGTGCAAAACTATATATATATATATATATATATATATATATATATATACACACACACACACACACACACACACACACACAAGTATATACACATATACATAAATATATACACACACAAAGCAGATATACACAGACTGGGCCACTGCAACACGTGGCAGGGGACAGTTTATGTATGTATGTGTGTATATATGTGTGTGTGTGTGTTTGTGTGTGTGTGTGAAATGTTAATTTGTGGGATTAACATAACTCAAACACCACTGGACAAAATGACACCAAATTTGGACACAAGACACCTATCAGGCCAACGAGTGACCATCGCTCAGGAAAACACTGAAAAAACAGCAAAAGGAACTTTAAAAGCCAAAAAAACAAAAATTACAATCAATATTATATTATATTATATGAATCTATATTATATGTATCTATATAAATAGAAATGTAATGTTAGTTTTTGGGATTAACATAACTCAAAACTTACTTAGGCGATCCCTCGCTTTCCGAGGATGATAGCCTTCCAATATTCTTGTGGGTCCGTATGTGGCTGTGGAGCCCTATTCTTGCTCTGCATCTTCTTCCGCAGTGAGGGCACTGGTTTCCAGGTGGAAGGCGGCCTCGGTCGGGGTTGACTTGACACGCCTTCCTCTTGGCACGCTTCTCCCTTTTGCCCTCCATTCGTGCCTCTTCAAATTCTGCAGCACTGCTGGTCACAGCTGACCTCCAGCTGGAGCGCTCAAGGGCCAGGGCTTCCCAGTTCTCTGTCTATGCCAGAGTTTTTAAGGTTGGCTTTGAGCCCATCTTTAAATCTCTTTTCCCGCCCACCAACATTTACACTTATGCACTCTCTTGAACTTCTATGAGACTCTGGTGGGAGGGATAAGTGGGTATGTTTTCTATATCATGATTTCTATATTTCTATATTACTCCCTGGGTATCTGACCTTTTCCTGACCCTTTTGTCCAATTCCCCTTTATTGAAAAATGTATAAAAAATACAAGGAGGCCACCCTCCATGGTCTTGGAAAGGAGGAAATCTTCAGTTGAAAAAGACCCTTATCAAAGACACA